TTGCCCAGGTCGAGGTTGTGTCTTTCTCATCAGATTAAAAAGGCTTTATTCAAAGTTTTCTTGCTTGAAAATGCTTGATAGTTATATGACAGGTTGAGAACGTGTTAAACGTTGTATTGGTGTCAATATTTCAGCATTTGCTTGGAAGATTTAATAACTAATATAATTTAATAAAACGGATTTCCACTGTTGCGTTTTTTGTATGCACGTACGTGCACACGAAAGAGTTGTAAAAAATAATGTAAATGAAACCTTATAAATCCAACAAAGCTCTTCCGATATCGGATTTGGGACCAAGATAATCTGCGAACCCAGATTTCCTCGTTATTTTCCGAGCGAGAAATGGAGGAAATTACGACCTTCTAAGGCTAAACACCGCTCTTAGTCTAGAAATGTTAACTTACAAATTTTATTTACTCTACAAAAACCCAAACAAGATTTCAAGTTGTTCGGTCCTTTTTGATAAACCCGATACTTAGACAGCTAGGAAGTCTGAAAAAAACTTCACAGACACAGTATCAAGGGCTTAAAGTTTATTAATGTTAAATTGCAGATCCTCTTCAATAATTGTTACTTCCAAATGTAAGCTGTAAATATATTTTTTCTCCAGCTTTTTTATATAAAATAATAAAGCGGTTGAAAAAACCATCACCCGGTGGATAGCTATCCAGTCTTCGTATCACGGAGATCAGCTCTAGGTTAGGAAAATTAGCTTCATCCTGATTTCCTGATTTCCATAACCGATGATAAATAGTTTGGCTGTGAATTTTCTCTATTCAAATTTATCATCGTTCACTGCATGAACTCGATTAAAATATTCCATCACATCAGCCATGCATCCTGACATGCATATGTTCACGACAATTACAGCTTTTTTCTTCTTTTTAATACAGTCATTGATGTTTTGAATGTTCAATAAGAGAATTAGGTACGCAAAGGGTACATGGATTGATGTCAGAGCACAATATTTAATGCTTTTTATTTTCCCTATGCCTGACCAATCTTCCTCCATGCATACTTACACAGCGGATGAGGTCATCTCGTCTACATCCTGTTGAATTATCTACTTCATTTACTGTTATACCGGATATTTACTGCATTAGGTAAAAGAACACGAGGAGTTTTCAAGTGAGTCAGGACGAGATTATAGGAATTATCATTGACGCACAGGGGAGGTTGCGGTCTATTTTGATCCATAATGGCTTCCTGTTTCGCTCGAACTGCCAGTCTTGACGTTGTTGAGTATTGAATGTAAATAAACTATAATTTACAGATTAATCATGCACAGTTGGCAACTAACTAAGTTCTTTTCCCAACCAAGTCAAACAGTGAAATAGATAACCAACTAAATAGATTAATTACGTTCTAATATCTTCTACATGTCCACAACATATAAAACACTTTTGTATAGTTAGGTGACAGCAATATCGCTTCCTAATCTCCTCGTGATGTGCTTAGGAAGTCTATTTTATTTTTGACGACAATATATTCGTATTTCAGACCAAAATATAAAGAGTGTTTACTTTGTATTTTACTGGGTTTTAGTTCTCGCACGTAAATTAAAATCTGTTTAGGATGTTATATTTCTATTAGAGGGAAGACAGGAAAAAGAAGTTCTATTTTAGTAATTTATGTTCAGTCGGTCTATAAGCACTGTTTCTATTCCTTGAGAGTGAGACTAAGAGTCTTTGACTTCCAAGGTTCCTTACAACTATCAAATTGCTGTATACTGTACGTTAACTGATGTATTTTGCTCTGTGCGGATGGTAAGATTCCGTAAGAAGTGCCATTACTAGCCTTTTTACGTCAAGGAAAATTGCTCAAGTTTAATGACTTTTATTTATCAAAAGGCTATACAATTTACAAATCACCGACCCACTCAGTACATTCCTATAGTGACTAGCTATGTATATGTACAGTATATAATCAAAATAGCTAATGAGTATCATGATCATTGAACTTTTTCGAAACATACATGACACATATAGCTCGATCTTCATTGCCTTGCTATTTCACAATAATCACATGAGGGTATATCAGCCTATTAAGTATAACTATAATAAGTTATAAGTTACTGAGGGAATGTTTTTTGGCGCCAAGCCAGTTTACTGTTGCTTTTAGAATCAGTGTAAAAACAATAAATGTTAAACCACTTTGGATTTCGTGCAAGGTTGTCATATGGACTATGAACCAAAACATATCAATTAAGCTTAGCAAAACAGGTTCGAAACTGAGTTTGCATGCAAACTTGAGCAATTCACCGCCCCATATATGTAAAATTTCGTCCTTCAAGTACACCAACTCGTGACTCGTTAACCTCAACACCACAAATTACTAAATTTATAAACATTGATGTAAACTTAAAATATTTCTCATATCTTCCACTTATCATAGAATGCACTAAATACACATGCTCTTGACTTCTTCACATAATAATGGTAATTGGATAATATCGTTTCCGGAGTAGTCAAGTAACTGTCCACATATCTCATCGTAACTCGTTGAATAAACCAAATACTGCTTTAAATTAATTGATATATTTTAAAGTAACAAATATTTATCATCAGAGTAAACCGGAGATTGAAACTAGTGTCTCTTATATGGTACTCATCAATTATTATCGTCCAATATTTTCCTTCATTTCTCCTCGTATTAACTCTGGTTGCTTTGCAAAATGAAACTTGGCTTCGACATTTTCGGTATGTGAAAAAAAATGATCTGAGACATTCTAGATAAGTTTCATCCTTAAACTTGGCTCTATGTAGATATCACCGAATCACAGCATTAAAAGACTCCCAAAGCGTCATCGGAGAAAATAAATCAAAACCGGTGATATCGTGAATGATCATCTGCGGTGAAATTAGCTTTAATTACACTTCATGAACAGTTGCGAAACGATTTCAAGCTAATTTTGGATGGGTTTTTAAGTTTTCTAAACGATGTAGGTTTTTGCCAGATAAATATTGTGGCCTGAGTTCTTACTCATGTCTCAGTGCTTTTCATAGGTTATCCAAGGATTATACAAGCCTATAGTATCTCCACTATTTTGCAATTTTGGTGTGGTGTATCACTTTCAATCTTTCCTAATAGCTCTATCAGTAGCCTCTATATATAGCTTCTTGGTAAAGCTAAAATATAAAAGTCACTCCCAGTTTTTAACCTTGAAGTGACAATATATAGACCAGCGGAGAAACATATTTACTAGTTCTTATTATCTGTTTAGATCCACCTCTTTTGTTTGGATAAAACAATATACCTATGGCTTTCTTTCCTACACACTAACTACATTTACACTACAGCTCCCACAAGCTCCGTTTACACTACAGTCAATTTATTGGCACGGCACAGCTAAGATTATTACTCGTACCCAATTTTATCAGTGTTTAGGCTACCAAAACAAAGGCCGAACACAGATGAAATGGGCACGGGTACCCATTTTAGCCGTTCCTTGCCAATAAATCGAGTGTAGTGGAAACGGGGCTATAGTCTCATGTGAAATATTTCTGGTATTCCATCAGTCAACATTACTCACATCCACTCACAACTAAAGTCTGGTATGTTCCTTTATTCAATCAATATTAATTTAATGTAAATTCGCCCTGTCTAGCACAACTGGTGGCAGGTCGCCTATGGCTCTGCCTAATTTACTAAGACACTGACACATTTTTAAAAGAGGAAAGTTTTTCCTTTCAAGTAATTTACCGCCTATTGTGAACCACATGTTTTGGTATGATTCAATAGATTTCAGCCTAAAAATATAACGAAATCGTCAAAGCTACAAGCCACGGTTTCTCGTCTGGATGTTGAACTTTTTAGAGAAGTTCTACTACAATATTTTTCTTTTTAGGCAAATAATCGAGTCGAAGATGTTTCCTGCTTTATCAGTCAGAGGTGTCAAAACAATGCGCTATTAGTCTGATTGAGGGCTACATGATCGGGGGAAAGTTTTACTTTAAGAATAACTATGCTAGTGATTTCTTTCATATTTCATTTTTACAGATAAGAATCAGAAACTGTGACAGTTATATAAAGTGCTCTCAATTAGTCTTAATTTCTCATGCCGCCTTTTCAAGGTGCAATCAATGAATAGGTATAGTGAGTTTGTATTCAATTGTTTAGTGTCTGCATATCAGCTACATAAGTATACATACATCACAAACTTTAAATCTATTTAGGTCTATGTAAAACAACTGCAGCCAGATGCATGGAAAGGGTTCGTTTTTGTCATTAGTCTGATGTGTTTTTGCCTCGGCAAATTAAGTCTCGGTCAATTTCATATTGAAACCGAGTATAGATCTAGAAGGTTTTAAACGTTAACTTATACGCATAAAAAATCCGACGGTGGAAATAATTATAAGCTTCGAATCAATTTACGATTCAATATTTAAATATTGTTTTCGCATCGCTCAGATTTTTCACGTCGTTTACCAAAAAGTGCCCTCAAGATGGCGACCTTTTCGAGAACGGCTATAAACTAAATCAATTCTTTGGTAACGATGCCAGAAGTTGCAAATGTGAGCCAAAGGGACTTTAGATAAAAACCATGTTTGTGGCCTCATTTCTTTTGCAACCATGTGGTAATTGTTCCCCATGCATTGCTATGCATGTCTAATTGTTATTTTCATGTCACTCCTTTACCTGGAAATAATCATGGGTATAACCTTTCCAATGGGGGATCAAGTGTCAATTTTGCCCTTTACCTCAACATCTTACTGCCTTGCATTATTTTACTGTGTTTTTCACAATTCCATTATTAAGTCCATGTTTCAATCAATTCCTGTTGCCCTGCCTACGTTTGCGGTACACAAGCGTGAAGACAAAAAGAACCCACGCTTCTGTTTGATTAGTTAGATTAAAATATGCCCACAAAAAGTCAATATATCCTTTACACCGCTCAATATTGAAACACCTGAAACCTGTCCGCGCTTGTTAAACTATAATTATATTTTGTATTATAATTATATACACGAAATAAAAAGATCGCTTTTCAGACACTGAAATGAGCATTTATAGGAAGTAACATTTATTGAAACATCAGTTAGAGTTTATAGAATATTGATCATTGTCAAGACGAGTTTGACAAGTTAAGTGTGTGATATTGTCAATAGAGTGCGAGAAAATATATTAAAGTGCCCTGGCCTTTTTGGGATGTCAAAACAAAACGTCTTTTGGGCGATGCAGTTTGCGCGGTCACATCTCATTTGCTACGAACAGTAGAGCCATCAAGTTGTCATATTAAACAGCCTACACGTTGTTTGGAGGCTTCAATCTTACCTTGGTGTCGAGTGACCATTTGTCCGCAAAAAATTTCAAGATTTTATCTACAAACATCAATTTCTATTGTGCAGATTTAACAGATACGAGTCATGAAAAAGCAGACGGGATTCGTCATTCTAGCGCTTCTAATCGTGATAATCACAGTCACAGCGAACAAAAGTAAGTCTATAATTGTGCAATATACTTTGCATTAAAGTTATTCCAGATTAAGGTATTGTCTTATGTTTAATAACACGACGTGTTATATACCGTAGTCCGTACTTTTTTAATTAACCTGCATTCATGCTATATTAAAGCGTGCTAAATGCAGTAGCTTTGGACTGTTACAGTCAAAGTTAAAGTTATATAGTTGAATTTTTAATGAATGCGACGTTTGTGTATGGATTGTGAGTGAATTGTACCTGATCGTATAATACTAATGAGAGTAAAGTCATGGAGACATGGAGTTATAATCAGTTACATTTGATATGTGTGATTGCCATAATATATGGCAAATCTTTATTAGCCAGTAAGAAACAGTTACTCTTCGTTTATAGTCTTCCCAGTGGGATTTCCAAAATCATGTGATCGTCGCCAGTATTTTTACGTATCATCGTAGTATGGTTTGGTGCTAACGTGTTTTGTCTGTATGCTGTCTGATTATAAGTACACATTTGTGAAATATTTCACCCCTAAGGCTTATGGTTTATATAGGACCTGATTGTATGTGTCTCAACTATGGTCTCAGCCGCTGGACATAGGATTGGGTTGAGTACCAACATGAAATAATTTTTCCCTTCTATAGTGATAACATCACTTATTAGTACTTTTGCCTGTAGGTGTATTTGTTATTCGGAGCATTTTGTGGCCTTATTGCATGTTTAATAGTACTTGAGAACTGGCTAAGACGTGAGATTACTAATTACTCAATCATAATATTTGGACCAGGACCAGTGGCTATTCGCATAGTTCTGGAACTGTCTGTTTAGTGATATCATCTAATCTTACGATCTTTATTTCAGTATTTGAGCAACTAAAGGCTGAAAGAGTATACATGCATGCATACTTGAAATACTCTAGGAAATACTCAGATTTAGAAATAAAGGAGCGATCTCAAATTCTACTCAAATTAGGCCCTTGTGTCGAAACTTCGAGAAGTGTTTTGTCTATTTTCAGGCGGTTGTTATACCACATTATAGATTAGAAGACGCTGCCACGCTGTGCCTTAGTTATAGTTTGGAGCCTGTTTAAATAAGTGGTGTAGGAAGGTAAATTTGCTACGGTAGCAATGCCATATTAAATTCAATTTAGTTGGTGTTTACAGAGCATTACTCGCATTTCATGCTAACACTGATAGCAGTAGTAGACAAACTATACGGTCGTCTTTTTCTGAAATAGTCCAACAGTTGTTGAACTAGCCTATTCAAGGAACAAAATGAGTCTGTGGAGTCAGTGGTTCCTCTGTCGATGAATCAAATGCAATAAGCTTAAGTTTCTACTACAGTCACTTACATATGTCTATATTGTTGATTCAGCTAACTGGAAATATTTTGATTATAAAACTTCAAGTATGTAGTCAATGCATTTACGAGGCCTTACAAGTTTCAGGCATAAATTAAAAAGCCTGATATTGCTTTTAAAACTTATAGTTAAGTATACATTCGGTTATATTTGAACAATGATAACGGAATTCTAAGTTTCTTAGCGAAAGCTCCTCCCGTTAATAAAAAACATACGTGTATATATGTATTTGGAAATCGCATGAACAAAAGTTTATTTTGACTTTTGTCTTTCAGCAACATATTTTTCGGCCTCTTTTTCATATTGCTTATTTCGCCACTATAATTAGCAGATTAGAGACAAAACAAAGGCGAAAATATCTCTTGTGTTTACATTAGAAAAATTATCAGTACAATAAATTCAAATGGTAGGCTGTCTTTAAAATCTCTGCATGAATTGTTGAATATATTTTTCCAATTGCTAGGATACGTAGATAAGGTAATAACGATGTGCAATTAGTGATTACTGGAAGGATTTGGTCCAAGAATTGCGTACCTTATGCAATTCGGTCTACATAACTGTGTTAGTGTATAGTAACCCTATAGGACCTGGTGTGCATGAATATCTAATTAAGACGCAAACATACCATTCCGTTCATCTAATCATTCGCACGAATAATTGTTGCAATTAATTACACCGACTATAAGTATGACTGCATTGCCTTTGGCAAATTTGGCGTGTGTGTCAGCATTGCTGAAACCATCACAAGCATTTTCGATTATGAGAAGTGCAGAAATTTTATGTAGGATGTTTCAACAAACTCTTTTTACAAATGTTATTCGGCACAGATAAATAGTTTTGTGAATACAATAGCCGAAATGCAAATGAATTACGGTCAAATCATAGTGCATTGTGGGACGTTTTTGGGAAACAGCCTTTTCAAACAACTCCACAATGCATTGTCAACTTCACTATCACAACTTCTGCTGCAACTTTAGAATAACCGACAGACAAAAAGGCATGAATAGCTAGGGAGTTATAATGCTAATATATACAGATAATTTCAAACGTCATGAAACCACGGATGCGGGAATTTGACGCGAAAACATTCTTGACCTTCACTTTTTAAGATCATTCAACTGTTCAATGAATCGTTTTTTTGTCACGTACAAGCAGTCAGTGGTCCAATGAATACTTGGTGTATATATGTTTTGACGTTTTATAAATATACCGTGATTCTGTCACGCAGACTCAAACTCAAGCCATCAAAAAACGGGAAAATTCCTACCATGTCCTTTTACTTTACGTATTTTAAACACATTTTTTCATTATGACAACTATTTTGGCACGTATTTCGTTTAATTATTGACTATTTCCCCCCTCCCCCATTGACAATGTTGAGAGTGATATTTTCGGCAAATCAAATGTGGGGGAAACACAGCAATTCTAAACCAGGCAACTTTTGTCGTGACTTATCCGTTTACATCACTAAAAAGAAGAAAATCGTCTCTTTTTAGAAACGATTTTATGGCAAACCTATAGCAAACATAACTTAAAAAACTTGAAACGGATGAGTTTTGCTTTTTTTACACCACATACACGTGATATCAATACTTGTATCAAGAGTTTTTACATAAAAACCACTATAAAGCTCAGACATCAAGGCACTATCACAATATATCTGCTAATCACTCTTTAGGTTTAAAAAAAGTCGGGCGATGATTCTAAGTTTCTAACAGAAATTCTTCCTTTGATATTCTTCGTCAGTTTTTACTGCTTGTTGTTTGAAAGTGTCCTTGGGAAATGGAAGATTTTAACATTAGATAAGATGATGCCGAACGATCAATTAATTTTATGGTACGCAGTTTTTCAGGCAATGATGATGATTAAGGCCACACAGTGAGCCACACTAGCTCCTAGGAATCGGTAGCCTGATCACAAACCTCCGTTTCGCCCGCGAATTACAAGGCGGACGAAACGAAGGTCTGTTCAGGCTATAGAGAATCGGGACGGGGATCCATTGTATTATTTTCCGATAGACAAAGCGTACTAGTGGATTAAAACAAACGGAATCCCCGATGCTTAGGACAAGTATGAACCAGGCTTAATATTAATTTGGCGTTGTCGGTGTATACATGGTTGGTGGCGATGTTCTGATGGTGTTAATTATACTAAGTTTAGAACAGATATGGGGAAAATATTTCCATGCATGCGTTTAAATCACGACGTTTAACTTTCAGGATGTCGTGTTTCAGGTTACAAAAGATGTTCCAGGACTGAATGCCGGGACACGGTAATGGATCGAAAATGTTGCCACTTTGGAGAAAAACTTGCAAAGAGAAAATATGCCTGTTCGGTCGACTCGGTCATATCAACCCTGGATTATTTAAGATCTTTGAAACGTAAAATTCATTCCAAAAGGACATTGCCCGTGAATAAGTTGTTCCACAAGGTTAAGCAATGTAAACGTGTGGAAGATTGTCTTCGTTGTTGTTGCATGCAGCGTAAACAACGCATGTTTTTTGGAGGGTGAATCCTTGGCCAATATTTTACTAAAATTAAATGGTGTCTGATGGTAAGATGTAGGTAGTTTTAATGCTCATCAGTTAATATTGGATGAATATACCCGAATTTTGTATATTAATTACCGTAATTTGTAGTCGATGCTAATTATATAAGCATATATATTAATATAATTGTTCAGACGGCAAGGCATATTTCATCCTCATTTCCGTCTCAAAGAGCAATACCTATACACAACTTATGTTGTTCTACCTCCGTTGACTCAACAGAGAATTACAATGACTGAAAAAAAAAACTTTCATCGGGCACTCCTGCATGGCTTTAAATGCTTCAGACTAAAGAGTAAAGATCATTTATGCGTAAGACTGGCCTTAATATTTACTACATATATTTAAAATATGCCTTGTTTCGGAGAAAATATAATAATATTGAGAAATCTGCACTGCAAGGTGTTTTTTTTCAATATAGTTGTGTGCTTCCTTGCACAAGTAAGCATTTAAAGTCCATTAAAAGGACCGGGGGAAATTAGTTAACTCTTAAAAAACCCGGCCTTAATATATAAGTACATGATATGAATTGTATATATTATATCTTAAAGTGTTTGTGATTTTTGTAATCTCAGTTTTAATGCATTAAATGTATTCTAAATATATTCTTTTCAGTTTTATTATTCTGTATGACGACTCTACACATGTGTATCACGTTTTGTCAACGTAAAAATAAGCCTTTTTGCATATGGCAAACGACGCTACCATGATCAGAGTGGACTCTACATGGTTTTTTTTACCGCATTGTAACTTTTTTGCTTTTGTTGACTCTTAATTGGATTGTTTACTCTTTTTGCTTAATTGTTTATTGTCTTTACTGTTTGTTTGTTCTCCTTTTCGCCATTGTTTTTAATTTTGTTTGTTTCCATGTTTACTTGTTTTTTGTGCGACTTTTTGTTCATTTCTTAGTGTGTTTACTCCATAAACAAATTGTAGGAAGGGAGAAACTACTTATATATCTAATTCGATATGATTTACAAAATGGATATGGCTGAGTATACAATATTAATTTAATTAATTACCAATACAAATGCAATATGAATGTGTTCGAATACATTTTATCACAAATATGAAATTGTTCTTCCCATGTTATATATTATGAAATGTATGTGTAATATTATGCCACAGTGACGCCCTTATTCTGATAGTATGAATACCAGGTCTTACCACCGCCCGTCAGTTTTCCATTAAATTAATAACTAACAGTTAAAATTAGCTTGAAGCCAAGCAAAAGAGCCTTTAGCAGAGACAGTGCAAGAATACAATTATCAATGAATTGTCAATTGATATTCTACAGTCAGTCAGAGACAATATAAAAATACATTTTCATCCATTTTTCATATTACGAACTTTCCTGTTGCAATGTTATTTTTTCTGACGTCGAACAAACGTATACACGCTGCGAATTTTATGCGAATTTAGGTTTTGTTGAATGTTGTACGTCAAAAGCATTTGCCACGCGAGTAGCCGTTATGTAGTTATAAACATTCACCAGAAATCCGGCATAACAGGTCGCATCGTGTAAACGTACCAGGGGTAGGAATGCATTTAACCCTTGAGTTTGCTTTCAAGCTATTAGAAAAAGTTAGCTGGAAGAACGATCATCTCCGCTTCCATAATGAGGTGACGTGACATCACGGCAGTCACAACCGTTAAGACACACATCAGGATTGCAACAATCACCGCCATCATAGTTACAATCTTCATTATTGTTCTCTTCATCGCAATAATTGTCTCCTACGGATTGCATACATCTCACGACACATCTGATCTCACTTAAAACTGGATACCATTGTAGGTACGGGGAACACGTAATCGAGTTGCGCTCTTGGCTCAAACCGTCTCCCTTTAAAGAGCAGAAAAACAATTTCATTAATTGCATTGACAAGCAAACGATAAATTTGGCGAGCGCCGTATTACATATTAGCGAGGGGAATATAATGAATTAAGGGAATGGGTTCATATATGCATTCGAGCAAGGGCAACCAATTGATATTGATTGAGATTTAGTCACCATTAGAGACTGCGGTCATTATTTATATTCAGGGTGTTGTTGGAGAGAAAATAGTGGGGTAACTGAAAAAATGTATAGGGTGGAAAAAATAAGTAAGTGAAAGACGAGGTAAATTTTTTCATCGTTTTGAAGTTGGAAAATCTGTGGAGTAGGATGGGGAACTAAAACTCTTTTTAGCTCCCTCCTCCTCCCATAAATGATGACCGGTCTCTATTGTGATATAATGTTGATATTTGTTATCGTACTTCAACAATAGGTCTTAATCCTTCACCGCACGTGATTTGACACTCATCTCCAGGTGTACGATTTTCACCACATGAGATCACGGTTAATTCCGTATTAGGATTTTCTGGAGCGGGACACGTTCCCTTGGTGGAACAGAATTGAAATGGCTTATCCCATTTGCCGTCCGCTCCGCATTGTACCTCGCGAGCCTGGAAATCATGATGCAAAATGTTCAGTTCATAACTCTCGGACACCAACACACACATACATACATAAATACGTGATCGCTAATACATGATTTTAAAACATGTTTCACTAAAACAGGGTTTTAAAAATCTCAAACTAAAATTTGGAAATAAACCAAAAATATTCGCACATTCGTACCTTTTCACCAGGACAGGGAAGCCTGCATACACTGCCAAATTTATTGCCCTGTGTGCAGTTATACCATCTGGAAATCTTGGAGTCATGAATAGGGCATCGTACTGGAATACATCGCTTTTTTGTCCATGTGCCACCTTTTAAACATCTTTGAACAAAATCACCATTCCTATACATCTCTTTCTGAAAGTGTCCCGAAGGCCTATACCCCGACTTACAGCGATATTTGCACGATTCGCCGGGGGCAAAAGGTTTACCTTTATTACAGTTCTTACTCGAGGCAAGTAGCCTTGAATATCGTGGGATTGGTGGAGGGCGACAGGTCTTATGACAGAAAGTTGTGATGGCTGACCATAAACCATCAGCTTCACATGTCACTGAAAGTTCTGTCCCGGGATCAGTTGGTTTGGTTCCCTGCTTGCATCTGTAGATGCACTTCTTCCCGAATGTGTGTCCATCAGGACAATCTGAAATCAAAACAAATAAATATATGACAGTGATCAGTACATTTTCTCGTCCATATGTGAAAATATGCTGTAAGTTCTACTTATTTCGTTTGAGGCAAAGTGATCAGTAGGTTTTTTATTCCATGCATATGTGAAAATATGCTGTAAGTTCTACTTATTTCGTTTGAGGCTTCCCTGAATCCATTATTCTAACTGGAACCCTGCAGACAACATTTAATCAATTAATTTGACAAATTACGTTCTCTAGGAAGTAATACTCACGTATATCAGCATTCTGTATTTTTGGCTCACCACAATTTACCGGTGTGCACTGTGGTGTCTCGTTATCGACAAGCCATTCCCCGCCAGAGCACATGACATCAAATGGTGTGATTGGTTCGTATCCTTTATTACATGCTACCCTGCATGTTGTCCCTTCCAGACTTCCTTTCACACAACTTTTTATTTCTCTCGAGTGTTTCAATATAAACCTTGGGCATTGTGGCATATTACATTCATAATCCTGGCATTTCTGGGTTCTGGGGTGAAATAGTTGCGAACCTGTAAAAAACATTTAAAACAATTGAATTCAGTTTTTTGCATCCCATTCTATCCCATTCCATCTTTCTTATCTCTCAATTGCGAAATATTCCCAATTTCTAAGGGACATGTCGCAGCTCTCGGAAGCTTTCATCCAATTGGATAATGCTTTTCTATGCTTTCTAAAGAACGAAGCTATGCTATTGGTCGAAACAGAAATGTGCTGTAAAATTCAGCCAATGAAAATCATTCTTGCGAGGAGCTGCGACACTACCTATTTCTAACGTCTAGCCTAGCTTTCTCATACTGGGCGTTTTCATTACATCTTGCATCACCCCACCAACCCCAACCCCCCCCCTTACCCCTTCTTACCCCCATCTCTCACACTTACCACCGTCTACCAAAGTTCTACGACATTTCATCTTACCTGTGCAATGCTGTAGCCCCACAGGATCAAAGTTTTTCGGAGATCGCAACGCCACAGCGGCAATCTTCACATCTGTATCAAAAATTATCTTGACATAATGAGTTTTGAAGAATGGTTTGGTCATATCGTGGTATATCGGAATGATGATTGGGTTTTCCTTGCAAACTTTAGATAATTTGTGCTTCAAGGTCGTTTTCTCACTTGGCATTCTCCCGTGTAATTCGAATTCGATTCGAGGGAGAGTGAAGTCCAAGTTGGACGGTATGATCGAAGCAAGGTAGACCACGAGAGCAGCTGTTATCGTCGGATTTTTAAAGTAAACGTTAATCCAAAGGTTTTGTTTCGCGAAACTTGAACCATAAGGTGTAATATCTTCTTGTTTGTTTGATGGTGTCCAGCCGTCGCCACAAGTATCATGGACTTTATAATTATAAGATTCACAGTTCTAAAATTGAAAAAAGACGTTGGCGGGTCTTGGATAGTGGGTAGTCAACATCGGGAATGTTAACAGCGTAGTGAGAAGTTCAGAGTGCTTTAACCGGTCCTTATGCAGTAATCATGAAACTAAATCGTTAAGAAAATATTGGGAAAGACTGATTGTATTAATTGTATTCCTAGAAACGCTTTTTACTCACCAAATCACGTCTAGGAGCGCCAACGATACCTTCCGTGGTACAGGAATAGTTATATTTAGGATTAGCGGTAGCGCGGGATACCCATTGGTCTTTAAATCCTTCTGGAGTATAAAAGCCACAGTCTTTAATACTTGTTCTTTTTTCGAATGTTTCACAGACTCCGTCACCATCGTGTCGGTAGCAGAGACTGGGCCGATCATTACAATGGAACACATCCTCCATCTGGCACTGGATGTTGCAACCATCACCATCACGAACATTACCATCGTCACAGTTTTCCCCTGGTAGAAGAACGATTTTAGCTGGTTTTTAGTTTAAAATAAATTCAGTTCTTCAAAATGACAACCACGAGGGAGGAAGGGAGGGATACTTAAAATGCAGGCGTCCAACCCCCCCCCCCCTTCGTCCAGACCCCCCTCGACTCATCCAACCCTTTAATAAGTCTGGCATCGCAGCACACATTACCTTCATCAATTTTTCCATCCCCACAAAAACCTCGTATTGCTTCATAAATCAATGGCGGGGAAAATGGTCCTGCTACACCTTCGTATGTGATTGCTTGCACTTTGTACTCGTAGCGGCCACTGGTATCCACATTGCTTAAAAAAGACATTTATGTAAGACTAGGAGTGGAAACTAATTGCATTACTACCGGGAGAGGAGAGAATGCACATATTTCGCAAAGAAATATTGATTTCGCATACGTATAGAGATATGAGGGCGTAACACCTCTCAAAAAGACTATTCGGATATTCAGTTGGCAATAAGTTACCAGAAAAGATTCAGAAATACTACGGATACTTTGTATTAAGTATGAATTAAATTGTGCTATTCACAGATGAGATTTAATCGAGGGCAATAGATTTAATCGAAATGAACAATATAGGCTTTGGACATAAGGAAAAAATGCGTTAGCCAGTTTGCGGACAAACCATGTTTCTGATGAGGCTTTGGCTCAACCTCGTAGCCATGGTGTAACTGAACTTCGGTGGGGCGTTTTTCACCTGACAAGGCCCGACAAGCCATTGTAATCCCGGTCCCAGAGGCCTAAAATTCTATTGTGCTTAAGAACGATATGAATTTTAGAATATTACACTTAATATTTGCCTTTTTTATACACCCTGTACAGGGTGAGTCAAAAAAAAGTCCCCTCTATTGAAATCAAGCCTTTGTTAGAATCTGATTGCCTTAATATTATGATAAACCCAGTTGAAAGCAAGACGCTTTATTTGAATGCCTCAACCTAATAACTATGCTTTTTACACACTACTGCGTTGATCATGCATTCAAATCAACAAAGGCTTCATTTCAATAGGGGGGACTTTTTTTTGACTCACCCTGTAGTGTAGACAAGTAAAAACAATAGATAATTATCTGATGTATCTTATTATCCATTGCTGTCAACCTAATATTAATGCCGTTGTTTAAGTTTTTGTACATACATTCGAATAAGCACATGAAAAGGAAAACGGTTTATATTAAATTTCAATTATCATCTAAACCAGTGAATATTGCGCAAAAGTGGGCAACTAGAATGCGGCTACGAGACTGTATATTACAGATGGTTTTGCACTATTAAATACAGAGAGAGAAATCGAAAGAAATGACAAATGTCCCACCGAGGAAGGAACAGCATGCGGTGTATGGGATGGTCAAGAGACTTTTAATGGTAGGATGCAGACAGAAGTGATTCATTTCGGATGATATTGAGCAGGATAAAAGTTTAGATTTAGCTTGATTCACAATCATTTTATATATTCTGTGTATAAAACTTAGGCAATTCTCAGATAGATTATCCGTTTAATAGATAAAGTTGCGTTGACGAAATTCGTCTAGACTAATCATTCGTCTCTAGTTAAAATAGGCAAACAGTCTACTTACTTATCTTCAAAACGGGCATTTGGCACTGTTATTTCATGACCAGTATCAAACGGTGGTTCTCGTCTTACAACATAACGCAAAGATTTGCAATTGGAGCAGTTAGGATGACCAATTCCTGATGTTAATTTCACTGCATCAATACAAACTGAGAAATGTGACACATAGATCTTTACACTAGCAACCTTTTTCTCCACATAGAGCTTTTTAGTGAATGGGGTATCACACTGTGCAGTGCCATTGCCTACAGATTGGGTTGAACCATCTGTATAAACCAATACAATGTCTGAAAATGCATTCCGTGTGGGATCAGTATAAGATACCCAAATTGTAATCTCCTTTGGCACAACAGCTTGTTTAAAGCCTACTTGTAAGTATAATTGTATGTTTGGATTACGAATATACAGGTCCTCAGGTGGTTGCCATGCTTTCTTGGATGGGTTGCAGTGACCACCATCAGGTGGACCAGTAGCTTGATATGGTTCATTTGAATCACGACGTTGGATGTTCGATGTTGGTGAGAAGGCTGTTGCTGCATATTGTTCCAGCATTTGCTGGTCCTCACATTCATTACACAAGTTTATGGCATTATCACCTAGTTCAAGATAAATTATCAGTCAGACTAATTATCATCCTTTCACCAATGGTTTGAGAATAATAGAGAAACCTTACCTCCAGGTCCAAAGGGTGGCAACCATGATAGTTTAATCCTGTTATCATCAGCTTCGATAATTTGTGGTGGCAATGGAACAAATGAAGGTTTAGCATTCATTTGCCATGACTGATAGTCCAAATCAATATAGCAGTGCATTCTTGCAACTTGTTGTTGGGTAAAATGATTTGTACATGAGTCGTCAGCATAACTCATGTAGTTATCGTAAGGTGTGTTGGTGTATTGTGGTAGGCCACAGCTTTGTTCTAGGGTAACAACTGGATCACCACATGTGGTACCAGTGTGTTTAATTGTTGGATTTGTGTCAGAACACAGATCACCAAGTTCCATTGATGAAAAGGATTCAAAACAATCATCTGTGCAGGACATGTCACCTGATACACTTCCATAATGAACATGCCAAAGGCCAAGGATATGTCCAATCTCATGAATGAGAGCCTATGAGGAAATATAACAGTTCTAAATTATGGATTCAATCATTTTCTTTGAAATCAAATTGCAATAGAGTAAAATCCAAATTGAGTAAGTATTTAATTCCTTCAACATGATAACCATGTAAAAGCCACTAAATAAAACCTTATATACAGACATGCAATGAATAATAGTATATTGGCCTGATTTTGCATACAATACCTTAGTGGTGGCAAAGTTTTTTGGTGGCACAACAATACCACCTAACTCTGTATGAACCTCCTTTTCCCATGGAAAAGTTGACAGCCCTAACAGATTCTCGTCAGTCCAGTTCACGACATACACATTCAGTGCATCTTGGTTGGAAATACTGATATATTTTCTGTAATCATTAGCGCTAACATATCTACAGTTTGGCGATTCTGGATCGATGCACAACGTTGACAGTCGGCTCGTGCAACACTCTCCCCAGTCATATTTGTAACTAGCACTGTTGCATTCTGGGTCGCAAACGCCATTTCCTTTTTTCTCGGGTGGACACTCTGTCCTTTTGCAGTCCCCGCCATCCCAACCCGTGATTTCCAGGTTGAATGAATCATGACAATTGCCATCGCCAATTGACAAAAACGACATTCCATGTGCATTGTGCAAAATAGTTTTACTCCTCAATGATGAATTTCTTATCGATTTCACTGTCTTTTGCCATGTGATATTGTACCTCGAAAACGTCCGCTGTAAAAGTTCAAACTGAGAATTGATCTCGGAGTCCGTGAGTGTGGGTCTTCCCCCATCGTCATCCATGACATTTATAAATCGAATGTTAAGGTGTTTAGTACCTCGGCTATCAGGGTGTTTAAGGTAACTCTTGACAACCTCTGGGTTATCACAAATTGTTTTTCCACATGGAGGTTTTCTGATGGACACGTCGTGTTTGTCTTCTGGCACTGTGGAACGGACAAATCGTGGAAACTGATCAGTGACCGGTACAAACTTAGCGTTTTTAATGTTTATATCATTATAATCATCGTACATCGCAATTTTTTCCATTTCATTGTCAATAGTGTTCTCGGGAAGGGTTTGAGTCAATGCACGGTGCGGAATTGCTTCACTCCATAAACGCAGTTTATCGATCTGTCCGCGATAGAACAGACCTCGTTTTACATCTCCGCCGACTTCAAGATGGTCACATGCATGATTCTGTGTTGTGCTATCAAAGATTATTCCTTTCTGTTCATAGCCGACAGCGACTTTAGCTTGATTAACGTATAATTTCATTTGAATACCATCATAGGTTGCGGCTACGTGATACCAGCGCCTCGGCTCGATTTTCTGATGTGACATTATTGTTTGTTTTCTTTGCGCGCTTGCGGAATGGACGGTGAAACTTATTCGAAGATCACTTCCAAGAGTGGCTTCACGCAAACCGATGAACCATCCACGAGCTTCGTTATCCGGCGCGCACTTATCATACGCGTGCAACACAACGGCAGGATTTTGTTGGCCACCCTCCGGTCTCATCCAAAAATCGACAGAGAATATTTTGGAAGGGTTTCTTTGTTTCGGGTACTGGATAACTTGTCCGGTTTCAAACTCTAATGCAAAGCCATATTTATTTCCTGTTGGTGGTCGGCTCGGAAATACTTCATGGTCATGTCTTCTTACGCGGTGCCCATGAATCGATCCACATTTTTCACTGTGTGCTCTCACTGAAGTGTAGATTGTGCAATAGAATAAGATCAGCAGTCTTGCTAGTTCATTCATCTTCAATGACTTGGCTTGAAATCTAGGACGCTAAAACGAAATATCAAAAATTTAATGTCGAATGAGATGGTTCGATTCTAAACTAATTATTTATCCTTCTGTTCATGTAGGAGCGCTTGTAACGAAGACCAAAAATTCGCTGAAATTTATAAGGTGATTATGTAAATAAAACAAAGGGTAGGGGTTAATACCAATTCCGTCCTTTAAATTTAATCCTATTTTTCCTTTGTAGTTTAAACTATATTTGCATGTGTACGCACGCTTCTGTCAGGTTTAATTTTAAAATTTAAATACACACGTGCTCGAGATATTGGAAATGTGATATCAAGAAGCAGACACTTTACAGAAATGCTGTGTAAGCTTGTTTAGAACAACGGTCTTTGGCTGTCTCGTTGCAAACCTGTTTAGTCGAAATGTCTCACATTTACGCACGTTCGAAGTAAGGTGGTAATATGATATTGAAACTTAAGAATCGATGCACTAACAAATTGTGGATCTTAATCTAAATCAGTTGGGCAATTCTCTTGATTTCCGCATTTAGGCGATTTCCACAAGCGAAGCATACCATCAACGCACATTTGATAAACGATATTGCGATATCAAATACCATAACACAATTATTTATGAACGGAACAAGGGTTTTTCGTATGATCTACGATTACCATTTACCTTAACCTTCATCAGCAATCTTGGCGCGCTTCATACTAACAATTGCGCGAAATTTAAACGCGCTTTAAAAGTAGAGCATTTATTTCTGCATTATATATGGTAAGAAAACGATCAAGATTTGGTTATAGCGTGATGGATATAACCGTATGCACAGTTAATCACATATATAACCGAATAGTTTCACACTAAACGGTGTCTAACCTAGGCTTCATTTGTGCAAACGTCTTGGCTAAATTACTATTATCATACTGTCGATACTATCCATTGCAATACTATCCATAGTAGATCGCATTTGCTTTATGGTTGTAATTCTTTTAGCTTTTTATATCACTGACGAGGGCGACGCGGTTACCAACGTATACTAACCTTATAATAGAAATTCAAAGCCGCTATTTCTCCTTCAGTTTATTTGCGCAAACTCAAATGGCGAGAAATTTAAACCATATATCTAATCCCACACTCAACTTGAAGTGTATATATCCTTGCAAACTTTGTATACTGTAGAGCTCCTGGTATGAAGCTATTTAACCTTTCAATATGTACAATAATGATTTTTCACCTTGGCCTTTAGTCACGCGCACTCGTAGTTACGGATACCGCGTCGAATTTAAGTAAATCTTAACGTACGCTTTCGCTGTGAATAATGTTTATCCTTTGTAGCCTTTGGTATGAACGTATTTAAGCTACCGAACAAGGTTTCGCGAGCCCGGCTGTCATGAAGAGGCTCAGGAAGTGCGTATCATGTTTACTGCAGAATAATTAAAAAGATTAAAATTAAGCGATGACAGGATTCAGAAGAAGAAAAAATAATGACGCAAAACCAGAAATATGGCAACAGAAACATTCCTGAAGTAAAGGAAAGGGTGATTTTGTGAAATATACGGCTCTTTCGACATTCTTCCTGTGTCCAAAATAGACGTCCCTTCCTTCAATATTACTTGCCTAGGTTTGACGGTCTGTTGAACGTTTTTTGTGGAAGAGATCAAATGATAAATCGATTGTGGTTTTTACACTAGTTGCAAATGAACATCACTATATAATGTTACCCTGTACAAAAATTTTAATTGATGTTCAGCTGTTGTCAAATATACAAACTCTGCGTCTCAACCAATGATTTTTTTAAATGTATCGTATTTATCCAACCACAGAACCGAATGAACCAGTAACTCAGTGTACAAAAGCTGTGGAGTTCGCAAGGCAGATTTATTACATGGACTTTACTCACGTTGGATGAGTGTAAGGTATAAGTTGTCAACAACCTACCCAGACGTCAGTAAACTGAAGTATCGAGATTTCGCTTGATCCATATTCATATCGATATTTAAATTGGATATTCCTAATTAACTGTCATGTTGGATATTTTGAGGCAGACGACAGATAAAAATAGCAAAGAGAGATGAGACTAAAGAATATTAATTTAGGTGTTTCAAATTTCAACGTTTCTAGACTAAAATTGATCACACGTTGAGATACATTAAGAAAACGGCAGAAATGTAAATTGGGTTAATTGCACGTAACAAATGAATCGATTCTGGAAACAAAGCCCCTTTGAAGTTTATGGTATTAAATGATATCTTACATAAACATTTAACTTCGCGTAATTATATACATTGATTGTTATTTGATGAAAAGAATTTTAATTAATTTATTTTTCACCGCTAAACTTTTCCAGCCTGTTTCTAGAAAGCAAATTATTAATATTGAAACTTCCCTTGGTATGAACCGCCAACGACGCATCGCCGGAATTCTGATTCTAATCATTTTTTTATGGCAAACAGCCGGAACTTCAGGCTATCAATATAATAAACCTTTTTACTGTCGGCAGGACCGAGCAAAGAAAATTTTGCAGGGAAGTTCAGGAATGCGCTACCTACTGTTTGACCCTGGAGTACAGCGAAAAATGATTTGTCTAGAATGGGTTTTGAACTCACGTCTTCAGAGTAACGAGTTTTATCCAATTCGTCACTATAAGTGTTCCCTTCCCCATCGACAAATCCTACTGACTAAAATATTTATTCCCCTGACTAAATCGTATTGACTTCCAGCAGGCCTTAACGTTTTGGTGCATATAGTCGAGATATGCATAATACATAGCTATATGAACAATTTCGCCTGAGAACGTGTATAACTATTGCATTAGGATTTATCGTGTTTTGGGGTTTCGAGTTTGGGAAAAGGCCCATCTGTTTTGATGCCAATCGCTACTATCACGCTCAGGAATAGATGTTTTCCGCGTATTAAATTATCAGCAGTGGGATATAGTCGGGGTAGGAAGGTGGGTGTGATGAAGTCAAAAGCCAATTCATTTTTCCTAGCAAAATATTGACCTTATAGCATTTCCTATGTTCATGGACCCCTTCCGTTTGCAACGTCACGAATGTTAAGACAATAGAGCATGTGCAAGTTAGCTCTTCAATTTCATTTTATAACAATATTGCATTTTTCTACACTTAATTTTGACACGAGTTTGTTGTTTCATTGTAAAGTACATTGTTACCCTTGTTGTATAGATTCTTATCTTATCTTGTTACTCAGATTAGACTGTCTAAATCCTATCATTTAACTGAGTTAACACGACAAGTAATATTTCATTATAGTCATACATGCGTCTACATAAACTGTATAGTTTCCCAAACAAAGATACCCTATAAAAACGTTTTCACACTGCAACAAAACTAACTTTCAAGTGTCATTGAACCACACACTCTCGAGTTCAAGTCTTTATGCAACTCTTACTAAATCAAATGATTTTAAAGGTATACAAATCTTTTATCCTGTTTAAATCGATTTAAGACTAAGATTTAAGACCAAGATTTCATTATGCTATTCGGTCATTAGATTGTTCTCGTATACAACCGATCACGAGTATAAAAAATAAGGAATTTCCCTGAAGGGAACTTTCGTGGCATGCCAGAAAAATTACAATGTATACCTTAATTGAATTGGTGAATGATGCTTGGCAAGTAATTCTTCGTCTCTCTCCTTCCACGTTTTGTACTTAGATCGATGTTCCAAAATTGTGTGCATACGAAGATGACTGAAGTTTAAATATACCCTCCGTCAATAGTGAGGACACGTACTGGTCTGAACATCGTTTTTAAACAGGATAAACAATAATCGAAAGGAAGTCTTAAGATTAATTTCGCCGGGTTTTAATTGGTCAGTTTAATTAATTGTGAAAACCAAACCTTTTGCATAATGTCAATAACCTAAGTAGCATAATATCGTCGTTGTTACCTATATACCTAATCATTGCATGACCATTTTACAGTCGAATTCGCTAATTATGTTCAGTATTTGCTGCAGTAGGATTGATGCAAATTATAAGTGATAGCTCGATGTTAGGTGTTCATTCCTGAGTATTCGTGATGCAGTTAAGACAGTTCTCAGCGGTTTAGGGCGTGGCATGCTTGCCCCCTCCTTAATTACAAGCCTCGCTCTCCCACAATGAATAGGAAAATTCTACGTCACGTATTATTATCTTGTCGTCCACCAATTTTTTTTCATTATTTCCAATTACAATTATTATTATTATTATGACCCATCAATAATCGTATCACGTAGGCGTATTAGTTTGTGACGTCTATAGTGTGAGTCAACTCAAAATATAGAGGCACAGTATATAGTAATCAAAGTAGTCGTTTACTTGCTATGTAGTGTCTTTGTGTCTGTTAGCACTGATCGAAATATAAACAATTCTAAATCATTTTCTTACTTTTGTTTCTTACTCTTACTTTCAATGACTAGGAATGTAATCATGAATTCTCACTGCCATTTGACCATTTTTGCACCAATAGTGGAACTCGTTACACTACAATAAGTTTAAACATGCAGCAACCATTTAAGGCATATATAAATATACTCAGTTTTAATCCACATCTTGCAATTTTGACTAAATTTACAATTATACTCCTCTTTTTTCACTTCATATTTATACTAGGATCTCTTTAATTAAAAGCTAATGTACGATAAACAAGCCAGTTTCCTCATGCATTTTCTAGCGTTAGAGGTCAAATCCCACGCACCAAATATGTATAGATGCAAACATAGCCATGTCAGTAATTGTTATTCAAGCTCAAATAGAAGCATTTATCGTGGATATTTGATGAATGTCCCTAGCTATAAACTTGATCGTGATCAATATTTTCCATTTGTCTCTTCTAGAATTTCGTACTCCACATGCATGAAGGAATTATTTTTCACTATAACTACCCCGTTACATCCATTTTGAAATTTGTACGCGTGTTTGAGAAATTGGGCAATAACTGATTGATATTAGCTACAGCTTTACAAATCTGTTGTATTAAACATCAAGTTTTCAGACAATTTCAAGTGGCATTTTTTGGTGTGGCATCATGCCCTATTTTGGAAGCAAGCCCAGTTTTGAAACCTTTTATGTCAAAGATATTAGATTTCCAGATATATCGCCAACGAATCTATAATATCGATGAAAAACATCACGCTGACAAGCTGGGCCTGGACGCAGCTTATTTTTAAAACTATATTTAATTATCATGGAGTAGACAAATTCCTACTAATCGTGTTTGTATATGTACATTGGCTGCATGTATTTAAAATGAAATATTTAAGTCAACATAACACAACCTCATGCTGTATCTTCCGCCAGGGTCTAGGTCAGGTCAATCTCTCCTTGAAAAGAGGGCGCAGCTCATTTTCGTATACACCTAATATGGGTGCGACCAAGGCTAGTGTATAATATATCTCTTGTGCGTGCGAAGGCAAAGTACATATCCGCAATATAATATCGCCTTAATACGCATTATTCACATGATACATGCCATCTTATTTTACACCCGAAAAAAAATTCTGAATGTTATACGGAATTATGCTTATGTCCAAAAATGGATCATTTGCAATTGCATGGTGAATAACATATATAGCATCTTACTTACATGTGTAAAAACTTAATTTGCTCTAAGGGTTTAAAACTTTAAAGCTTTGCAACACGTGGCAATTGATTTCGGCAAAACTGAAAGGAAGGAAGGGTATATAGCTATAGTTTGCTCACACGGAGCTTTTCCCACTATCCTCTTGCCAAGGTTAGGAGTACGTGATGCCTAATTCTCAAACAAGAATGCGTATTATTCCGAATGTATGTATATAACATGGGGAGGTGAAAAAATTAGGTTATATATTTTGGGTCATAAAAATAAATAACTTTTTACATAATATCGCCGCGTGTGGAAATCCTTCAAATTGAGAAAGCGAATTATACGCTCTTAAAAAGCATCTACAGAGATTCACCTCTTTTATGACCTTTCCACGCAATGTTACATGATAAAATATGGCTTTAATTGATGAATACCACAGGAACAAGGTTTTCTTTCTGTCGTCAGACCACACTTTAGGTAAATAGCAGTGATATCTACAGCCGTTTCACACGTCATAAATCATTTTCAGTTAAGCAGTCTTAGGGAATATAAACAAGATAGATATAGTGATAAGATGACGATACACAGCTGTCTGTTATTACCCACGCGGGTATTGCTGAAATATTTCGCTTCAAGGCATCTTTGCGAGTAATTTAAAAAAAAAATTGACACGAAAATAATTGAAAGCGAAAAGATGAGTCTGTTCTGTTATAATTTCAATTCCGTTCTTGACGTATGTGCTTCTATGACAAAATTCAAACCAGAGGCTGTGAAAATACCTATCATCAAAAAGCATCTGTGTTACTGCGTATATGTAATAGTTTCTATGGAAATTATAAGAAACTAAAAATAAATTTTGAAATTAGAAGAAATTGAAAAATCGTGGCGTTATTTAGAAGGGGGTGGGTGAAGAGGAATGATCGTATAGTTCACTTCATTATTATAATCTCTCAAAACCTTTGGACATGCAATAGCTAGCGCTCTCAGCCTCTCACCAACTAACGACCTACCTGAATTTTTTCAAAAGTTCTTGCTTTTTGGAGCATCCCCTCGACTGTAGTAAAAGCATGCAGTAAAAATTGCATGTGAAAGCATGACTTATAATTGCTGATTAAGCTGTGTTAATCCTTGATTTTCACAACTCACAAATCCTATGATAGTCTTACAATTCAAGTAAATGAGGAGAATTTGAGGCCGGAAAGTGGTAGCAGACTAGCAGAGGGGTGTTTATACGCATGTTTACAACCCAGGTTTAGTACCGCTAACATTACGCGAGGTTTTCGCCACCTGCGCGCCACGGATTTAGTATATGGACCATCCAACCCCACTTGCTTGCTTGTAATTTGCCAAGGGCTTCCCCTTGAGCGTCGGGTTGTTGTAATATATACATGACAGCACAGAGTACACGCAGCGCTAGCATTTACTATATATGTGACTCCACATTTGAGTAATTTGATGATGGAATGAGTTTTGCGCGCTGGAAAGAATTCGTGATAGAATTGATAGCTATGCACTAACCAGAGAAATATCTGACTATATCGACACATTTAATTGCTTTAATTAAGCATCCGTCTATTAGATGTTTGTGCATCCCATTCAACATGTTTCAACGATGTTTTTTTGCAAAAAAAGCAGTGACGGTAACTTTAAGACTCAAGAGCATTGTTACCTGTTGTAGACAAAAGTAATATGAACCTCACCTATAGTGGTGACTAAATGATTTATTGCTCGCGTGTTTTTTACATGCTAAAAAATCTGCCATATGGTCAGTAATGTTTACATATAAACTGATTCAAATGCGGGTGCTTAATTTATCTATTAAGTACGTCTGAACAACAGTTGGAACCACTCGAAAAACATAATGACATTTCGCGACGATAAATTATATGCTTGCTAGAGATGTCGAATCGGAAATGTTTTTTTCAGGAAGTTGAAATTCTTTTCAACTGATATTAGAGCAATGTTTTCCGTATTCGAAAATTCCTAAACATATTTCAGGCTTAGGTTCATAGGTTGTTACGTATTTGTAGTCTTGTTTAGTCGTGAATGATCTGCTGCTGCTGTTTGTAGCAAAAATTAACTACCAACAGTCTGTTAGCGAAGAGCCAATGCACACTTTACTAACAAACATTTTCAGTTTTCTGAAATCTGAACCTGTTCAACGCAACGACGCCAGTATTCTCAACCTCTCAGACATTAGCACGTCATGGTCTTTCAAAGACTCCACTACCAAAGCTCAGATTTCAAACACAGAATCGGTTTGGTTTTAACGACCTCCACTGATATAACAAATATTGCGCAAACAACAACGTTTTTTTCCAGTTATAAGAACTAAAGCATGGTTAACAGAATCTGTACAACACTGAAATGTAAATGCGCATCATTACCGATCACCTTTTGCTAAAACGTGCGCGTTTAACAAGAAATACGGATGAAATTTCAACGGCATAGTGGTCCGCACGCGACCAAACGATTTGCATAACCAGCGCGCGGGTCCTAATCGGAAAAACGCACTTATTCAAATTAATAACACTAACCTTGAGATGTTTATGTTGAGATTTCTGCGCTGCCTAGCTCCGGAGGCGAATAACTATAAAAAGATTGGTCTGGAAAGTGCGCCAAATTTGAGTCAGTTAATCTTGAGTCCAAGTGTGATTATGACGATAGGCGATCGCTCGGGTGGCCTTGTGCAAAAGGAAATGAGGTCGCGGTAAACATGATCGCTTATCACAAAGCAAATGCTACACGCTGCGCAACGTGCAATCAAGAAACGCGATTCTATTTCGAATTACATAAAATTGCAGCATTATATATGAAAGCGCACAAGAACAGTCGCGTCTGCGCTAGGACTGAGTAAACTGCGCAAAATGCTATGCATACGGCATCAGCATAGATCGAAAATTTTAAGAATTATGTGCATACGCCACTTTCCATCAACACTTCAGTCTTGCGGCCGCATTATAACTGGTAATGTACTCAATATAAACTGTACGTGTAAACAGGAATCGCAGACAAAGTTTGCTAATGGTAATAATCATCAGTTCCAGGATCAATTCTTTAATAAACTTTTATTTGTTTTGTGAATGTCCATGTTAGGTAACTCTCTAATAAAGAAGTGTGTAAGATGATTTTTGCAATCTACGCAACAGAGAAATACACTGCAGTCTGCAAAATATTTTAAAAACAACGGTTATTTAGAATAAAAATTCCCTCAAAAGTCATTCGCGAGGAAGCCAAAACTGACTGTAAGCAACAGTGCATGGTATATACCCTAGTGTATGACTGCATAGTACATGGTATTGAAAAGCATAGAAAACGACAATGACTTCATGATCAATAGGATCCCACTGAATGATTCAAGAAGATCTCGCAACTGAATAAAGGTGCCCAGAAACTCAATCCAGTGTTATAACATGCCATGTGAATGATGTGACGTGTTGTATGTTGAATGATGTGACGTATTGATTTAATGTTTATAGAACGCGGCACGATGTTTAAAGTTTAAACTATAAAGAAAAAGCAACAGGAATGTAAATCAATTATACACCGGAACTTATTACTTAATTCACTAATGGGATTACCTGGGGGTGTAAAGCCAAGGTCTCTGGATCACGAAAACGAGGCTTCCCCCTGCAAAATGGGAGTTGCGCAACTTCGGAAAGATGCATTGACCTGACTATTGCCTAACCCAGTGTTCTGAAAACTGCGTAGTTATGAAGGACACTTAGCATTTGCTATATATACATAATCGGTAATACTGTGTAATTTAGATTTTTTGGAAAAGCATTTTTAAGACCATGATAACGAAGTTGTATGACTTGTATCAATAGTAGAAATGTATGATTACTGGGCCAGGTTAATTGTTGGTTGCTGGGTCAAATATTGGTGGCTAGTGATTAGCAAACGCCTGTATTTACATAATTTGAGACAACTAGCTGCATTTGAGTACATTAACTGGAAAACAGTGGGACATTCCTATCATCTTCACTGGATAGTTCTAGGGAGGATCAATGCCATGTTTTGTTTTGGCTAATGCGATTACCCAGCCACAAGACACTAATTAGCCATGTTTTATCAAAGCATACATTGAACCATTTTACATGGGTAAAATGTTTACATTCTATATGGTTAAATGTTTACACAAGGGATAAAGATTCCACCCATATGGCATTTCCACCCAAAGGTAAAAGGTTACTCCACCCACAGTTATGCTCCACCCAAAGAGTGAATTAAAGTTACTCCGGTGGTAGCATTTTTTACACATGGTTAGTTTGATATCGCACAACATGTTTTCACAGGAAATTTATCATAAATTGGATTAGGGTTGAATAGTTCTAAATAGGAGAGGAACGTCAGGCTTGGCTGGAGGAGGCGTAGCTCAATACAAATAAATTATGTCCAGGTTTGTTTCAGAATCAATCAGATATGATAACTGCATGCCATGGCGACTAGCGGTCTCTACAAACTGAGTTTTTTTTAAAAAAAAACAGTCGAAACCAATCAGATATGATAACTGCATGCCATGGCGACTAGCGGTCTCTACAAACTGGGGTTTTTAAAAAAAAACAAACAGTCAAAAACAACATTAATAACAGTTAGTTACGCACAAACATGAATTATGTGTAGATTACTTGACATTTGTCTGGCCCAATACATGCAATTTAGCCTGAATAGAGGCTTCTATACCGTATTTAAGGATGTATTTATTAATTATTTGGTCGGATTAACCATAAACTTATAATAACCATAAAATTATTAGTCATCTTCGAAGCAGGAATAAATCAAATTACTGATTTATTTTTGGACTGTCACAATAAGCTTTGTACAAATTTTCACACGCCGTAACATTTCTTTGTAGCGGATTTCCACTGCCGTGCCACTTTGTTCGCGCGTCCTCGCACCGTCGCACGAAAAAACCTAAAACCTACAGAGAGAACTAACTTTATTCAAGAATTCATTTGATGGTTTTACACGTAAAATTTACATAATTTCACACATCTACATCTACGTGCGTGTACGAACGTACAAAACGCGACATTGGAAGTTAGCCTTGATAATGCGGTTAGCTTTTATGAAAGGAAATGGAATTAGCAACGACTTTGGTAATCCAGTTACATTTGGTTCGGGGAGAGTTGAAACATACGAGTACCAGCCGGTGCAAAGAATGTTCAACGACAGTTATACTTCATGTAAAACCAGTTTGGACTTCTTAGACGCGATCGTAAAGATGGAACAAAATTGATGGCCATCAACAGGAAGAATTTCAAAAATATTTAAAATGAACCATACACAAATTCGTAAATATTCGTTTATTCATCTACAAATACAATACATTTCCTTATACAATTCCTCATCGTGTGACGTTTTAAAAGCTGTACAACAGAAGCAATGAATGTAACAAAGTAATACTGTAATCGACAAAAGAATCTTCCGTATGGAATTGTTAAGTTCATCAAAGATCTAAAGATATTCTCACTTTTATTTGACTTCGAACAGAGATTGAATGATTACTTTAAAACTATATTCTGTTCCCTGTTCACTTCGGTTTTGTTTCTGTGTCTGTTACACTGCGGATGTAGATTGAATCTTCAGGGGGGCTAAAATAAACATGATAATGCTAGGATTAGCAGTACAAAGATTACGGAGGCTATCTTCTTGAGTATAAGCTGGATGGGGCACTCCCTAACACATCTCATCTGTATGCTTCTGTTACCGATGGAGATGTACAATAAGCACAACTCAAAGTGAGAAACTTCAACAGACTTACTTCTTATTTTCTTCTTCATGCATAAAGGAAGAAGATATTGCTAAAGCAGTTCCATCATGACTGAAAGATAACGAGCTGATACTCGTCGGGTAGCGATGAAACTAAAACAACAATTTGAACCTGGTAAGTTTATGGTTAGCGTGAGATCGAAATTTCTATCGTCGTTTTAAAAAAGGGAGTATTTGACCCAAATAGTAAGAAAATCGGCTTAAACCAGATCTTCTTTTGAATGACCCGGTAATGGTAAATTGTTTCTAAAAACAAAATTCCTAGAGATTTCTCTATTCTTAGACCAACCATAAGTGATTATAGGAATTGAACATGTGATTTCATCAGACCAAACACGTGCTTACCGCGTCACGACAGCACGATATAAGTGCAATGTACTGTGGGGAAAAAGTCCTATGTACCTGGGTGTATAAAAAAACTGCAACCTTAATCATTCCCAGAGGCCTACGATCTTTTGTTATTGACTAGAACCGAGCATATATGAATAAAGTGTTGCAGGTTTTTTATACACCCTGTACATGGTTAAAAGCTTGTGTGACGTAACCACGTCAAAAGGCAGTCTATACCATTGTTTCTTACGTCACTTTTGAAGCCCGCCGCATGAGGAGATTTTCAAAGGCAACTTCGCACGCGCGTGCAAAGCAAACGCAATGGAAAACATTTTATAAAGTTCATTCAGCGTTCCAGCCAACTTCACTACAGTCCTGCTTCTTGTGATATTTACCTGACAAAGTCGCTTCTTATTAAAACCATCCCAAACATTGACATATCCATCTGATCCACCAGTTGCAAACGTATTATGGCTGAAAACGTTTTCGTTTGATAACAATTAAGAAATATAAAATCACAGGCTTTATACTACGCTGTAAGAAAACACAGAAATATTTATCTTCACTTACACATTATGAAATGAGATTGCATTAACAGGATAAATCATTTCCATCCCAGATTCTTTAATTCGGTGACATTTAAACGCATATTTTGTTTTCTGAACTTCAGGACTTGGATCAAAATATTCCACAGCAACACGACCTTCAATAGAACTCAAGACATACCCTGTAAAGATGAAGAAATCCATGTTCGAAAAGTGACTAAGAAAGAGAAAGAGAGTGATCATTCAAAATTCTAAGTTTGGTTCTGGCCATTTTTTGCTTTTCTTGATCATCTAAGCTTTCTGCCTGCACTAGTGACGGGTTTCTTCAAGGGTGCCGGAACCATAGGGGCAGCTGCCCCCTGCCCTTCGTTGATGGGAGCAGCAAAGCTTGCCCTTTAGATGCTCATAGACATTGAATGTCTAAAATTAAATATTTTTCCTTGTTTGCCTTAGGAAACTAAAGTGCCCTTGTTTGAGAGACTGCCCCCCCTGCTCAGTGCCTCTGGGGTTTTTTGCTATAAGGTAAAAAATTGAATATATCTTGGTCCAAATTCTGGATCTGGTGTGTATCAATTAAGACTGGCAAGAAATTTATTTGAGTGTTCAACCTTGTTTATTAGGAAATGTTCTTATACATCTTGTCTGATACTTTAAACTTGATTCTCGTTTTTGTTGAACATAACTCTAAAAACAATCAGTGATACAATTTTACATTAAATAAACAACGGAAAATATCAATTGCAAAAAGCAGGGATGGGTTAAAACAATATTTAATATACCATATTCCTTAAGTCCCAAACCATAACTCTTCTACCAGCCTGAAAAAATGTATCACAATTAAAACCTGGCCATAAACTGTTCTTTTTAAAAACCATGGAAGCATTTTAATGTAAGTGTTTTGTAAAACTCACTGTTCCAACAACTAATCTTTCATCTGCTAATGCCATGGTATAAACCTACAATTATTAAAATATATATGAAACAAAATTTTGTCATTTTATGTAGAGAGAAATTGTAGAAAATGTAATTTTAAGCTACATAAGATTAGTTACGAATGAAATTTCAACACAGTGTATGCTGTAGTTCTGCAATTTTGTACCTTATCAGGTTGTGAGTAAGTACCAGTAGGCTGAGCTTGTCGAGGGTCCCAGGTCTTAACTGTTTTATCCCAACTTCCAGTTATAATTATACCTAAAGTTAAGAACAATTTTTGACTTAATACATAAGAAAGTTTCAAATAAAGTCATTTACAAAAGACAGTTCGTGTAAGATACTCTAAGAATTTGTGTCATATGTAAGATAAGTAGATAACTGCATGTACCCAATTGTGAACAGAACTCCACACAGCGAATTGTTGCCTCATGTCTACCCACTTCCTTTTCTGCTGAACCATTAAAATCATAACTAAAATTTAAAATATATATATGTACATAGTTCTTGTAAAAAATGAAATGCTCCTATAGTCTGGATTGGTATACTAGAAAATTTCATTTGCTATAAATGGCTCTGGCCCTACTACAATTTAGGCTAAATAATGTTTTTGCTAAAACATGTGTCTATTAAATTTTTTCTTAGAAGGATATGTCATTCATATATTACTATAAAACAATATATATCAGGTCATACGTTTTCAAGATACAATCAAGGCCACCACTATATGAGTGTACACCATCAGTAAAGCAACAATCTAGGACAGGTCCTTGATGATTGTAGGTCAATCTTTGCTTGTTTGAACTAACATCATAAAGTCGAACAGACTGAAAATAAATTGTAAGAGTGAATGCATGGCTATTCCATCCAGTGTAGAAAGTATGCACTGCATGGGTGAGGGGATATCAGGCATGCAATTTCGATGTCTTCTATTTATTCACTTATTATTTTCTAGAGCCTGCAATAGAGCTGTGATGTATGTATATACAGACACTACACACTTTGCATCATACAGTATACTAGTAGTCTAGTACGATATAACTTAGCATCAAATGTGGTATAACAACTGCCTAACAGAAAAGGCCTTCGGGTCGAAACGTCGAGAAGTGTTTTGTCTATTTTAGGCAGTTGTTATACCACATTTGATGCTAAGTTGTTTGAAGACGCTGCCACGCTGCTCCCTGGTTATATAGGAACTTAGTACGATATAAGTTTATAGTAACTTTTATGATGTTTCCAAATTAGACATTGTGCCAAAGCACAAAACGAATGCTAGTTGCTGCTTGCTGGAGTACTAAATATTGTATATTTATTGTATTTATAATCTTATTATATGATTTAATAATATATCTACAATGACACTCACGTCATCCCAGGAGGAAACAAGCAAAAAATTGGCCGAAGTAGGGCTGAAATTCACAGATGAAATTGTATCACTCGGGGGCGATTCTAGTACAAATTCATTAGTTGCTGGACCAACATCAGCCTCGGAACTCAAAGACATTTTAGTATTTACTATTTTTTCACACGTTGAAGCTTCATCTGTTATTGAACTTGGAGGGAAAACTTTAATACTTCATAAAAAGGTCATTATTGTCAACTGAGATGACCACTATAACAAACTGGAGTGTTTAAACTTTTCCCGGTATATGGATTATGGAAGGTCGAATTTGAACCCGAAATAAATGTTTTGCAGAAGTAAACGCGGTCTGGCCATATTGAAGTTGAGCAGAAATGAAAGATTGCAGGAAAGCTCCCACCAAATTACTTGCAGACATGTTTCGACTTACAATAGTAAATTTTGTCATTTATTTCTAATGCTTGATTGCTCTTGTGCTGATCAGATCGTAATATTTTTCATCAGTATTCAGTACTGACAGTACACATAAAAAGTGTATGTCAAAAACTGAACAAATGTTTTGTGTTATCTTTAAGAGCAGTTTAGGATCATTTCTCCGGCTATCTTTTCAAGGATGTTCAACATTGGATAACGATTTCATGTCCGCATGTTCAAGCAAGGGTTTAAAATTGCCGTATGTTCTGTTGTCTGCATGTCCGAGTATCCGTGTTCCGCCTGTTAACCACACTGACCTATACTTTACCCTCGCACACCCTCGCCTCCCTGAAGATCTTAGGGCCTGTTTACGTGGAGTGAGTTATCCCACCCCACTGAGTGTCCCACCCCCTCAAGATCAGTGGTTATCCCCGGCTAGGCGAGCTAAGCCGGTTGTATCAAGTCGTTTAGCGGTGGATATTAAAGTAAAAATTAAATAACACTCTTACAACTCTCTTGAATGAGTGAACTTGAATATTATGCACTGAATATGTGTTTGTAAACAGTATCTTTTTATCAAGGTCAAAAACATTTTGTTCGCTTGTTGAATAAAACGGCAGACTAAAAGACTTGCTTTCTAGTTTGAACTTATCCACAAACAAAACGGGCTTGATAAAACCGGATGTGTTAACAGTGGATGTGTTGGCAGTTTTCATCTCGCCTTAATTATTGATCACTCTTACTTAGGAACGCCTGAACGCGGGCATGTTTACATTCTGGTCATACAATGCAAGTTCTTTCAAAACCGCTTGCAACACAATATATTATTAATCGTTTGCGAGTAAATATTTGTGAGAAATATTTTGTAAGTGCATTATAAGAGTTCTAAATTTCAAGAGTTCTTGAAAATTGTATTTGACAGAGAAGCCATATTAAGTGGAAATGCCACTTTTTTTTGCAAATTGCGGTCCTGATCAGGTGATGGCCATCTCGGGTGAGTACTGAAGAAGGCGTCATATTTGCACAGCACGATTGTAAAATGTCGAGAGATTTAGAAAATATTTGATTTTTAAAATACGATTCTCCTTAAAAGTGTAATGTGTGCATTGATTAACATTTAGGGGGGTTTATATTACTGCATATTTCGTGCTGTAGAAGTTTCATACTTTAAATCGGTGTCAAATACCTACAATTTATTATTATAAAGAATTTAATTTGTTGTTGCAAATCAACATTCTAATTCTAACCGGCGTTTTCCTTGTCATTCTTGAATGCTTTTTTCGTTAAAAGCCAGTGGCTAGATTACTGCAGTGGCTAGATTACTGCAGGTATATTGATTCAGTCTATCATTTGTAAAAAGTAACATGCATTTTTGGCATATTTTATATAAATCTGTCCGAGGAAAAATCTGTCCGAGGAATTTTTTGGGCCAATACTTTTGATTTTATGTAGTTAATTGTGTGCTTACATTATCACAAAGTGGCAAGCCCATATTTAGGGGTTCACAAAATAGTGATTTTTGCTATCCACTGTGAATTCGCTGTGAAATTATTGTGATTTTTTCAACAGGATGTGGTCATCACCCATACAGAATCATCCAAGGTGGAAGAGCATTCATAATGCCATGTTTTCAAAAAGTTCAAAAGTAATTTTTTCACTCTTTGAATAGGGAATTTAATTTGTCATCTGTGAACAGCTATAAACTGCCTGTTCAATGCTGCAGGAAAAATGGGTGATGTTTGCTTCACTTTTATCACTGTATTAATTGTTTTAAAAAAATAGAAACATCAGCTTTCCACTCATTTGAGTCATTTCATAATGAAATTATCAGCTTAGCCTTAGGTCTGGCTAGAAATATTTTGCTTTGTTAAAGATGGCGAGGGGTTGTTGCATGCATGTATTTCTAGTATAAAACAGTATGACTTTCTTTAGTAAATTTATGTAGTACCGGTATGCAAGGACATTTGATAACTTTTCAAAACATTTCTGCCTAATTTAGAATGCCATTGAGTATATTCACCCTAAATGTTCAATCTCCAAAGGCATACACACATCATGGAGTCCCAGTCATTGTCAGTGGGATTGCACAGGTATTGTAACATTTGCTATTAGAGTAAATAAGAGTTCTTAAATCTATCATGTACCACCTTTAAGCAATTTGTGGTAGGCCAATCTTGACACAAGCCTTGGATATCATTAGTGTGTCCCAAAGTACTATTGTTGTGTACTGAAATATAATTTCAGGTTAAGATCAATTCTCAAAATGAAGACATGTTGAGGCAAGCATGTGAACTATTCATGGGAAAGAAAGCTGCAGAGATTCGTAACATTGCATTAGAAACAATGGTAAGAAAAATTATTTTGACTACTATTAGACATTTATTGTGGATGTGTGTGATTTTCTTTCCTATTCCTTAAGGCTCAGATAGGTCTGAATATTAATGCAGTCACCCTTCCCATGACCCTTGCACCTCTGCCTAATTATGTTAGAATTGTTTGCATTTTATGATGAATAGCTTACACTGTAGCCATGATATCTTCCAACTTTAATGTTAATTTTGTATTTCTAACAGGAAGGTCATCAGCGTGCAATATTGGCAAGGATGACAGTAGAGGTATTACCTTACTATTTCTGTGAGTCAATAAGTGCCACTTTAATATGTATTATACTATTGATAAATGATGCCTTCAATAATGTTGTAGGAAATTTACAGGGATCGGAAGAAGTTTGCCAAAAGTGTGTTTGAGGTAAGGCTTTAATGTGGGCAGAGGGATCAAAACTTAATCTTGATTCCAATGTTATTTTGCAGATACATACAGTACTGTATCTACTGCAGTTACATATCTGCTATGTAAATTATAAAATGGGGAAAAAAGAAAACATTTATTCATCTATTTAAGGTTGCTTCTGCTGATCTGTTAACCATGGGAATATCTGTGATTAGTTATACATTGAAAGACATCCGAGACGATGAGGTGATTATATGCCTATATTACAATAACTCTCTACCTTTCCTCTGTCTTTCAGTCTTTCTGTAAATATGCCTACTCATTTGTGATTTTCACAACTTCATTTCCCACATGCTTTTATTCCAGAAAAATGTTACATCTGTGGTCTGATACACTTTCGGCCTTTTTATTCAGGACTATCTAAAGTCGTTAGGCAAGAGCAGGACAGCAGAAGTGAAGAAAGATGCTCGTGTAGGAGAAGCTGAGGCATCCAGAGACTCTGGGATTAAGGTGAGAGCTGCTAAATACTGAGCTCAGTATACACCTGAACTAATGATCAGGATTCTCGGAGAGTGTGAACGGTCTAAGACCAGTCCTGCTTCAGTAAATTTTTGAGTTTAATGCTTCTAGACCGCATTGGCAGACCTCGCGAGATTGGAAGCAAAGTATGAGAACGACATTGAAATAGCTCGCCAAGAACGAGATTTCATGATAAAAGATGAAACTTATAACCGCGAAATAAAAACTAAAGTCGCCACGGCTGAGTTGGCTTACGATTTACAAGTCGCTATTACTAAACAAACCATAAAAGAAGAAGAGATGGGAATTAAGATCGCAGAGAGAGCTCAAGAGATTAAAGTACAACAAGAGGTGTGTATGTGGATTGAAGAAAGATAGAGAGTTATTGTAATATATAGTGTGTAAGTTAGATTCAATAATAACTAAGTATGAGTTGATGGTATATAGTACTCTGGGGTACAGGGAACTGGCCTCAGAGTGCCTCTGGCTGCATGCCATGCAATGTAAAGACCCATGTCTTATGTACCACAAAGGCTTCTTTTCACAATTTCACTCATCGCGAAGACCAACTGACAAGCTCGGTGTGAGTGTTTTCATCCAAACAAAATGCTTCTTGGTTATTTTAATTAGATGCAAGTAGCTGCAGCGAGCTTACGAGTGGATTTTTGACAAGACAAAAAGAACTGACGTCTTCACAAATTAAAATAGCACTCACCTTATCCGCTCTGATATGATTATTTGTTTATTCAATATAAAGGAAATTGCAAGACGGGAGAAAGTTCTTGAAGCGAATGTTAAACTTCCTGCAGACGCAAGTAAATATGAAATGGAGAAAATGGCGGAAGCTGATTTACAAAGAGTTGTCCTTGAAGCAGAAGCCAAGGCCGAGGCAGTCAAGGTTGGCATCGTGACGTGCAGAGCATGCTTTATAACTTGGTTTGAATAATTTTAGAATAATTTATAACATTATATTTTGGTCAGTTTGGTATTTTCTATAATCAACAATCTGGCGTTTGAAGTTATCAGGGAAATGTGAACAACTGAGAGGCAATCAGGGTTCTACATTGATACGATCTCCGTCTTGAAAGTTGAAACTTTTATCTGGAAAGTTGAAAAATATTTGAAACTTTTAATAGCTTGGGAAATGTCCATTACAAAATGAGTGATTATCATCCACCACACATTAGGCAATACTCAATTGCTGGAAACAAATGTGATATATAGACACAGATAATATAAAAAACACACATTAATCAACTTTCATTCTCTAGCAATAAATAATCACTTTTTAGTTGAAAGGCGAAGCAGAGGCTTACGCTATTGAAGCGAAGGCGAAAGCAGAAGCTGAACAAATGGTGAAAAAAGCCGATGCTTGGAAAGAATATGAAGATGCTGCCATTGTTGATATGTTTCTGGAGACGTTACCTAAGGTCTCATTTTAACGTTACCTTCTAAGATTATTATCCCTGAATCTTTCAGTATTGTTTCCATCTTACGTCACGTACTCGTGATGTGGAGTTCCGTTGAGGACGGAGTCTTATATATATTTTTTTCGCTTTAGGTGGTAGCTGAAGTTGCTGCCCCAGTAGCGTCGTGTGATAAGATAACAATGGTGTCTATAGGAGATGGTCCAATTGGCATTCAGAAAATGACCAGGGAAATACTGGGTGCTGTAAAAGACCTTCCTACGGAGATGCATGACTTGACTGGCATCGATATTACCAAGGTGATTTTGCAAGCACTTCATTTACCTTTCCAATGTTTAATGCACTGCATTTTATTTCTGTACGTAATAATGATTAACTATTTTTTTTTTATTTTAGACGGTGAAAGCAAGAAGTCTTTAAATCCACATAATCATCATAAATCCTTTGTGTATATAATGGTGTAAAAATTGTGATGGCACAATATTTATAGAAATACTAATAGTATACCCAATAATTGATGTCCAACGAAAGTATACAATGATGCCGTTGGTCTATAGCAAAGGTTGATATGAAAGGTTTTATCAAAGTCGTCCAAGACATGCGAAACGCATGTTCATTTTCATGTGACGTATACAGAAGGAATATTAGGAAGGTTAAAATACAATAGCGGGATACGACACTTTTAATTGAAGAATATATGGGAATCAACATTGGGCACAGCTCTGTCATTACTTTGACCTGAAGGGGCTTTCCGAGGTACTAATACTATGGCCTCTTTACACTACTGGGTATATCAAAGAGAAGCAACACTTAATATTCTAAAATTCATATTGTTCTTAAGCACAATAGAATTTTAGGCCTCTGGGACCGGGATTACAATGGCTAGTCAGCCTTGTTTTTTTATGTGGAAAAACAAGGTACAGCAATTCCGTCCGTTAGACGTTAACGGCAAGCGAAAATGCTCGGAGAATCCGGTATAGAGTGTAAGCAAAGCCTTAACTTTCAACATTTGAAAGTATTTAGGGTATAACATTAATGAAATTAGGGTATACATATCCAAAATTATTTAATCAATGTAAATGCGTAAGACGAATATGTAATAATTATTATTATTAATTATAATTATATAATGTATGCATTAATTTTTCTATGCAATACTTAGAGCATTTTTATCACTACAAAGATATTATCTCGAAACATTCTTTGAAAGAGTAAGCCGCCGTAATGCAGATATCAGGGCCTCTTTTAAGGATATGTAACTGGGTGGGACATTTTCCCCAAGGGACCTGAAATAACGTAAAAAGGGGACCTGAAAAAATCTATTAAAGTCCATAAAATTCCAGTTACTAGTTTAAATATAGGTTTCGCTACACTATAGGGCAACAGATGATGATCAAATTTAGAAAATAATGTCAACACACGTTAACTTTGGGAGTTATTTTCACACCAAAAATATGAAAAGGGACTTTCTACTGGGGGGGACAAAATTGCCGACTGGGGGGGAAGTAAGGGGGGCTGGGGGGGCAATTTCCCCCCCAATCTATATGTTAAAAGAGGCCCTGGCAGATATTTCTGCGATTAATCCTGAAACTGATTAAAAATTCTTTAAATTATTTATGCAGGTCGAGCATGTTTTATAGCGATAAATATCCAACTGGATGCAAGCGCCGGACAAACAAAGACCAAGCATTACTGAGCACATGACTTTGTACTTAATGACGTATGGTATTGTGTGTGGTTATAGTGGTATAGTTTTTATAGACAGCGACCGATTCCGCGCGTTTAACATAACAGTACGAATAAGAAGTCGTTTACTGACCCAAGGGAAAAGATATTTAAGAAAAGATGCCAAATTATTTTGCAACTTGTGGTCCCGATGAAGTGATGGCTATCTCTGGTGAGTATTGTATATTGCGTCATATTTGTACAGTACGACTTTATGTCTATTGTTTGATTCAATTGAATGAAGTTTAGGTATGATGCAGGCGCACAGCGCAGACTAGATTAGAAGTAAAATGTTACGAATTTGTTACGAATAACGGAAAGAGGATGAAATAAAGGATAGAAGGAGGAATATATTTTAATTGGATCTCAGCACAAAAGCTAGGTAGAAGTGGCGTGCTAGAACGATAATCGCATTTACATAATATTCTAGTTCCTTGTGAAGATGACATTACGGATTTGGTAATTTATTGTCAGACAAATTTATGCTTCAACGTCTTAATCACTCAGCCGGCAAATACGTGATTGGTAGCCGTTAATTATTTAATTAATATAATGATTTGTTTCAAATCACATTATTGAGAGAGGACAGTATAGCTAGGGCCTATTGATTGTGCAACCCGGTGCCACATATTTAACCAGTTACTGCATTAGGCTGGATTTCCACTTATAGAGAAATAGTTCGCTAGCGAAATATTTGTTCTTAAGAATTTTAACGACAAAAATAAATTATTTCAACATGATTGCTCTCAATTCGAAAGAAAATATGCAAATATTTCGCAAGCAAACTATTTCTCTGTAAGTGGAAATCTACCCTTACTACTGGCTGCCGTTAGCCAGCTCGGAAGTTCTGATGATTCTGATTGGCTGGAAAATGCAATTGGCTGGCTGTGAATATGGTAATACCATGTAGGGTAAACGGTTTTCATTTGTTTTTGGCATCAACTGAGCCGTTGCTAGAGAATTCTTTATCTTTAAAGCTAGAGTATTCAAAATCATTTACCGCATTCCTTTGTATTTTATGAGAAGCCTGCTTTTAAGTTTTGAAAACAAAGACCGTCTTTTTGTATGGTTAAGGCTAAGATCTCTTTAACTTTCTAATTTTTTTTAAATGTTTGTGAGGCGCATAGGATGAGAAAAATCAGTCTTTTAGGGTGTCACTTTATGATTGAGGTTTAAGGCTAATTTGCAAACGTCAAACTGCTGATTTTAATTATTTTATACCTCGACAAGTTTAATTTTTACCTCTAGTTAGTTTGTTAATTGTTTTCAACTTGAAGCCACCTAAAACAAAAGTTTACCCCTATGAGCTATGTTCAAAGATGCAAAAAGTCGTTCTTCACATGCATGAAAAATAATTTTCACTCATTCAAGGATAAATGTAAAAATGAGACAGTGCATGGTCAGCATTCTAAAGTCCCATTACCAGAAATTTGCGACATGGTGATTTGCATTATATACTATAACTTGAAGGCCATTATGTATAGCAAATTAGCGCACAAGCGACAGCCGCCATTTTGTCATCTATTGCCTGGTAATGATTGTGAAAATAAATGAGAACTATTGTGAATTTTTCACAGGATGGGGTCATCGACCTTACAGACTCGTTCAAGGTGGAAGAGCTTTCGTATTGCCATGTGTTCAACAAGTTCAAAAGTAAACTTGTTTTTCCACTGTTTTCACGTTTTGTGTGCTTGTCTGGTACTGCATGTGTTAGCTTTCAAATTCTTGTTATTCATTTAATTCTAGAATGCCATTGAATATATTCACCCTGAATATTCAATCCCCAAAGGCATATACACATCATGGAGTCCCAATTATTGTTAGTGGAGTTGCACAGGTAATTGTAATAGTTCATTTATTCTAAGACTAAGGAGTAACCAAATTGTGCTGTGAAAAAAAACGCGATTTGTGCGGTGATAAAAGAGTTTTAGCGCAGTGTCAGTTGTCTTATATATGCACATTATTGAGGGTAAGTGTAGATATAATTGCATGTGTATTTATCATAGTGTGTTATAGTTTGCTGCATAGAATCGGTATATTGCGTAAATTTTAAGTCGCAGAATCAGTACATATATACATGCACTCATCCTGATGCAAGGCAGCCGGAACGTTCCTGAAACAACGTTATATGTACGCCCGGCAATTTCTACCGTTTCTTGCAATTCAGTTGTGCATGTTTTGCTGGTGGTTGAGTACAGATCGATCATCAGACTGATGGTAAATTGATAATAATTCCAAGGTGAAAATCAATTCCCAGAAGGAAGAAATGTTGAGGCAAGCATGTGAACTATTTATGGGAAAGAAAGCTGCAGAGATTCGTGGCATTGCTCTAGAAACAATGGTAAGAGAAATGATGTTGATCACCATATGGTGGACTTTCATTGTGATCGACGTCATTTCATGATCCTAATCCTTTTCATACGTCTTACACAGGCTGCTAAATCTATAAAATCTAGATCTATAAAAACATGTTATTGCGACTAAGAAGTAAGAAGTAAGAACTAAGAAGTTTAAAGTTTACATAGAATACAAGAGATTTTAGAACTGTAGCTCCACAAATTGTTTCACAACTTTGGATCAACATAGCAACACTGTATTATAGCCGTGAAATCTCCTGCCTTCAATGATTATTTTCCATTTCTGACAGGAAGGCCACCAACGTGCTATACTTGCAAGAATGACTGTAGAGGTATCATTTTGTCTGACTTCTCTGTGGGTTAACAATTAACTGAGTACTATAGCTTATTATGTGACGTACAATTGATAAATGACATCTGGTTATCGTAGGAAATTTACAGGGATCGAAAAAAGTTTGCCGAGAGTGTTTTTCAGGTAAGCCTTGTAGCGGCTAATGTTGGATGAGAGGATCAAATCTGAATCCTAATTTTTATTTTTCTTTCCCACTGTTACGTTGTATCAGTGAAATTGAGCCTGTGTGATATTTTGTTTCAATTACTTGGTGTTTAATTAAAACAACAAGAAAAGTTTGAAAATTATGTATAAAATGTTCCATATTCAAGTAATTTAACCGTTAACAATCTGTATGGAGAATTAAAAAAATAAAACATCTCCTCAAGGTTGCCTCTGCCGACTTGATAAACATGGGGATATCTGTGATTAGTTACACACTAAAGGACATCAGAGACGACGAGGTATGTCCGTATAAATATGAGTTGATTGTAAATTGCCTTACTTCATATTTCTCTCTATGTCGCGTTATGTACCGGTTGATGCCTCTTTATCATTTTGGCCCCTCATGTTATGTCCTTGGGCCAATTTTCCTCCCAAACCCGGCTCTCACAAACTCATAACTGCGACCTTTTGTGTTTCAGGGTTATCTAAAGGCATTAGGCAAGAGCCGGACAGCAGAAGTCAAGAAAGATGCTCGCGTAGGAGAAGCTGAGGCATCCAGAGACTCTGGGATTAAGGTGGGAGATTGCTAAATACTGAGCTCTCTATACTGTGAACGCTCCGTAATTGGCAGTGCCGTAAGACCAGACGCCATGGGAACGCCTCGCTAAATAGTTAGTTTATTGAATCGATTCCAGACCTCGTTAGCAGACCTCGCGAGATTGGAAGCAAAGTACGAGAACGATACAGAGATAGCTCGACAGAGTCGCGACTTTAAAGTTAAAGATGAAACTTATAGACGCGAAATAAAAACTAAAGTCGCCACGGCTGAGTTGGCTTACGATTTACAAGTTGCTATTACTAAACAAACCATAAAAGAAGAAGAGATGGGAATTAAGATCGCAGAGAGGGCTCAAGAGATTAAAGTACAACAAGAGGTGTGTATGTGGATTGTGAGATTGTAGTACGTTGTAAGTATACGTATAGGTACCACAAGGGGTATTATTGAATTGGGGCTTTATCTCCTGCAAGTTGCACCCAACTGCTGAAAGAGAAATCTAGAAAGAGAAAAATGTAGGGAACCACACACTGAGAAGCGTTTACTGTTAAATTGTGAGCTATAGAGCTCTGGTTTTCAACATGCAAGAGACCATCGGAGCAAATGATCGTACTTGATCGTATTTTGGAAAACAGAGAACTTAATGTCTCTGACAATTAATAGACACCTACTGTGGTCAGTAGATTCACGTAACGTTCTAGTACTTAATATCCAAATAAAAATGAAATGGGATGTTTCATGTTTGTCGAAGGCATCCAAACGATTGCATCCCCATCTTCTCACGGCAGTGTATTAACCCAAGAATTTCCAACTGATTGCAATTGTCTAAAAAACAACTCCTTTCAAAAAATTATTATGGCTATAATAATAAGCAGTGGCTGGTAGGCCTTGTGATCTCTTGTTATCATATGATCTCATCACGAACCACAACTAAGGAGAGAAAGACTCGTTGATTCAGTCAGCGACGACATAATTGAAATTCAATATACAGCTTACATACGGGGACCAACGTTGTAAGAAGACCATCGTTGACCAACGTCAAACCAGGGTGCATATATATTATAGTATATAAACGCCCTACGTGAAACTGAACGGTTAACGGTTTCTTCCGATCTGTAGGAAATTTCAAGACGAGAGAAAGTTCTAGAAGCGAACGTTAAACTTCCTGTCGATGCAAGTAAATATGAAATGGAGAAAATGGCAGAAGCTAATTTACGAAGAGTTACCTTAGAGGCTGAAGCCAAGGCCGAGACTATCAGGGTATGTCAGAAATGTTTAGTCGATTAGAATCATCGTAGAATAATCTCCTGGTGGTACATTATTTTTTAATCAACCTGACTAAGAAAGAGAAACACAGTCGTTGATTTTAGGGGAACTGGAACTTTGAGTACTGAAAGCGTAGGTCATGGTTCCAAGACGGAAAAACGGTTCCAGAATATCACTCAATCAGACACTACATAACTGGGTTATTGGTGGACACAATTGTGATAGACACAGACTCACAGAGATTATTAAAGACACACGCACCAACTTTTGTATTCTTTTTCTGTACATTCTGTAGCAATTATTCATCGCTTTTTTCAGTTGAAAAACGAGGCACTGGCGTACGTCATTGAGGCGAAGGGGACAGCGGAGGCTGAAAATATGGTAAAAAAAGCCGATGCTTGGAAACAATACGAGGATGCTGCCATTGTTGATATGTTTCTGGAGACGCTTCCTAAGGTCTCATTTTGATATTCTTGTCTAAGATTATTATCCCAGAATCTTTCAGTATTGTTTCCATCTTCCGTCACTCAAGCTCATCTAGTTGATCCCGCCGGGTACGGACGAGTTCTTCATCATCATGCCTCTCTTTTTTATTGAGGTATACCTTTCGATCTTCGAGGGGAGAGAAGAGAGAGGTTGAAGATGAAACACAGAATCTCGATATGGAAGGAAAAAACTCCTTTAAGTAAGAAAACGTATAAAAATGGAGGAAATTAATTTTTTTCTGCTTTAGGTGGTAGCTGAAGTTTCTGCCCCAGTAACGTCATGTGATAAGATCACAATGGTATCTATAGGAGATGGTCCAATTGGCATTCAGAAAATGACCAGGGAAATACTGGGTGCTGTAAGAGACCTTCCTACGGAGATGCATGACTTGACTGGCATCGATATTACCAAGGTAACGAATGATTTAGTACTGAGTAATAAATAGTGATTTGCAAGGCACTCTATTTACTTACCCATTCGCAGATTTTATGTGTATTGGTTGAAATTCGGGGAGCCTATGCCAGCTAGCGTCAGCTAGCCTATATCGCTTCCAGATCCTCACGTTTTACAAAAGCTATCTTTGGGAATTAGAACCTACCGGAAGAAGGTCTATAAATGACAGAACTGAACAGTACCAAAAGTCTCTAGTTCTCACAGTAATTCACATACGCCATGATGATTAAACAACAACTGTGTTTTTCTAATTTTAGACGGTGAAGGCAAGAAGTCTTTAAATATTAATCATCATTATTCCTCGAAGGCTCGAAAATTATAGCCATATAGCTATTTATAGGAAGTATTGAAGTGAAATAACACCAGTTATGAAATAACATTAATATAGTTTTAAGGCCATGATACAGTTTTATTCAAGTCCGTGCAAGACTCCGACTTGTGCAGTTTTACTTTTACGTTCAATTGATTGGTGTGGTTAAGGTCTGTGAGGCTGCTTTTTCTAAATTTGGATGTGCAGCGATGTCTAACTGACCTTTATTAGTTTATTTTTTATAGGTATTTTTTAACCAAAAAAATAGATTTGCGACTAGCTTTTGTCCTACTAATACTCCTTTTATGATTGCTTTATTTGCTAGCACCTTCTTAAAATTATGATCTGTGCATGCACCATGTCCTAAATCCTTCTAAAACGATTAGGTTGGTCTAGCTTAGCTATAGATAAAGCTATAAGCGCCCTGCTTCAGCCGAAACCATATTAGTGATGGGCGATACTTCGATACCAAGTATCGATACTCACCGATATTTATGATTTGCAGTAAATATCGATACTTGACCAGTGGCTGCAAAATTTCGATACTGAGCCTACAGTATTTTAGGTCAGCGTTTTCCACCAAAAAGTATAAAAAATTTGATTTATTTTTTTTTGTTCGTCACTTTTTTGTTCCTTAGTTCTTTAATTATACGCTACCAATCACAACAATTTCTGCCCATTTTTCATTTCGCGAAAAAACAAAGGGAAAAGCCAAAAATGTGAGTGGATAAATGCACGTTACGGTTTGGTATATGAAATTACAAACGGTAAAAAACGGCTCAATTTTCTGGTATCGGTATCGAAATTTGGTATCGATACCACTACAAATTGTCTGGTATCGAAGCGGTATCGTATCGATTTGAAAAAGCTGGTATCGCCCATCACTAAACCATATGGCCGAAACAGCCGTACACTGCACTTATATGAAGTTTCCCAGCTTTGCTTGCTGGCTCAATGTTGTCAAGGGCGTAATTGAAGTTATTCAACACAAATTTGACTGCGTTGAAAAGGAATATAATTTTCTTTCTTTTCGTATTTTGTTGTAAATATTACATATTTTCGTCATGGTTGGCTTTGAAACTTGCGGACCGAATGAAGCACTTGTTGTTTCAGGTAAGATATATAAGTACTTAAATTTTGTTTTAAATTTTGCGATGAATTTAGAACAAAAATATTTTGCACAAGGTGCATCGTCGATCGCTACTGTGTCACTTAAATATTTGGAATTCAATTCTTTGTTCTGCAAAAATATCTGTGTTTAACAGCATTATAATACGATTACTATTTAGGTTTTTCGAATGCCAGATTTATAGAATTGAGTTTATTTCGCATTTTTCAATTTTGCTTTGTAAGCTTCGGGCTTTCATTTACGCTCTCTTCAAAATCATGTTCATAACAATAATTATGGGTGTAATAGGATCATATGTAAATGTACAATATAAAACATCATATTGGCGATGAAAAATGCAGAAATACTAGTATTGATATTATTACTTTTGAACGTAAAAGCAGTATTTATGTTGGACTTTTAATCCTTGGTATTTTGAATTTGATCTAACACCTTGTCAAATTATATACCCAGTTCAAGTTAGGCTAAAATATCAGGGGCTAAGTCAGGCCACTATTTATAATAATCCTCACGTTTTTCTTATTTTGTGTATTAAATAAATAATATATATTTGCTATCATATTAATTGACAATAAATTTCTTTTGATTCTTAAAACAAATTATAAAATACTCTTTGAAAACATGAAGAAACATGTTAAAATGTAAAACGTATACATTTGAATGTCAAATGAACACCTGTGAGTATAGACCTTTCTCATAATGATATCAAATGCAGGATGCAAATGTCACTCAAAGTTTATGGCAAGATTTTGAATCCTTAAAACTGCAATTGTTATTTTTATTATGATCAAAATAAAATAAAATTCTTCAATCAGATTAAAGTGTTGAATGTGCATAATTTGATGATGAAGTTCCTCATAGAATTGTATAAAAGGAACTTTGTTTTTTGAAAGTCATCCTGTTTATTAAGCTGAGACCACTTGACATGCCATAAATATTTATATATGATATATTATTATATTTGTGTACATTCTTTTCATATTGTCAATACGTAGGTCAATATTGCATGCGCATTCGTATGCAGGAAGTTGCATCTACAAGAAACGAGTACCCAAATGCAACCAATTCCTAAATACACTAATAAGACACACGAAACTCCCTTTGCTATTGATGCCAAGTTTAGTAACCATTTTTTGATGAGTTCTGAAACTTCTGTTGGGTGTAAAAAATCTATTTGCATTGTCATTAAATCTGCCTATCGTAAAGCCTAGTATTAAAATGCATTATGCTTTTTCAAACTTATAGGAATGTGTACTGGAGGACCACCAAAATATGTTGTTGGTGGAAGACTGTTTGTACTTCCAGTTGTTCAGACAGTTCAGAGGTACATATATTAAATAAGAATTAATATTATTATTCATTAGATAGTGGAATCATCTGCTGAAATGTACGGATAATTTCAGATATCTGTCAGTGCCCGCGCTGTTTTGCAGCAGACATAGTGTTATCTGTTGGTGCCCACGCTTTTTTGCCAGCGGACATAGTGTTATCTGTCGATGCCGCCATATTTTTCAACCGTTAGGTTGTTATGTATAGAGGTTATTGGTCCGCCATTTTAGAGCAGTATTGTGCACAAGTGCAAGAAATTTGTGAGCTTGTCGTCTCTTTTACATAATAAAAATTGCAATGGCTGCAAGCATGAGTGCCCATTTCACATCAGTTTCAAGGCAGGAAATGGAAAAATTACTCGCTAAATAAAGACTCGAAAAACATGAAGAAGTCTACAAAATACTATTTTTGAAAATTGGATGTAATTATTGAAATACGACTAATAAATTTGTTTGGAATATTTATGATTTGTTTATGCTCATGTGCTTGTTTTTCAAAATCCAATGAATAATAAAACAATTATTGAATTTAGCTTTTACAGGGTATCCAGAATAATTCAGACCTCAATCAATGTTATAACATTGACCTCAGACTGAATTATTCTGGATATCCTGCATCTTGATAAATTATTATGATTATATATATATATATATACCGGGTGTCTCATAAAAAAGTATCGGTGTTTGATTTGTTATACCTTTAAAACTAAATAAGGAGTTTCAATGGAATAGACTTCACTGAATTCAGAAAGGCATAAATAAAATTTTGATATATGACTTGAATATATTTGAGCAATACTGAATGAAATAATACAGTTTCATTTCGAAGGAGCAATTTTGAAAATGCTTAAAATTACATTAAATCAGCCGATCAAATTAGCATTTAATTAAATTGCTGTTCTTGTCGCACACAACGCATGATAAATAATATTAACACATTCGATGGTTTATTCATCTGAAAAAGCATGTCCTTGAACACCTATACAACGTCGTGCTCTATTAACCATGCCAGAAAAAGCGTTTTGTACCATTTGTGCATCTAAACTTTGGCACGCTAAGATAACTGCCTGGCGGAGCTGTCTCAAATTCCTAGACTGCTGCTCATGCGGGACGTTCCAGATTTGTTGCTTCAAATATCCCCAAAGAAAAAAGTCGCAAATCGCCAGATCAGGAGATCGAGGAGGCCAGGGCCAATCGCCGCGTTTTCCCATAACCTTGCCTGGAAACTGTCCGCGAAGATATCGCATTGTCGCATTGCTGGTGTGGCAAGGGGCACCGTCTTGCTGCCACCACATTACACGACGGTCAATATTGTGTTCACGAAAATCTCTCTGAATTACATGATAGCCTAAACTCTGAAGTAAACTCTCGCAATGTTGTCAGATACGCAGAATATGGTAACGGTCACCCTCGCAACATTACGTTGAATTCGTTCAAGGTGCCGAACAGTGATGGTTTGGGCAGGTTTAACAAGAGCTGGTACTGTCTTGGCCCACATTTTTGGAAAGGAATCTCGACAGCAGAGAGTATTTACGGATTATTCGCTGAAAACCGCTTCATCAGAAACTATTAATTGATCAAGAAAACCAGGATTTCTGTCAACTGTGTCAAAAAAATCGATTGCAAAATGCAAGCCGTTGTGCTGGGTCGCCTTCTTTTAATGCCTGTCTGCGTATTAAAACGTACGGATGAAATTTCAGGTCTTTTCACAATTCGATTGACGTGCATCGACTTAATCCAAGACCATTTCTTCGGGGTGGAACGTTGTCCATTTTCTAGCAGAGATTGTCGGACTAGGTCAATGTTTTCCATCGTTCTTCCAGTTCTCGTCCTTCCACTCCGTCCTTTATTGAGGTTAAGACACGTGCCTTCTGTCAAAAATTTGTCGTACGTTCTTTTAATTGCTGCTCTAGTCGGAGCACGATCACCTGGCCAACGTCCTAGCCATCGCCTTCTTACCTCTTCGGCATTATTTACCCTTGCATACTCAATACAAACCCAAACTCTTTGATCTTTCGTTAGCTGAGGCATATTCAACTTGGTATAAAATAACGATATCCTAATTCGCTTGCATGCAAGAGGTCCCATGAGGGAAATCAAAGCGTTCGGCGAACTTTGGACGAGAAATGTTGGCATTTTTCATTTCCCACAAGGAACAAAGGTCAAAGTATTTTATGTAAACCATAAAATAATACAAGATTGAAGCTAACTTCTTTAAAATTTTCGGAACTCGCGAAAAAAATAGAAAATGTCTTCAAATAAATTTATTGAGCCGTTTTAATTGATTTTTCGCCAGTTTTAAAACTGAAGTTTGGCTTAAAACACTTATATCTCACCCAATATGTGGTGAAAGATCTAGCACTGTATACCAAAATTTAAATTAGCATTTTCTTAATACTATAAAACTTATTTGAAAGCCATACCTGGTATAGTTTTTACATTATATTAAATCAAACACCGGTACTTTTTTTCGAGACACCCGGTATATTATGTGCATCTTGATAAACTTTGCCACCCATGCTCTACATGCTGCTCTTTTTCCTATACTTAAGGTTAAACCTGAATACAATGACGTTAAATGTTGATTCACCAAGAGTTTACACTGTGGAGGGTGTACCTATTTCAGTCTCAGGCATTGCACAGGTGAAATAAATATACCCAGCTTTTGCTCTTCAGATGTGATATGTGATTATGTAATTTATTGTTTTGTTTTTATATGTCAGTTTAACTTTGGTAGTTTAATCATAATGTTCATCTAAAATTCTGAGATACAGATAAATTTATGTTGTGGAATAGGTTAAGATACGAGGCGAGAATATGGATATGGTGAGGTCTGCAGCTGAACAGTTCTTGGACAAGAGTATTACTGAAATACAAAAGATTGCCTTAGAAACTCTTGTATGTTTTGTTTTAAAATATAATTTACAAGCTTTATATTAGGTCAATTATGCAGTACAATATGTGCACAACTTGCTGGGCTAAAATATATTCATCCAACAGACTGAAAACTATTTCAATCCAATTTGAAACAAGACGCCAATTCTGGCGGTTACTGCGTCGCGCCAATCGTTGCATGCAACTGTGCCCCATTTCCTGTCAATATTTATTCCTTTAGAAAAATGTTTCTTTCTTAGGTTTTCTAGTAAATAGAGCACTTCGTACAGAATATACGGGTAAAACTGCATTATTGGTGCTAGGCATATGTAGCTAACGATATACGTGAATAAGGCTGAGTTTGGAATCATGTACTCTGGGAATCAGTTTGTACTGAAATTCAATAGGATCGGTCTGGCCGTTTTTACCCTTGAAAGACAAGTGCGGTTTGATTGAAAAATGGCATAGAATGGCATACAAGGCTTTCATAGCATACAAGGCTTTCATGGCATACAAGGCTTTCATGATTCATGTGATCGTTGTCTCACTTGTCTGTAAACCCGTTTTAGTGTAGGTTTACCATGATCAGTGTGTGCTAGTGTATGCAGAGTGAGCATATCAAACAACACAAGTCGAGAATCCAGCATTATGATTACCTGTACGTATTTTCTCGAACGACAGACGTCTAGATTTCCTGCGCTATCGGCCATGCACAGCGATTCGTATTTTATATGACGTGTTTCGTGCATGCTGTTTCCTGCTTTTGGTTCGCACGACCCGAGTTCGAATCCCGGCGACAACAAACTTTTTCAATTTTTTGTTTCAGTAAAATATTTCTTTTGTGGGGGTTACTAGGCTTAGATTACTATTTAAAGTGTGTTTAGCACGAAAATATTTCGATACGAAATCAAACGAGTTCAAAATACGACTATCTTAGTTGGCCTGCGCGGCCAGGTAGACCGGGTCGAAAACGTAAAAAACACAAAAAAAAAACAAAAAAAAAACCACCGACGGCAATTTAAGACAGCGTTCGCGCAGTGCGCGACGCAGTAATAAGTTTTCATTTGTTTGCAATTTGTAAAACCCTTATCTTAAAACCATTAACCTAGGTTTGCCCACAGAAATGTTTGCGATAGATCTGCAATCACTGCCACTCAGCACTACAGTAACTAATTCACTTCCATTCTTTTCATAGGAGGGACATCAGCGTGCCATCATGGGAACAATGTCAGTTGAGGTGAGTACAGTTTGTTAAGAAGTACTCATTAGGTTTGTCTTTACTGAAAGACATTACTCTTTTCTGAAGGAAATTTATAAAGATCGAAAGAAGTTTTCAAAAAGTGTTTTTGAGGTATAGTGACAAAACTTTGTTATTTATTACACAGTTTTCTGTAACTCTGTTCTATTGCTGTCATTTGTGAAACTATGAAGTGCAATATGTATCTAATGTTGTGTTCAGTTCTTCACTCTTGCTATTTATTTGTAGGTTGCATCATCAGATTTGTTCAAAATGGGAATTGCAGTTGTCAGCTACACATTAAAAGACATTAGAGATGATGAGGTTTGTGACAGAAGTACTTCCATGATAACTTCAAATGAATGAAATATGCACACATTGATGTACAAAAAATGTTTCCCAAATGAAATAAATATGTTGTACAACATACTTAACAGTACCCCAATATGTAAATATAACAATCTATAAACTGTTGTGATTATAAACCAAAAAGCCTTATACAATAGACAATAGACAATAGACAATATAGCTACATTACAGTGACTTTAATAGTAACATAATATTTGCAGGGATATCTTTATGCCCTTGGTATGTCTCGAACTGCTCAAGTGAAAAGAGATGCAAGGGTTGGTGAGGCTGAGGCAGGCAGAGATTCTGGAATCAAGGTACTGTCATCCAGTTTTTATCTTCTAGAGATTATGTAAGTTCAAGCTCAACCCTACCACAAGCATACTTCAGGTATCTTCATATTTCTTGTTGCTGCAGGGTTATCTTACTCTTACCTCAACTTTGCAGGAGGCGCTTGCAGAAGAAGCAAGAATGAAATCAAAATACGAAAACGATACAGAAGTGGCGAAATCTCAAAGAGATTACGAAATAAGACAAGCCGGTTATGATCTTGAAGTTCAAACAAAGAGCGCTCAGTCAAAACTTGCTTATGATCTTCAAGCTGCAATCACGAAACAGAAAATCAAAGAAGAAGAAATGCAGATTTTGGTCGTTGAAAGAACACAACAGATCAAAGTACAAGAGCAGGTATGAAAGATAAGAAGTTTCATTGTTTTAACAGGACTGAAACTCTCATCAATTCAGAAGTCTGTATCAAGTGTGATCCTTTCCAGGAAATGGAGAGAGTTGAGAAGGAATTAGAGGCAACAGTTCGTCAACCAGCAAGCGCTGAGAAATATCGAATGGAACAGATTGCTGAAGCGAAGAGAAACAAAGTTATACTTGAAGCTGAGGCTGAAGCGGAAGCTATCAGAGTAGGTGCATTACTGTCGTAGCAAATAAAACTCCCCGGTCCAAATCCGTCCGAATCCGCGAATGTGGATCCGCTAGTAGTGGACCTAAACCTGCAAATATCCCTAAGGGATTAAATCCAGGCGCGTAGCTAGAATCTTAATTGGGGGGGGGGGTGTATATTCATATATTCGTCTTATGCCCGACTGATTTCTTTTATACGCTATTGTTCCTATGATATGCATATATAAATATACCCCTCCTCCCAAAAATAAACAGTCTAGTTTCGGCCTTTGAAACACAGAGGGCAAGTTAAAGAGGTGGCCAAGTATCTTGAACTATGAAATTAATCATTGGGAATTCTTCTAGGTCAAAGGTGAGGCACAAGCGTTCGCTATTGAAGCTAAGGCAAAAGCTGAAGCTGAACAGATGGCAAAGAAAGCTGATGCATGGAAGGATTATCAGGAGGCAGCCATGGTTGATATGGTGTTGGAAACATTACCCAAGGTATATACGTTGTTGACCAGCAATGTCTGGCGTTATTGATAATTTGATTCACATCATCTAGAGTACTCATAGTTCATTCTTGTGAACTGTGTAGGGCTGTGTTCGACACTTAAAAAGGTTGCAAAACAGATTTGGGTTTCTGCTTTTGCGTTTTATTTCTGTTTTAAATTGTTGTCAAGATATACTAGGTCGTGCTCAGTAGCGTAGCCAGCCTGTCGATTTGTCCCGCTATGCTAATTAAGACCAATTCTAAAGACATGAATAATTATAATAACTCGAAATTTGCATAACAGGACAAAATCGTCAGGCTGGCTACGCCACTGGTCGTGCTTCTCATATGCCGAACACATTAACAGCAATAGATAATGATCCACCTCAACTGATAATTTATTGTTTTGAATGCGTTCGGTACATGTGAAGCCCGACGTTTGAAACAGGACTGGGGTACATAACCATGAACCACTGACACAAGCCTAACCGACCTCATCTCCCTAAAGACGGTTATTATCCCAAGTTGTTATTCGTCATTCTCCAAATTTAAATGTTTCCTAGATTGCGGCAGAGGTCGCCGCTCCATTGAGTGGTTGTGATAAGATTGTGATGGTCTCAAATGGACAGGGTGATGTTGGTGCTGGTAAGATTACTGGTGAAATCTTGGATATCGTTTCCAAGTTGCCAAAGGCTGTGGAATCCTTGACCGGTGTGGATATCAGTAAGGTATGGTGTGGTGATAATATGTATTCAATTAAATGATCTATTTAGTATACACTATTTATTAATCCTTAAAACTGCTTCACTCCAATAAAAGCCATCTCTCGTTCATCTCATGTCAATGCAGGGAAAATCCTTTAGTTCATTTAATCTAACTATTCATGTCTACCATTGCGTCCAAAGGTCAATCGGGCATGAGATGAATACAGGGTGTAAAAACTGCTAATACCATAATTTGAATGCACGAGATCATTCATTAGAATCTCAATGGCTGTGCAACTAATTAAGGCCGGCGCACACTAGATATGTGCTTAGGAAAAAGTCATTCGTGGCCATCGGCGTAAGCCAGTTGCTCTCGTGTGCGGGCGACTTTTCCGGCGACTTTTGGCACGAATGACGAAAGTCACTAGTAAAGTCGCCCGCACACGAGAGCAACTGGCTTACGCTAATGGCCACGAATGACTTTTTGCTAAGCACATAGCTCTAGTGTGCGCCGGCCTTTACGCTTCTGGGATTTGAAGATGCGTTTCCACGTGCAGTACTATTAAAATAAGCCCCTATTGTTTACGTATGTACCCTTGTGGTATGTGCTTTATGAGGCTGAATTTGCTCGTATACGATTAAAACAAGAAATTATTTTCAGATTTTTTATACACCCTTACCCTGTATGTATATATTTCCCCCCTACTAGCACTAATTATCCCTGGCGCGTTCTTTAAGAAAGATACATTTACACTTTAGGCCCTGCAGCGATCTGTTGGCACGAAACGCTAGTCTGGGTGATTTCGTAGAAACTGGACAGGTTTTATTAGAATTATTTGTTATAAATGCGATTTTATTACGGTAAACAAATCAAGGTAAAGCTGAATGCTTGTACTTGCACGCTGCGATCAAAATTATTATTATTATTATGTATAATATTATATATGCCGCGATGATTAACCATAAGTAATCGTGATATAATTAAAAATCCTCCATCAAACTAAATTCTATCCAGGCTTCTGCGATTTGGCAAGTTGATTTACATACAGAGGAGGTTGGACAGCAGGCCGCAAAGCATGATGGGTATTGAGCGCTCAATTATGCGAACGCTTCATTTGACGTTTTGACTGTCGTGATGTGAAGAGCTCTGCGAGTATAGGAAAAATGGATGCTTTCGAAAGACAGGATTTTCAAGCTGCGATAGTGCAAAATACTATGATGTATATGTATTGTTGCGATCCGCATTACGACTTATCTTTTACTGTACCGAGTTTACCGTTTTTTAAGCTGCATGGGCTTTGCTGCCATTTCGCCTTTCATAATACTCCGTCTGAAAGAAGACTTTGTATTATACCAAACACCGAAGCACTGCTTTCGAAGTTGAATGGCCTTAAATCTCCTTGTGTCATCAACGTTAAAGCAAGTACTATATTTGAGGTTAGTATAAAGTACTTGTCAACACCTCATTTTTTAATATTTTTTATTAACTTTTAAGGCTTGATTTGTGTATTAAAATTTAACTGAAACTTTTTTTTAGTTTGGTACTATCCCTGATGAATTTATTCATTGTAAAGCGGAGAGAATGCTTTTAATTTGGGATTTTGATGTGGATCGTGTATTGACAGAAAATACGAGCGCTGTGGATGCGGTTACTCCTGATTTTGATGACATCGAAATTAATAATGAGGACAGTGAAGAAGATGAAAGTGAAGAAGTTGAAAGTGATGAGGAAGAAATCACTCATGCTCTACCATTCAAGTGCATTGGAGCTGCTCATGAACAAAGTTACCAACATCATCTGGAACAGGCATATCTTGCCCTTGAATATAATGAATCAGTAAATGTTAGACTAAGACCAGAGCCGGAGAATCCTCGGGACCAAAATGCAATTGCTATTGATCTTCATTATGGAACTCAATGGGAAAATGTTGGATATATAGCTTCTGAACATTGCAAGTATTTACATCCACTGATTGCAGCAGGAGATATACTAGACGTCTATGTTGAACACATCAAGTTTCGGGTTAACTTTTTAAAAATAGGATTTTATCCAAAAATCTGGATAAAGAGGCGTGGTAAATGGGAAGGTCAGATTGTAAGGGCTAGTATGAGTGTACGTTGACATATAATTTCATAAGAACCAGGGTTTGCAAGTTGTGAATTTCTGCAATTATTTCCATTGGCTAACCTATGTAGATTTTTCCAGCATTTTTGCCATCAACTTGTTTTTAGTCTGGTTTCCATATGACAATCAAGTTGTTGCATAATAACTAATAATGATAGATATTTTTCTTAATGGTTAACACAACACCCTGACAATGTTGTATGGAAACCAGGCTTTCTATTTTATATCCTCAAAACCTATTGTCTATAACCAAAGCACTTCACTGTCATGTGATATTTCATACAAACCCTTGCAGTATTAAGAAAATTAGAAAAATATTCATACAATACATGGTATAAATATGTAAATCTGTATTTATTGATGAACAAATAAATAAACTCATCAAATTTTATTATGGTTATAAATATTGTAAGTAAAATTGCCTTGACAAAACAGCCAAGATTTTGCATTTATACATATATTTACATGATGTTCAAAAAAGTAAAAACCTGCATACACACACCATTGTTTTTTGTTTCTATGCTATTGTTTCTATGCTAATAGCATTTACAATTCATGCAAACTTGAAGATCAATTGTACTAGATAAGGTGTTCATGCCTTTAGCTTTTCAATCAACCTAATATACATAAATATTGCCAGTTCTAACACACAATGGCTTAGTAATGCAGATCTTAACTCACACTAACTGTAAACATCAACAAGCATCTAAAGAACAGAACCAATATAAAATGTCAGTTTATTTTACTGAAGAAGTGAAAACATATAATCACACAATATGTTTCATATTTATCAATTTTGTGAAGGTGGTGGTGGTGGTAAGCCTTCTGGTTGTTTGAAATGTGCTGATCTAACACTCAATTGACCACGTTGTGGGATTACAGCTAGGCGTTAGCGAATGAGCATAGGAGTCGTCACTGCCAAAAATGGAAATCTATATAAAATACAAAAAAATACTATTTTCCCGTCTAAATGTTAATAACTAAGGAAGTTAAACCATGAATACAAATAAAATTTACATTAATATTACAAATTATGTAGTTAAACAATATTTGAAAGGGAAATATCCCATTGACCCGAAATGCGCTATTTTGAACATCTCAAAACAAGAGTGGTAAATTCAAAGCCCGATATCTCGGAAATGGTGTGGGGTCGCAAGGGGTCGATCCAGCCGATTTTTTTTTTACATACTTAACTTCATTCTTACAAAGAATCTCAAAAATCGAACCACAGGAATTCGAGATTTTCAACTTTGAAAATTGTAAACAGACAAGCACATGACTCATCACTTCGGAACGACCCGACCAACTTCAGTTATAAAAATCGACTTAAAAAGTAACGCTTACCTCGATAATCTCGACAGATATCGCCAGTCCAATGAATCTTTTTTCAAAAAATATGCGTTTTAATCAGTAAACTTTAAAAAATATACTCAATATTTTTATGTTTCTCCGTCTTATGTAAATTTTCTCGCTCAAAATCTTCGCAAGCACGCTTGGAAAATAGCGCAATCTCATTGGTCGAGAAATTCACGTGACAGCTGTCCAACCTCCTCTGATTTACATACTACATAAACCATTCACACCGTAACGTTAACCTTACATGCACCAGTTGTAGGGTATGATTTAATAACCTTTACGTTTTTAAATTTCAAAAATAGTTATCTATGCCAAATAACAAATGGGCATAGTGCTATATTGAAATTAGCAGGATTTGAAACACATGCACATACATATGATAGGTCTACTGAAATCGCAATGAGTGTGTCCAAGGAGACCCTGGGTACGAGGTAGAATCAGTTGATGTCTTGATAGAATGTTTGACTTAAGCCGTTTTGCAAACATTTCCTAGTACATTGTACAAATTGAAATTGTTGTAGTGAAGAGATATTGATCAAATACGTGACTAACTATAGTAAAGTTTGTCATAAAAAAACTCAAGATGTAAACGTATAATTAAATCATCAAAATGATAAAATAAATTGTCAGTTGATTGCTGTTCACGTCAGGCTCAATCTTTAACTATACAATAGGATACAATACATTGTTTTTATAGAAACTTTTCAAGCTAAAAAGACGCAATCTTGCCGATGTTCAAAGACAATGTAAAAGGCAGTAGGCATACGCTGTTTGTTATTATGCAAAGCCTGTAATTTACACGTGCAAATTTCCCATATAACAAAGTCAAAGATATTTTGTTTGCGTGGATAATGGAGGAAGTTGTGGTAAATTTTTCACGGCAAATGCATTTGAACAAAAGATGGAGGACTAGTTTTCCACATGAAAGAAAATTTGCTTGTGTAAAACGGATTTAGTCTCCTGTAACCTGTTGATCGAACTGCTCATGCTGACACGCACATTCAGCTTCACTGTAGGAAGGTGGATTAGATGTTGAGTGTTGACTCTAGAAATGCTGATGTATTTCAACTTACAATGGTTGAATATTAGATTAAAATAAGGTATGCATTAGATGGTTATGCAAATTCCATTTCATTGTTTTTACTGTACAAGTTTGAATAAAGAAGAACTAAAGACCAAGAATAAAGCAAACTGTATCGTAATCATTGTTTTTTGGCAATCATGCAGTTAGAACAAATGAGTTTAGAACTTAAAACACCCTACGGTCGAAGTGAAGAACGAGTTTCCAGACCATGGGTTTATGGACATCAATTCGAAGAGATTGCGTATTCAAAGCAGTGAGATACAGTCTTTGCGGGAGATACGCCTCGCGAGGTTACCATGTATGCGTCACGCTACACCATAGATAAATCTTTTAACTGTTTGGCGATAGATTTATATCTTCAGATATTGGTGGCATTTGTGTTCGAGTTTTCTCAAGACTAAAGTGAACGTGGTTTTGGCGTTAAAGTACACAACGAGGGGTCGAAACTAAGGAAATAGGTATGAGTGTATAGTAACATTTTAACTTTATCATAAACAGCTAATTTAAGCCAATTGTCAGTTCAAATGGTGTTTTTATGAAACATTCGCCGCCGTGTTGGTTTTAAAACAACCCCCTCAACATATGAGATAATATTTTGTCAATTAAAAAAGTGATGTTTGGCTTTTTGTACTAGAACTGCTAAGATAATTTACAACTCCCCATTGTTATATATTAAATTCTCTTTCGTTGTTTCCTTCTATCCACGGAGGATTTCCTCTGCTTCACTTGGGAAACTTTGTCTAATTTCGGTCGCTTCTTGCTGATATTGTTCGTTTTCGGGGGTCCCTTTCTTTTCCGTCTATTCATCGGCTTTCCGTGTGATTTACCAGCAAAGAGATCTAGAGATTGAAGCAGAGGCTAAGGTGAAAGGTTCTCGCAAGTTTTAAGGCAGTTTACCCCTTCATATATATATTAGCTTAATGATAAAAAAATTACGACTCTCTTATACCTTCATCTGGATCTTCACCAACTTCTTCTTTATACCACCGTACATCATCATCTGCACTGTCGTCTTGATCGACGATTTCTTTCTCTTCAGAACTACTTTCTTCTAGTAAATCGAAAACTCCGTGGTAATATTTATCTTTCTCAAAGATTTTAGGCTTGTGAACATGATGATATGCTACTAAGATTCTGGTGCACTGACATAAGAAACGCCATATGCTGTACTTAAAGGTTGGTAAATTGTCAATTTTAGTTTGGGTCAGTTGAAAGAAGAGAGGGAGAAAGAAATGACTCTGACGGTGGTGTTAAAATCTGATGTCCCTCCAACTTTATAACACTCGAGACTAGGGGGGCTGTAAATTATTGTCATGGGGTTGTCATGTTCCTCACGGTGAAACAAGTTTACCAATTACTGTAATTTTACCTTCATTTTCACTCGATTTAACTTCGCCTTTCCATTTCTTCAACTGCCCAGCTATACTGCGTTCTCTACATACGACAATTGATAATTCAAAACCTTCAAAATTGTATTCTAATGCTACCTGTATAGTTCATGCAATGTTATATTGACAGTACTTGTTAAGTTCTTTTTCTCTTTCCTTTCTTTTCACATTTTCTTCTTGTTGTTTTCGGCGTTGTTCCTTAAGTTTTCTAAACAAGTTATACCAAATGCCCAGTTATTCCATAAATTTGGGGTAAAGCATGTCTGGAACGAAATGTGACAAAATCATTCTACCGTTTTGCTTCTCTTTCTTTTTTCAATGACTGAATTTCCTTCTTAGTTTTGTGAACTGCGCAAACACAAAATTAAATAAGATGTCAGCCGCCTGCATACTGCTATATTACGTCACCATTAGATGCCAAACGGACTCGAAGCAGCTCAAAATGATTGCTTGCATACGACGGTTCGCAGCCTGAAGCATGCAAGAGTTCTAACTTATCTTTTTCAACGTGATTTATTGTAAATGAATGAAGTGAGCGAATTAGTGGGTAAAACGAACAACAATTACCAAATTCATGAAAAAGTACTTCTCCTGTACACAATCCTTCTTCAATCTTGATAAGTTGTAATGACATTTGAGGACCAAGCTTAACAAAAACAATAATAATCTGCATGAAAGCACAAGAGAATGTTGGAGTTAGGAAACGTGCATCTCTACCGTCCTTTCCTAAATTCCAGGTTACATTGACAGTGTCTTTTTATAATTCTTACCACAGATTTATCTTAGTTACCTCAGTAAGTTTAACGGAACTTTTCTCTGACTTAATATTGCCTCGTCCTGGAAGATCTTGTGGTAGTGTCACCTGACTATCTATTGGGTCTTCAGCTTCACTCTCTGATCCATAACCACCTGCAGCCCTTGAAACATAACAAAAAGTTAAATCTCCATTTTTTTCTGTGCCATTTCAATATTAAGGTAACATCCTACCTTTCAATGTATTCACTGACATCAGAAAACTTAGCCATATTGGGGACTTTGGCTTGAAGTAGTTTTCTCACACCTCTGCTCATGCCAACTGGAGCAACATCAATTTGGCTAAAGCATGGAACATAGCATTATGGTTGGTATCAACTTTTATGAAAAATTTGTGAAAAATTTCTACATATCATGCTTCCATCAAAACATACTAGTGTCTAAAATGAATCATTTTGTTTTCTTTGTTATAATTAACCAACACACAACGACGGATCTCTGCCAGTCTGATCTAAAAACAAGAAAATGTAGTTTCAATAAAATTTCTGAGCATGCACTAACTGTTCTATATTGGTTCTATCTTACAATATCAGTTATAACCATTGGAAGGTAATGAAAGACTGGGACTTTTACAACTTAGCATCAAATGTGGTATAACAACTGCCTAAAATGGAAAAAAAACACTTCTTGGCGTTTCGACTTAAGGGCTTTCATCAGGAGAGTTAGTTTAGGCAGTTGTTACACCACATTTGACGCTGTTTGAAGATGTGGCACGCTGCTTCCTGGTTATATTGGGACTTTCACAAAATATATATTTTCTCTAAGGTAAATTAGACCTTTTGTATATTTATAGCTGGAAACAGGTTCTGGAACATTGATGTCATCAACTTCATGGGTAAGGTACTCTGATCAAAATCATTTAAAACCATCTGGTAAAAAAAAAGCAGATTTGTTTACTGTGTTTATAGGTTAACATATTAGTTTTTATCTGTCAAGAGTAGCTATAAACATTTAATAACCAATCTGACCAGAGGTGAATTCTTGTATTGTGTTCCATATGTTTTTGGTCTTTTCAGCATTGAAATAATTTCACGTGCCAATGAAAACTAGTATATAGAAAAAAAGAATATGCTACATCATTTTTCCAAATCAATGTCATGACAGATATAATTTGGACCTTATTGAATGGGTTGACTATAATCAGTTTTATAAATATGTATTTTTTTGAAGCCCTTAAAAAGAGTTAAAATGCTATTGTAGGCCAGGTTACATTTCAACCCATTCAATTAGGTTTTGATTATATGATTTAAATGTTGGGGCTTGACATGCAATGGTTCTCAGCTTACCTTGTGAATCTTAAAATGCAATGTTGGCCCTCTTGGAAGCCTTGCAATTCTCTTCAAAACAAAAATGAGAAAATATTGTGTTATATTGCTATTTCCGCATTTTATAAAAGGTTATTTTATGTTCGTATAACAGTGAAAATGAAGTAAATTACATTGTGACTGCCTTAACTGCAACCTTACCATGTAAGATCCAAGTTTTGTTTGTGAAAAGATGATAAAATGTGTAATACCAAGAGGCCCAGCAACATGGACAAAATCTTTCAGTACATTGTTTTTGCGAACCTATGTGAAAAGCAATTTTAAAAGTCACCAAAATTCAAATATACATGTAATATAGCAATGTATCCACCTTTAAATTAACAGCAGTATTAGGCTCCATGACATGTCTAATGTCCATTTCCAGTTGAAGAATTGATTTTCCAACATTTCCTCGATGCATAACGAATGTTTTGGGAAGATTTTTATTCTCTGCCTCCTCCTTCCCAACCAATCCTTTTGGTTTACTTTTCTAGAAAATATCATGTTTGTTATGACATATTGGTCAATGTCTATGGAAATTTAAAATCGGGAAGGTAGGTAAGTCAGGGGATCTCAGGGAAACACATTTTAAGCATATTCTGTGTTTGCCGGGGGATGTTTCAAATTAAAATTCAAATCTAAGGGTTTGTGCCTTTGCCACAGTTGCATGTAAGCCCAAAATTTCAAATCTATGAACTTATTTCTGAATCTTTCTAAGGATTGTTGACATATCAGGGGATACACACAACATGAACAACCCATAAATCTGCCTATGACGACGGTTCACACCAAAATTATACTTATTACAGGGAGAACAGGAGTTCGAGAGCAAATTTCGGGAGTATTACTGCTGAGGTTGGTATAACTTTACATGTATGTGACATTTAGTGTAATTTCTTCAGCAATCAGTATGATTGAGAACAACACATTATTTAAAAAGATCTCGAATCATTCAATATTTTATAAACATAAAAACACACATTTCACTTTTAAGGTGGTACATGAATAGAATGAACAATGCCTACTTTTCTTCGTTTGCCCATAATAACAAAATCTTTAGATCGTAAATGTTCCCAAGTGTAAATCCTGTATAAACTATAAAGCAGATCACCGTGAGCAGATCAAGTGATCAACAATCTCTATAATTTATGCAACACGTGTGCTCTTCAAAATTTGCGCCCGGAACACTGAGCTATATAACAATAGAGCTGTTGTAAATAAGTAAATAAACCTTAAAAGCCCATTGATTGGAAAAAAAGCAGATATCTATCTTCAATTTGTATTGCAATATGTGACACAAAAGTTTTCTTATTTCCTATTTTGCAACAGATCGCTGTAGATGATCACAGACAAATGCCATCGCAGCATTGCTGACTATCTCAGTCTATCTGTCATTTTGATTTAGGTTAAAATGAGAATTAGGGATTTAGATACGGCCGGACTTCGTACACCGACTTTACTCCGTGAAGCGAACAAAGAAAACCCTGCAAATAAAAGAAAACCCTGGGGTACGAAGTTGCTGCAATTAGCCTTTCTCACAATGACAAATATGCCGCCATTTTTCATTTTTGGGGTACTTTTTCTCAAAACCGTAAGCGTTCTCACATAACGGCCACAGTCTTTAATTTTAGGCTGGAAGAACGGTGTGTTGATTCTAAAAAAATGCTTTTCATGTTGTTATAACTTTTAAAAACACGTTTGAAAAAAATGAAAATACCCCAAAACGTTATCGTGAAAAAGGCTAATTGAGCCTAAGGGGATATATTTCTCATGCTGAATTCAATCATTTTCAGACTTCCCATCTATCATGATGCACACGTACTCTGGGGGTACGAGGTTAAGGAAATGATTGAGGAGATTGGATTTGACAGCACTTAAGGACCGTATTTTCAAATTGAAATAAATTACCCGAAAAAATTGACATGTGAGTACAGAACGTCCATTGTTTTTTTTTTAATATCGGTGTTTGGTAAAAATAATAGGTATATAGCTATATACAATTTTTACAACATTATAAATATAAATATACTATGTGAAAACTACTTGACCAAAAGTATGGTCTTAAATGATACATTCTTCATTGATCAACCCAAATGCCGGGTTGACTTTTGCCATTCTTATTTCCTCCTCCCCAGGGAGGTAAACACCCTCCATTTTTACTGTCTGTTTCCGTAAGTACAAAAATAACACAACAATACACACCACACCTATCAACAAACCAATAAGAATAACCCACCAAAATTTTGTGGGAGAAAATTCAACACTATGTCCACTAGAATTAACTATTATAATCTTCGTATGGTTGTTACAAAATGTTCCATTGTAAAATTTGAAACAATCGCATCTGTATCCCCCTGGAACGTTAATACATGTGCCGTTTTTACACTTGTGTGTTCCTGTTAAGCATTCATCAATATCAGTTTCACAATTTAGTCCTCGATAACCAGTGCCTGAACAATTACACATATAATTTGCGACGCCATCTATACACACACCATTATTTAGACAACGGCGGTTTGGGAAAATGGAATCAGTTGTACATTCATCAATTTCTACACCACAATTTCTTCCAGTATAGCCATCAGTACATATACAGGAGTAGTTTGCAATACCATCAACGCATCTGGCATTATTCTTACATGGTAAATGTACCAGACATTCATCAATTTCTACACTACAATTTCTTCCAGTATAGCCATCAATGCAAATACAGAGGTAGCTTGCAATACCATCAACGCATCTGCCATTATTCTTACATGGTGAATGTACCAAACATTCATCAATCTCTTTGGTGCAATTTCTTCCAGTATAACCATCTGCACAAATACAGGAGTAGTTCGCAATACCATCAAAGCATCTGGCATTATTCTTACATGGTGAATGTACCAGACATTCATCAATTTCTATGGTACAATTTCTTCCAGTATAACCATCGACACAAATACAGGAGTAGTTTGCAATACAATCAACGCATTTGGCATTATTCTTACATGGTGAATGTACCAAACATTCATCAATTTCTATTGTACAATTTCTTCCAGTATAACCATCTGCACAAATACAGGAGTAGTTCGCAATACCATCAAGGCATCTGGCATTATTCTTACATGGTGAATGTACCAAACATTCATCAATCTCTTTGGTGCAATTTCTTCCAGTATAACCATCTGCACAAATACAGGAGTAGTTCGCAATACCATCAACGCATCTGGCATTATTCTTACATGGTGAATGTACCAGACATTCATCAATTTCTATGGTACAATTTCTTCCAGTATAACCATCGACACAAATACAGGAGTAGTTTGCAATACAATCAACGCATTTGGCATTATTCTTACATGGTGAATGTACCAAACATTCATCAATTTCTATTGTACAATTTCTTCCAGTATAACCATCTGCACAAATACAGGAGTAGTTCGCATTATCATCAAGGCATCTGGCATTATTCTTACATGGTGAATGTACCAAACATTCATCAATCTCTTTGGTGCAATTTCTTCCAGTATAACCATCTGCACAAATACAGAAGTAGTTCGCAATACCATCAACGCATCTGGCATTATTTTTACATGGTGAATGTACCAAACATTCATCAATCTCTTTGGTGCAATTTCTTCCAGTATAACCATCTGCACAAATACAGGAGTAGTTGGCAATACCATCGACGCATCTGGCATTATTCTTACATGGTGAATGTACCAAACATTCATCAATTTCTATTGTACAATTTCTTCCAGAATAACCATCAGTGCAAATACAGGAGTAGTTGGTAATACCATCAACGCATCTGGCATTATTCTTACATGGTGAATGTACCAAACATTCATCAATCTCTTTGGTGCAATTTCTTCCAGTATAACCATCTGCACAAATACAGGAGTAGTTGGCAAAACCATCAACGCATCTGGCATTATTCTTACATGGTGAATGTACGAAACATTCATCAATTTCTATGGTACAATTTCTTCCAATATAACCATCTGCACAAATACAGGAGTAGTTCGCAATACCATCAACGCATCTGGCATTATTCTTACATGGTGAATGTACCAAACATTCATCAATCTCTTTGGTGCAATTTCTTCCAGTATAACCATCTGCACAAATACAGGAGTAGTTGGCAATACCATCGACGCATCTGGCATTATTCTTACATGGTGAATGTACGAAACACTCATCAATTTCTATTGTACAATTTCTTCCAGTATAACCATCTGCACAAATACAGGAGTAGTTCGCAATACCATCAACGCATCTGGCATTATTCTTACACGGTGAATGTACCAAACATTCATCAATCTCTTTGGTGCAATTTCTTCCAGTATAACCATCTGCACAAATACAGGAGTAGTTCGCAATACCGTCAACGCATCTGGCATTATTTTTACATGGTGAATGTACGAAACATTCATAAATCTCTTTGGTGCAATTTCTTCCAGTATAACCATCTGCACAAATACAGGAGTAGTTGGCAATACCATCAACGCATCTGGCATTATTCTTACATGGTGAATGTACCAAACATTCATCAATCTCTTTGGTGCAATTTCTTCCAGTATAACCATCTGCACAAATACAGGAGTAGTTCGCAATACCATCAACGCATCTGGCATTATTCTTACACGGTGAATGTACCAAACATTCATCAATCTCTTTGGTGCAATTTCTTCCAGTATAACCATCTGCACAAATACAGGAGTAGTTGGCAATACCATCGACGCATCTGGCATTATTCTTACATGGTGAATGCACGAAACACTCATCAATTTCTATTGTACAATTTCTTCCAGTATAACCATCTGCACAAATACAGGAGTAGTTCGCAATACCATCAACGCATCTGGCATTATTCTTACATGGTGAATGTACCAAACATTCATCAATCTCTTTGGTGCAATTTCTTCCAGTATAACCATCTGCACAAATACAGAAGTAGTTCGCAATACCATCAACGCATCTGGCATTATTCTTACATGGTGAATGTACCAAACATTCATCAATCTCTTTGGTGCAATTTCTTCCAGTATAACCATCTGCACAAATACAGGAGTAGTTGGCAATACCATCAACGCATCTGGCATTATTCTTACATGGTGAATGTACCAGACATTCATCAATTTCTATGGTACAATTTCTTCCAGTATAACCATCGACACAAATACAGGAGTAGTTCGCAATACCATCAACGCATCTGGCATTATTCTTACATGGTGAATGTACCAGACATTCATCAATTTCTATGGTACAATTTCTTCCAGTATAACCATCTGCACAAATACAGGAGTAGTTTGCAATACCATCAACGCATCTGGCATTATTCTCACATGGTAAATGTACCAGACATTCATCAATTTCTATTGTACAATTTCTTCCAGTATAACCATCTGCACAAATACAGGAGTAGTTTGCAATACCATCAACGCATCGGGCATTATTCTTACATGGTGAATGTACCAAACATTCATTTATCTCTTTGGTGCAATTTCTCCCAGTAAAACCATTAAAACAAACACAGGTGTAGTTATTTATTGATATCATCGGATCAAAAACACACGTACCCATCTGACAGGGTCGATCTGCGCACAAATCTATCACCTTATCACACAATGCTCCAGTATGTCCAGTAATGCACCGCTCACAATGCAATCCTGTGAAGTTTCCGGTACAATTACAACGCGGGCTACCTGTGTCGTCGAGACAGCGACCCCCATTTCGACAGATGTATCCATGACAGGGATCTTTAACCACGCAGCCAGCTTTAACGTTCATATTGAGAACTGCGAGTCCGCGTTGAGGTACGGGATTAAGAAAGTTTACATTGCGGGTATCCAGAACCAGGTCTTTTATACAGCCTCGAAACATATCTATGAAAGAATAGAGATTATTTGATGGCGCGTCGTCGGCTGTGGCGTCGTAGCCCTGAGGGCTGAGGTCTGGCTAGGACGTAGTATATACACGTATTCACAACCTCAGATATCTGGCATGCCTTGTTGTCATTGTTCTAGTGCACATGATGGTTATTTATCCAAGACAAGTAATTCCATTTATATAATAACTATAGTGAAACACGCAATGTGATTGGTCAATAGCCGTGCAGGATCAGACAATCCTGCACGCGTTTTAGACAATCCTGCACGCGAAATTTAATTTTAATAAAGTTAACCGTTGTTTCACTACAGTTATTTTATAAAACAATTACCAAATGATTTTCCGTGCAGGATTGCGTGATCCATGCACTTGGGATGTTGCTCGACTTTCGGAAAGCGTGAAAATACACTCGCCTACGGCTCGTGTATTTTCACGCTTTCCGAAAGTCTCGCAACATCCCGCGTGCATGGATCACGCAATCCTGCACGGAAAATCATTTGGTATTCCTTTATTCCGAACTACCTTACCCGTTCAGAACAGGAATTAAAGATTTTTGCGAAAATGTTGTAGTTGAGATTTTCCGACCGAACCAATACCTGAATACATCGTTTATAACTACTTACTTGATTTAACTGGACTGCTGATGTTAACAAATATTTCTCCACTGCGACTGACGTTCAGTAATCTTTCACTTCCAGGAACTTTGGCTTCACCTCGCTTTACACCATCCAAGATCAGGAGCAAACTTCGATACTTTCTCGTCCATTCAAGAGAATGCCATTGATCAGCTGTTACAGTATGGTCAATAATCACACTACCTTCACCTTGGAGGATAGAAAAAATAATTAAGAGAAATGAGGATATTACTGCATGTGATTTAATAAGGTGCTGGCGAGAGAAAAGATGCGCTACCAATTGCTATGTGTCAAGCTTAGTAAACGCTTTCATTCCTGACTTTGAACCATCAAAAGCTTGTTTTCACTCAATTACTAACCTGACCCTAAGTTCACAGTCATCGTTAATTTTTGTTTTATTATTTCCAACTTCACATAATCGTGGCGAGCCTGCGAACGAGGAAACCAGCCGGCATAAAGTAGTAAGCCATGTGACGAGCGAGTCCTGAATTTCATAGAACCACTTGAGCCAAAAGTCCAGTGTGACGATTTTAATGTCAGCAAGACACTTGTATTGTCATTAAATGTTGCTGCTGTTCCTGAACGTAAATTTGAAAGAAAATATGTGATATCATTCTAACGTACAGACTACAGAGCATTTAGAATTTACCATAGACTTACCATTTTCACATCTATCCCCGTGGTACCCAATAGGACACCTACATTCCATGCCACTCCATTTGGTCTTGCATGTTCCTTGATTTCCACACATAACGGATGAGCAGCTTCTATCAACCGCGCAGCCTGGCTTCGGTAGTGGACTGGCACCTAAACGCTGGCCAATACCTAGATCCACAGTTTTGTTGTTTACCAACAATTCTTTCACACAACCAGTAAATGGAGAATAATTTAATTTCTGTGACAAGGAGGAAAAATTTGCAGATACTCTGCCAAAGTACAAATGCTGTCCAATATGGCTAACCGTTGGTACTATATTTACAGACGTGTCTATTCTGTCAATGTACGTGATGATGGTGCCGGAAGATTTAATGGTCATGTTCAGATGATGCCATGACCCATCCGTGAGATTTGTACCAAGAGAAGCTGATCGCCAGTTTCCTGGTTGCCCATAAACAAAGTTCAAGTGATCGCCGAAAAATGCAATCCCAATCTGGAAGGAGTTCTATAGAGAAACGAACAAAACTGTGAAGTATTCAATATTTTCACGATTCTTTGCCCTTAATTGCTCCTCAGCTAGTCTTGTAATCGCGGGTTGTCAACTGCTGAAGAATACAACTGCACGAAGAATAGCGTTTCGTGAAGTTTCCGCAAAGAAAAGCGTGCGAAAAAGCGTGTTACTTCTATCGGTCCAGAAAATATTTATAAAAAAAGATATTCATCTAGTGTATACGTAAACAAGCGATTAGAGAAATTAATGTAGAGAATTGCTTTAACCCAGGGTTAAGCTAACCTTGTGGCGAATCGGGTTAACGAGTGTCTAATTTCCGAAGCCCTTACTCTGAGTCCCACATGTACCATGTGTCATATCAAACTCTTGTAGTACAAATTGGGACATTTGCCCTAGCTAGAGTCTAGTCTCTTTTGAGAGCAATACCGCGCGGCCATAAACAAAGATGGCGTTGAGATCGAAGCGAATTCATGAAGCGAATTTTGAAGCCGGCCCATCTCGGCGTTTTGCCGATGAATACATTAATAATAATGAGTTTTCGTCCGCAAACACGTCAACTAAAAGAAGATTCATAGCCATAGGTTTCTCCGTTCTTTTGCTCAGTGCCTCTCTTTTGATAAAGTATATATGAGTAAGCTGAAATATAGACACAGAGTGTTTATCAACTCCGAACAAAGATATTTTAAACTTTTAATATGGACAATCATCAAAAATTTATAATTTTAATACTTACTTGCTTATTTCGTAATTAAAAGAAGGAACTGTAGTCCGTAGAAAAGGCGTACTTTGTTCGTATTCATGCTCTATCCCTTCGACGGAATGAATTTATGAGGTAAACAAAACCAAAATCGAGAAAGAAACCCCGAAAAACCGAAGATATAGAGCCATTGGTCCACTCTTAATTCGCTTTGAATATGTATGAATTTGGTATCAAAATTTGCGCCAAATCATGTAGATTCCAAAAATGGAAGTAACTAGACGTCACAATGTATTGCAACAGCGCTAGCTCCAGTTTCCCTCTCACTTCCGCCGTGAGTAGGTCACTCAGCGGTGAAATTCTATAATAGCGGCGTACTAAAAAACCCCAAAGTCCAGGTGTAGAACGTGATGAATCTGTATGAAAATTGCATTACCAGACGTGCCGAAGGTGAAATTTTTAAATCCCGCTGGTAACTAAGATGTATTTTTTACGCACAACGCACGAGCAGGAAAAAACCACGAATTTTGAGTCAAATAATATAGCCGCGCAGCTGGAAGCGCGCTAACTTGAAACACGATATACCTTTTGTCTACACAGAGTTTGATATGTCTAAAACTTACCAAAATTCCAGAGTAAACCATCCCCCCCTGTGTATACCCAGTCTTTACATTAAACTGAAACGAAAGTGATCTGATAGGGAACCCAAATGAGTAGCCTATAGATGAGTTATTCGTGCCATCAAATGACGCGCTTAGCTGTCTCTCGCAGTACGGAGATGTGTACCCTGACATACACCGGCATTCATAGTTGGTCCATAAATCCACACATGTACCATATTTACACCTGTGACTTGCACAGACATTCCTTCGTGGACAGCCCTTCTGCACATTTTGCGAGTATGGTAGGTCGTAGAAAAAATTTATTGCATATCTACTTTGGATGAAATTCTACAAAAGAAATATGAGGGTTAAGGGGTTAGAACGTCGTACTCCGCTGATGCCACCAGGTGCAAACACGGAACAACACGTAGTTGCAAATGGCTAAAATGTATATAAACTGCATGTTTAAAATGCAGTAGAAATGTCGAAAGAAAGAAATGTAGAGAGAAAAATTCTACCCACAAAGCTAGGCCCAGGAAAACATTCGACTTCAGCTTCGAAATTTTAAATTCTGACTTACTTTTATACAACCAACAAAACTTTTCCCAGTGATCAGATTATTTTTAACGCGAGCTGTTAATGTCCGTACTCCGCCGACATAGAAGGTGTTCGTGTCTCGGAAATTGACAGGCTGGGTTCCTCTCACCGTTACCGACTGCATTGTATCCACACTGAGGGTTGCTTGATAAGGTTTTGTGTTGCTTAGCACAAGATTTACATTATGAAATGAACCGTCGTTGAGTCCTTGCCCGACATAAGCAGTCTCACTAAACACTGTATCCGTATTGTAAGATATACGTATGCTGCCGTTTACTAATTCTAAGATAACATGGTCCCATCGCTCTTTCTGTACAACCTTTAAAATAAACAAATGCATAAGTCATCACAAGTGTTCTAATATTCGTCCAGGTGGGGTTTGGACTTTCTCGATCTTTTTAAATAGCGTTCGAAATATCATTTGAAGGCCTTTTTTCTCCCCCACTAACTCAAAGTGCTCACGGTATTTTTGCAGCCGTTATACCCGATTCTCATGGTCACCAACATTCGGCGATGGTTATATTGCCGAATAAAGTAATTTGTACTTTGCGGTGATCAATGCGAATCAGGCTTCTAAACTGTCTTTCATAGCTACTTGTTTCATTAGCCGAATTCATTTTAGAGACGGGAAACTCGTCTTAGACGGGAAAGTTGATGGTAAAAACCCGTCTAAATATGAATAGGAATGGATAAATTTATACGTGCACGTGTGATGGGTCGGGTAATGCAAAAAAGGGTATCGTAATTATTACGATAAAAATTTTTTTGTTCCGTCCTTGACCGTGTTGATATTTCAGAAACTCGTCTGATTTACCCGTCTAAATGCGAATTTCAGATGAAGTTGGATTGCCGTCCAGCTTTATATAAATACCTGTCGGTTTAGACGAAAAGACTCGGACGAGAGTTCGGACGAGAAACCCATCTGTGACCGGATTCACATCTGATGAGTTTCTCTCCCGTCTTCGACGAGTTTCCCGTTTTGCAAAAGTATCAAGATGCACAATTGCCGTCATCCTCGACCTCATATTTTTCAAACGCTCACTAATTTAATTTTTTAATCATTACGAGTTGGTTATCATCTCTCCAAAGGTCTGTTCACACGATCCAATTTTGTCGGATCCAATTTACTTCTGATGGATGTTTTATACTTATAGACTTTTTACTTGCAATGTATATGGGCTGCAAATCAAATAGAGCCAACGAAGTATTGCCATTACTGCCATATTGATAACAGAGCTTATTTAAAACATCTCATTATCTATTGTTCAAATTAAAATGCGACGTAAAACCTAGTAGGCCTGGGAGAATAAACAGCGTAGCGTATATAGTCACTACCGAGGCGTAACCATTATGAACTTTGGTTAATTAAAATTTGCAGCTCCTAGACCACTGTATATCTGATCCTGGGTCTTATAGCTACAAATTCCAGCAACCTGGTTGTACAGCTACAATATTTGCAGCATTCAAGCCATATCTTGAATCCTACAGTATTCGTAAGGGTGAATGTTGCTACTTGAGTCACTCGTTAGTTACTTTATTTATTTCCCCTTTCGACGTCAATACATACAAGATACAAGATACATCCTACTCTAACCTACCTACCCCTCCTTGATAAAGCAATAGTCCATCAGGTAAGGTAGTTTTGAAGTCAAAACTAAGGTTCTCATCTTCAGAAAGATGATTTTTTGCTATTTCAAGGTATCCATCCTTTTTAAAACTGATTATATAAGCATTGCGACTCCAAGAACCAGAAATACCTATATCAAACAAAGGTATTAGAAGAGTCATCCTTGGTACTGGGCTTCAATAGACTTAATTATGCTAGCTTTCATATATAGAATTTGCATGTGACATGCTTTCATGGCAATAGGTCTTAATAGGAAGGGAGCTTTCTCTACAAATAGTAAAATGTAGAGTGTCAAGCATATGTTTTCAGAGCTAATCTTCACCAATTATCAATGTGCTTTAATATGAATCCTGGTTTGCTTTAATTTGTTCATGTATATAAAAACAAAATTTAGCAATGCTATTGTAAGCATTAATTCTCCAGTGACTTGTCACAACATTGAATCAGCACTTGCTAATACATGAAGAATCAAAATGCTATTAGATTTCAAGTAAATATGTAGGGCTGAAGTAAACAACCATTAACATTAATATATACATACTTAACAAAAAGGCAATTAGCAGAATCCAAACCATTTTTTATTGCTGTGTTTGTTTCTATTGATAATACATCAGGCCATTGATAATACATCAGGCCAAAAATTCATGTATGCTAAAAGTAATAGAAAGGTTACAATTACAATACATGAAACATCATAAAAGTATATACTACATTCTCCTTGTTAGTAAAATTAGATATTTATACTTTGATTTCTCTACTTATGTGTCTTTAAAACAAGCTCACCTAGTCTATATCGAAAACATATCCCTGCATTCTATTCTCATTATAGCCAATATCTGTTTACTTCCTGGCTCAGTCATTATATGCTCATAAGTCCCTGCTGGGTCCCTATCTCAAATAACACCTTGCATTATTGTGTTACATTGTAACTACTGATCACAGCTAGGACTTATAATATAATAGACAGAGTAATGTAATAAAAAGTTTCCAATGATGTTCCATTTCCATGTATTCACAGGAAATACAAGGCACTCGGTTATTTCTTGCATGCCTTGTTGTACTATAGGTATTCTTCCCTAATGTAACTCCTGGTGAAAAAATTGACAAAAATTTAAGCTGTGTATTACTCTGACTAAGTCTGCTCCCTTTCTCTCTTACTGAGGGTATACTCATTGGTATGTTGTTAGATCAGTGGTTAGAGGCCTTACATGGGAGTGTGAGCAGTGAGCTAGGACTGCTAGGTGTCCTATATAGCAAGACATGCATTAATTGCTTGGTATGGCTTATTTAAATCGCATCGCTACATATGCGATTGTGCTAAGTAGCACAATTCAGTTTCATTGTATGCAGAAATGAACTTATAGATGGTCTTTATACTCAGAACTGTGATTTTACTGTTTTCAATTTTGGTGTTTACATATTATTAAATTACAGCAGTTGGCATCACGAAGAGTTATCATTCTCATGTGCGTCAGTTTATAATATAATACCATCAAAACTACAACGAAAACCTTACCGTATGTGGGTACCTTTGATCCCGTGCTTTGATCGTTTAAACAATCACGAGTACCAATTAGAACGTCCTACCATTATTCTATTTAAATGAAAGTGACAACTTTTTTCCAAAATTCAAAAACTGGTGTACTGGTTACCGGTTGCCATAGCAACTAACGCCCACCGGCGGTACTTAGTGTTTCCACTTGTTCAAACCTTACAAATCGTAGAATTACCAATTTGGCACCGGGCACCACCCACAGTGCGTCTTGGACTTGTATAGCCACGTAAATAGTTATATCAATTTATAGCATGTTCATTTGCTATTTATTCCTGGTGAATGTCGATTTAGAATTGTTAAAGTATAGAGGACCACCCTTCTGACTGAGCCACTGAGGTGATTGTATCCACGATGCAGTTTGACGAAGATAAATTAAAGGTACCTCATGATCATGTAGCTGGTTAAGTCTGATTTTGTAGCATATTGGGCACTAAGGTCTGTTCACACGATCCATTTTTGTTGGGTCCAATTCACTTCTGATATATGGAATATAGTCGATTATTGATAAAAAAATTTTATTAAAACATCAGTATATTTGCAGCCCATGTACATTACAAGATAACAGACTATAAAACATCCATCAGAAGTGAATTGGATCCAACAAAATTGGATCATGTGAACAGACCTTTACATAGTGAATCTTGTTGTCCTACCAGCAGTATCCTTTGGCCAAGGATTGATGTTCTGTTACAGTTTCATTATAATGGTTGATTGAGCTGGGGGTGCATGCCCCCCCCCCCAACACCCGCCCAGTAATTTGCAATGTCAAAAATTGGTCAAAATGCTTTGCTATTGGTTAAAAAAATACCGCATCAAATTTAAGTCAATTGAATGAATTCCTCAAATATGCAACAAATATTTGTTATTTCTCAAAATTTAATTTTAACTTCACTCAATGTTCATCAACCATGGTACGTGGTGGCTAGCTCACACAACATGTCCACTATCCAATATTAATCAACTACCTTTAAACAATTTTACTATTGCCTATTCATATTAATCAGGCTATATGATCCAAAAAATTAAAATTATAAAGAAAGACCTGGAAGTAAATTTGTAAAAATTGTCAATAAAGGTCAAAATCACATGACACTGCCAAATCCGGACTCATCTGCCACATTTGGAGAGATATATGAGCTTTATATCTGAATGAATATGGGAGACTTGTGTACAATACATTTTATGCATAACTCAGCAATTGTCCAATGGAATAACTTGTTTACAATTCCAAAGTTTGAGGTGGTTGAGAGAGTTATCTTCTTTTCAAACCTTTTCAAACTCATCGCTCCGCAAATCCGCAGCACCACTCTATGTTTTCTTGTTCGTACCACAGACATTTACTGCGAAACAAAGACATTTCCCGGATTTATCATTAGCGTTGACCCAGGACTGAGAGAAGACAGAGAGCTTTCTTTAAGACTCTTGACTTCTAATTGTTCTGTCAAAGAAAGCGTTTCTTCAGTTAAAAACGCTTTAAAAAGTGTAATGCGTGACGGGTGTCTACTCTAATAACACTAATGTGTTTTTGAATAGCTAGTGTGACATTAATTTTGAAACACTTTGTTATATAAGCAATTATGCACGGGCGTTGCACAACTAAACAATGAAATATTGTGAAACAATGAACGATGCTTAATTGTTAGACACTTGAATAGTGATACTAGTCATTAGTTGAAGTTAGTGTGAGAGGCAAAAGCACGAGCCGGAGGCACAGTTTTAATACATTTCTATAAAAGAAGAAGTTATTGTTGTGGTTCTAATCTAATATGTGTTACTGGGCTATTCCCCCTACGGCCACGCTTAAAGATACAAAGAATAGGTCTCGGGTAACAACTTATAACCTTTTTCATTATTTAATCTTAGAGTTTAGAGCATCAGTATAGCCCAAGTAAATGGATAATCAGATCAATTCCTGGCGGCCAAGATCCCGTCTTGCGTTTTTTGAAAATTGGATCAGAGGGTAATAAACTGAAAGTAAAACTATCTAGATATACGATATATTCTCCATGGGTCTTTCAAAAATAAGTAAAGATCAAATTCAACGAAACGGGCGAACAAAATTCAGAACTGTTGAGAACTGACAGATAAGAATACAGTTATTATACAATATACATTACGTAGATTAGATTACATAGTTATTAGCATTAGGGATGTCACGTGACACTTTGGTAACATGAGAGTTAGTATGACTAGTGACACGCTACGAGGTAGTGGTGCATCGAGCACAAGTATTATTGTTGTAAAGGTTTATAGTTTATTAAAGGTTTTTAATTTGTGACTTGTCGAGGACTACAGTTTGGAGGCGACATTCTCGACAGAACGTCATGGCTATAGAAAGAGCAGGGTGTCGTTGGAGTGAAAAAAAGTTTTGTTAGACAGTAGGCAGTATATAAGTACAGCGTTACCGGGAAATGGCAAGCGGCAGCAAGGCCGAACTTTCTTGGCGGAATTTTCGTTCGTCTTCTTTATTTCATGTTTTCATTCTGATTTGAAAACTGAAAACATTGATTGTTTCTCTATTGCATTTAGCCTATAAAATATATAGCCCTAAAAAACAACACTTTTCGGGTGATTAGTTCAATGGTTACTTTTAGCACGAAGCCATTTAAAGATGTTCTTTCTATAGAAGTTATAGGCTTATAGCTGTGTCTGTGTCATGGTCATATTTTACCAGATTATTGATACGTAAAATTGAAATAAAATAATGAATTCTGTAGTGAATGAGAAGTTAATCAGACAGTTCACTTGCGATTTAAACATTGTGTACGGAGATGGAGAGAAGGCTAAACTGGACATTTATTATCCCCCGGATTGGAAAAATCAAACAAAAGGTAAATACCGATCATAGTTCAGAGAATCTGGGGTTCTGGGAAACGTTTAACGAAACGTTGAGCAAAGCGCAACCACAACCGTGCATAGGTAATTCATACTAAACCACGAGACTACGGGCAATTTTATTTAGGAAAACAAAAAAAAAATGCAGTTTTTGTTTGACCGACACCTGGGGCCGGTTTTTCGAATTTTTGCTTATCCACCGTTTAAGCTAAACGCCTTTCGAACAACTCGTTCCGGACTCAGATAATTTACTGAAAACCGCAAAGCATCCCTGGGGCAGACTTGGAGACATTTTTGCTGAACACTGCACGCATCCCGCAAACTGTTTTGCAATGTTTTAAACGTCGGAAAACACCAGGAACAGAGGAGGGAAATATGATCATTACAATGATATTAGTTTTTAAAACAAGGGATAACCAGACCAATGTTTCAACAACCACCCTAATTCTGTATTATTTCATTTGTATTACTTTATAGATGTGTTGATTTTTATTCATGGTGGATATTGGCAAGCCGGCAGGTTCTACTTTTTTTTTCAGTTGTATGTCAGAAGTATTGAAGTCGCATGAATTGGGTTAAATTAAATGTTTTTTTTTCATATTTTTTCAGCAAGGATAATTACCCTTTTCTAGGACAACAATTGCATGATCTCAACTGTATATTTGTGGCTCTGGGATATGACCTGGCTCCTGAGGGTGAATATATAAATAGATAGGCCGTATTCTCTGGCACGAAAAGTCGCTTAGAAAACGATTTTCGTTGCCCCCCTTCGGGCACTACTTGAAAACACGATAGAAAATTAGGATAAATTATAGAAAGTCTAAATTCACTTGTTTTCACCTTCACAAACCTGCAGTTTTCGAGCATTTCATCTTCGAAACATCAGTGAATTTGCATGTTTTGCAATACACCGACGCCATTTTGATTCAGGAAATGTCGAGGATACTTGGTGTAATATACGACATATATAGCAGATTCAGCAGTTTTATACCGGTATTTAAATGAAGTTTCCTACATTTTTGCTGTGCAAGCAGGTTTCAACAAGGAAGCTTTGAGTGGAGTTTTACGAGGTTTTTCGCAAATTTTCATAGTTTTTCAAAACTGAATTAGTCAGAGAAGAATTGGACAACAATTAATCGGAAAACATCCGCCAATTTTGCATACACGCATCAAAATCATCCACGAGCGTTTTGTTTCTAGCCAAGTTATATAAAATAATTACTACACAATTCCTTTCCAGCATAACCTTTGTTTTATATTAACTACTTTTATAATACACACGTTTTCTCAGCAAAACTATTAACAACATCTCAGTTTTTTGACAAAGTTAATTACCAACGCCTTTATCTTATTATCATCAATCCACTAAAAACGAATTTGTTGAGCGAAAACCCAGACATCTTTACGAAGTTGAAAAAGAACAAATTTCAAACATTTTCCTTATGAAAACGTGTGAGGACTTGTGAAAACTGCCAAGTTGGCCCAAGTCTAAACTTGCTGAAGTATTGGAAAATGAATCTGGAAATCCAGAAGTCAATGTTTGTGCATTTAACAACAATGCACTGATTGTAGATGCTATGGCAGTTATTCAGTCGATGAAAGGAAAATGGAAAACATTTGGCGATGATGCTCTTTTAAAAACCTCAACACGCTAGCACGAAAGTATAATTCCAAATGATTAGATTGTTGCAGACAGGTATCCTTAGTTGAGCATAAAGAATGCAGAGAAACAACGAAGAGCTGAAGGAGTCCAGAAAGTTCAAATCTTCGGAAAAGATCAGAGTGTTCCAAAACAGTGGAAAAAGTGTTTAAGATGCGGTGAAAACCAGAAATCCCTCATATCTTTCTTATGTGAACACTGGAGGTCATGTAACTCCTCCCGGTGGTTTTCCATTTCAACTATGTACGTAACTGCTAAAGAAAGATGCTATGTTTTATATCCCGGTGATTCCCCGAACGATATTGTTACAAGTAATGAGGTGTTTTCGCTTCATAGCACCACGAAGAAGCAGACACTCGTTTAATTCTACATGCCAACCACGCAGCAGCAACGTACGATAAAGTTATTATCAAAGGCCCTGATACAGATGTTCTTATACCTGCGATTGCCATGCAACAACAGATGCAGAAAGAGATTTTCTTTTTGACTGGCACGGGAGATAGACGTCGTTGCGTATTTGTAGCAATTATCTCGAAATTCTTGGGCGTGGATGTTGCACTTTGTTTACCAGGCTTTCATGCTTTTACCGGTAATGGCATTAGCAATCAAGCAGCATCATGGTATCAGTGTTTAAGTGCAGAAGTCGATCTCCCATCACTGGTTGGCAATGGCTGGACGCTTGACGATAAAGAGCTGGAGATAACTTGGATGACACGCCCACCCGCTCCGCGATCTTTAATTGAGTGTCAGTTGAGTGCAAGTGCAAGACTGGATGCTCGACCATGCATGCGTTGTTCCTGCAAAAAGGCTGACTTAAAGTGCACCAACCTATGTTCGTGTGGTGATTGCCAGAATGCAGTAGTTGAAGATTGTAACGACGATGACAGCAGTTATGGCCTGGCTCAATCTGATGACGATGATGAACTTGAAGGATCAGGATCTAATCTGGATTTCGGAGATGACGTCGATGATGAATTGTGGTATTAGCTGTCCGATTAAAAGGGTTGAGTTCAACATTTTATTTGTGTTTTAAAATTATAAGGCGCTCGTAATCTCCCACGATGGTATTATTAAAAACGTATCAATATCAACCTTGGTATGCGTGTTCAATATTTTAACATGTACAGTAGTTGTACGTTGCAAATCACAAAACAAAGGGTATGCTGGAAAAGAATTGTGTAGTAATTATTACTCCGCCTGCGTATGCGCAGCGGAGTCTTAAAATGCCATGGTCTTTTTTCCTTTTCGTCGTTTTGGGCGACAGAAGTTGGCATTTCTACAGGTAACCCAAAACATTTTGACCGAGAAGCCCTGAGTTTCACGGTCCACGGATGAATTAGGTACATCAGTTGGCATGCAGGCGGAGTGAACGCCTTGAGCAGGCGTCTTGTTTTATATAAATTGACTAGAAACAAAACGCTCGTGGATGATTTTGATGCGTGTAAATAAAGTTGTTCTTATTTATTTGTAAATTCCAAGAGCAGAATGCTATAAAAAAATCGCAAATTGGCGGATGTTTTCCGATTAATTGTTGTCCAATTCTTTTCTGACTAATTTAGTTTTGAAAAACTATGAAAATTTGCGAAAAACCTCGTAAAACTCCACTCAAAGCTTCCTTGTTGAAACCTGCTTGCACAGCAAAAATTCAGGAAACTTCATTTAAATACCGGTATAAAACTGCTGAATCTGCTATATATGTCGTATATTACACCAAGTATCCTCGACATTTCCTGAATCAAAATGGCGTCGGTGTATTGCAAAACATGCAAATTCACTGATGTTTCGAAGATGAAATGCTCGAAAACTGCAGGTTTGTGAAGGTGAAAACAAGTGAATTTAGACTTTCTATAATTTATCCTAATTTTCTATCGTGTTTTCAAGTAGTGCCCGAAGGGGGGCAACGAAACTGAACGATAATCGGCCACAGAATACGGCCTAAGACATGCAATAAGACTTTGAAGTATGTTTAATTGCTCCTGTTTATCTTCTAACATTAATAGATAAAATTTCTGAATATTTAGCGTCCATGGATGGCATGGTGGCACAAATACAGAGTGCTATTGTTTTTACAGGGAGAAGATTTCCATCTTCAAGGTAGATATACAGTTTTTTTATCAGTTGAACTGTTAAAGTGTGTTGTCATATGGTGAATACAATATGACACATTGTATTGTATTGAACGTGTCATTTTTGTCATTCAATAAATGTACAGACTTTTCTTGGTCGGACATTCGGCAGGAGCTCATCTCTCCGCAATGATGATGACGATGAACTGGGAGGACAGCGGTCTTTCACCTCAAAGATTTACAGGTTCTGGTCCTGCCATTACAGACCATTGAGTCAAACTAGCCAATATATCCTTCTCTTGTAGCCTGTTTTATTCTGTCGTCGCATGGTGCCTACCACAAATATACCACAACACGATACCACAAATATACCACAACACGATACCACAACGCGTGGTGGATGTAAAATACTAAAAATAGTCTGTGTATATCGATGTCGATGTATGTGTAAATCAGTGTTTGTTCATTATCGTTGAGATATGCTGCCATCCTGGTCAAAACATTGACAATACTGAGTAGTAATTGACACTACAGTCAGCAGTCGCGGGATTTATTTCAAAATTCTAGCCCCCTCCCACCCCACAAATCAATGTTGTGCGTGATGTGTCAAAACTCATTCCAGCATTTAGTATAGGTTTAACGAGGTGATTAGGATGGCGAGGGGAGAAATCGACACCGAAATGTTGATGTTTTGCGTAAAAAACTACAAATCATTCAAAGTGTAGTCGATGGTTTTGGCCAGATTGTGGTACTTTATTACACCCCTCACTTGTAGTCGTAGCGAGCTGCGAGAGGCGAAAAAATTAGGCTTCATCACCAGTGTCGGGCAGTGGGGCTGTATAAAATGTTTATTACTAATACATAATTTGGTATATTGAAGGTGTTTGTCTTCTCAGTGGTGTATACGACCTGGAGCCTTTGTTACCAACTTACATCAATGAGCCCATCAAGATGAATAAGTACGGTTCGACAATAGTATTTTTACATTTAGAATATTTCCATTGAACCACGATCTCACTTGTTGTGATCACAACAAGCCTCGTTTAGTATCGTAAATGGCAAATGCAAATTGTACATGCTAGAGCTAAGAACAACCAAAAATTATACCATCGTAAATTCATCTTCTTTATCCAGAGAAATTGCGGTCAGGAATAGTCCAATGAAAGTCGTCCAATCCAGAGGGTTAACTATCCAGTGCAAAGTTCTGATTGTGGTAGCGGAACATGATAGTCCTGCATTTCATCATCAAAAAAATTTTTCCAATTTACTAAAAGAAACGATGGTACATCCCAGTGTGGAGCATCTTGAGCTCCCTGGCGTTGATCATTTTGATATGCTGGAAAAATGTGCGGAAAGGAATTTCATTCTTAACCAGGTAAACACTCGCGATCTTTTTTATGGTGATTTCTTCTACAAATGCTTCAGTTTTGAGGACTGTACAGATCGCCTTCATTGTAAAATACAGTCTAATCCTTAACTTTCTATTCAGGTTCTGGCGAATTTTATGAAGAGTGACATTAAATGTACTTTATAAACATTTATGAACTTTGTTGCATCAAGGTGTAGGTATGACGTGGAAATGATTTTACCGAAATAATTTTATATTCTTTAAACCGTATATTTTCCTGTGAGGATATCTAGTGATAATTAATTTAGATAGCTATGCAATTTACAATACTAACTTCACCAACCTTTTATAGTGCAAAGAAGTCACATAGTGGCGAAATTGCGCATAGTTATTATTACTATTAATTTATTTCACCTAAATACAACAGTTAACAAAAATATGTTTTTTACAAAATTTAAGCCTATAAGGAACCTAACTACTTTTAGCTTTTTAGCTTAACTTGCCAATGAGAGACTAATTTGCCAATACATACAGAGTTACAGGCAGCTAGGGTTGAAGCTAAATCTAGTCAAATCCAGGTCTTGCACAATTGCATAATTTTACAATATGTGATGGCTCTTACAAAACAGCATGTATTTTACAATTTTATTTATTTTGTAATTGTCTTACAATAAGAATTGTAATATTCTTCTTCAAGTTCATATAATGAACCAGCTAAATCTTCTTTAACACTATTCAATGTGTTTTGGCTTTCTTTCTGTAATGTATACAACTGTTTGCATCTCCTGTCAATTGATTCGTTCACACCAGGGAAGTTGTTAAGAATCAGAAACTCTTTAATGTCTGAGACCAATTTGAGCAAAGATTCACTGGCACGAACCTGGAAATTTGGAGAAAGGAAGTCTATTTATCTGAACATGCATAGTTTGTCTTCATGGATTACCACAACTATTTTAATTTTGGTATCAAAAAAGATGAAACAGTAAAACCTATATAGGAATTAGGGATCTCTGCTTGGTTACCAACAAGAGGAATCTATTGATAAACCTTGCCATTGTTATTACATCAATGGCAGTAGCTGAACAAGGTCTAGGCTTGCATGAAAAATAATATTCTTACTATGTTAGCAGCTCTGACTTTACACTCATTTTCATCTTGTTCACATTCAGTTAATCTTGCCACTTGACTCTCATCCTCAAACTGTTAAAAGGAGTGTATATTTTCTTGTGAAGGGATGTGGTTAGGGCTATTCTTTGGCCATGTATCATGACCCCATGAGCAATAGCTAATTCCAGGAAAGAATGATATACGCTATGTGTGACGTGTCCCTATGGTACGGTTGAAGTGGAAAACAGGCCTAAGAGTTATTGCAAGTATTAAAGCCCATCTTGGTTTTTTAAAATTCTCAAAAAAGGTTTTGTGACGTCATGCTGACGTAATAGAAATATAATTCTCTACTATGGGTTTGTTTCAAGTTTAGTTTACCCTTGTATTGATCCTGGCAAACTCATTCATACCTTGGAGGACTTGATAATTTCTGTAAAGTTATCTAATATGGATTTTACATCGTCCTTCAATCGTTTGGTATACGATTTTAGTAGTGCTTCTTTAGACTGAGAGAGACCGCGGGTTTGAGACATAATAGTACTAACTGACTTTCATTGAAATCCAAAATACGGTTTTACTATTTCTTTGTCCAAATTAGAGAAAGTTCAACTGGAAAATTCACTTCTACCCACGTACGGGCTTAACATAACCATCCATTGTAAAAATTTGACAAATCCGCCATATTGAGAACCGCGTCCCTGGGAGGGTCTGGGTATCACTGGTGTTCAAGACTCCACTAATTCTCTTTGGAACTGTTTTTAAAATGGTGAGTTCGCCGTTTCAGAATCCTTCCCAAATATATATAATCCTTTCACATTTCTTTCGAAAATGGGCCTAGATAAATAAATTAATACTGCTTGTACCCATCAATAAGATTTTTAATAAAAAACGCCGTTTGGAAATACTTTTATTTTCGTGGTAATTTGACTTATGATCATTCGTTCGGATCAGCGATTTACTTTTGCTACAGATATTTAATAGTAAAAGAAATAGTTGGTTAAGGAGGAAATTTAATTCCTGTTCGCAACACATCGGCATTTATATAGTGTTACTTCCACAATACTTTGTCTGGGTGATGAATGTGATTCTTGTTTCAGCCTTATGGCTTATAGGATCGACCATTCATTGTATAGTAGATATATGGTGTAGATATATGGTTGGGAATCCCAAACTGCAGAGTAGAACCAGTTATAGAAGAGGTCTTTTTGCAGGGTTGGATAAAAGAAGATTTTTCTAGAAAAGAAATCTTCTTTTTTCTTTTATTAATAAAAGAAGATTTTTGCTAATAAAAGAAGATTTTTAGATTGTTTCAAAATAAAAAAATTCAAAATGGCGAATACAATGTTATCATTGTGATGTCAAATATTTAGACTAACATTGATCAGTTTTAGCACTTTTATGCTTTTATGTAATCATTTATCATTCCTACTCTTGAATCTCGAGGCGACTGGCCTTGATGACCGTGATGGTATAAATATGTACCTTTTGTCATTTTAAAATATTATATTTATTTCAAACTTCTTGATTTTCAAATTATATGTAAGTATCAAATATAATAAAGAAATTTGGCAAAAACAAAAATCTTCTTTTATTATAAAAGAAAATAAAAGAAGAAATAATAAAAGAAGATTTGCCAACCCTGTCTTTTTGTATAAAAGTGAAAAATATCTTAAGCTCTGTTTGTCAAAGCAGTGCACATTATGGTGCAAAATAATTTTTGAGTTACATTCTAGGTATATGTTAACAGACCCTTCTTTTATACCTATTCCAAATAGGGTTTATAAAAACCAGTGATTATTATTAACATCATAGACTTGAATTTGGTAGAGGTATGCTTGGGTTAGAGACTTTCAGTCTTATGATACCATAGGAACTTTTCACTAGAGATATGCCATCTAAATTGCACTACCACCATCCATACACATGTACTCAAATAACAAGAAACCAAACCATTGCCATAAAGAATATACAAAATCATTTAAATTAGTTGATAATGTTTCATATAACAACATTCTCAATGCTGAATTTAAATCATGTTTTTGGTCTAAACTTCTATTTTCATTTTAGCCTAAAGTGAAAAAGGTTCCCAAATCCAAAAAGGTGGCTCCAGCCCCTTACACAACATCAAAACCACCTCCGAAAAAGGTTGCTAACCCTCTTTACGAAAAACGACCTAAGAACTTTGGCATTGGTTAGTAACATGTTTTTCCTCTATTACTATGCCCCCAGTCTTTAGAAATGAAGTTGGCACAAAGTTGGTCTAAACTGTAATGTTATGAAAAACACCCTGTGATGTTCATTGATATTCAGCCTGAAACTGCACTGAAAGCTTGAAATTGTTCCATGTAAATATTCCACTCAACAGCAAGCAAGGAGATCAAAATTAATCTGAGCTTTAAAGCCTTTAATAATGCTATGATCTGACATGTTTGAAAACTCTACGTGTTAAAATTTAGGAGCTGATATCCAGCCAAAAAGAGATTTGAGTCGCTTTGTAAGGTGGCCAAAGTACATCAGACTTCAAAGGCAAAGAGCTGTTTTGTATCAACGTCTCAAAGTTCCCCCCTCTATCAATCAGTTTACACAAACATTGGACAAGCAGACAGGTTTGAGAATAGATAAATTTGTAATAATGAATAGAATAAACAAAGTGTGGAGTCCGTAAACAAAACTGGTAAAAGATATGTGTTGTGTTTTTGGTTTTCAGTGAACTTGGAAACATGCACTTTTTTGCCTAGAAACATGGAAAGAATACCATGTGTAATTTATATTCTACATTAGTTCATTTATGCATTTTAATAAAGTGTTGTTACACAATTGTATTGTAATGACATCATCCAAAATGCAAAAGTGAGTCTTGTTTGAGAAAACAGTTGTTGTGTAAATGTCTATGACTGTTGGTTACAGCAAGATACATTTATGACAGATTATATATTTAGATATATATTTATATATCACCAGTTTATGTTAAACTGGTTTTAAATGGACAATGATAACATTTTAAAATCATAAAAATGGCTGTCATGTAGGTTCTTGTTTTGTTAATTTGATCTTTTATTTATGTAGCAACACAGTTGTTTAAATTGCTTCACAAGATACGGCCAGAGACTAAAGCAGAAAAGAAAGCTCGTCTCACAGCTAAAGCAGAGAAAAAGGCCCAGGGAAAAGATGACACTCCTGGCAAGAAGCCTGTGACTGTAAAATATGGGATCAACCATGTCACCCAGCTTGTTGAGGAAAAGAAAGCACAACTAGTTGTAATTGCACATGATGTTGACCCAATTGAGGTGAGTTACTGTATTTTTTATCCACCTTCAATCTTTTAACAAAAGTTCAGTCAGACACAAAAAATCTAGGAAACAATAAAGACTATTGCAATCAATTGTAACCAATGTAAATGAAGATTGTTAATATATGCAGTATTCTTGCAATGCATGTCCAATGTTACATCACTGCTTGGTGCAAACTGAGCATTGAAGATATGTTTTAACATTTTAGATAGTTGTATGGCTACCTGCCCTGTGCAGAAAGATGAATGTGCCCTACTGTATTGTCAAGGGAAAAGCCAGGTGAGAATTATGCAAATTTTCATAAAGGAACATGATTAGGGGACATTGAGCCTGCATTAGGGAGCCTTTGCTTTTTTTATGAAACCTAAGCCACTAACAGACCTTTCTCATAATGATGTCAAACTCAAATAACTAGTTTCATTGGCTTGTTAGTTTTGCATGACAAATGCAGAATAACTGGTGTTACTTTGTGAGTTTGTGTGACATTTGCATCCCATGACATCATCATGTGAAAGGTAAATGTAAAATAAGTAATACATCAATTTTTACTCTGAAAAGTACACTGTAAAACATATGATTGTTTCAGACTTGGTAAAGTTGTGCACAAAAAGACAGCAACAGCACTGTGCATTACAACGGTTAAGGCTGAGGATAAGCATACTCTCAACACCCTTGTTGAGGCTGTCAAGACTAACTACAATGACCGTGCCGATGAAATCAGACGTCATTGGGGTGGTGGAATTATGGGTGTTAAATCCCAGGCCGTCACAGAAAGATTGGAACGAGCCAAGTTGAAGGAAGTTAAAATGGCATAACCTGTTAACGGTAATGGTGGTAATAAATGAATCATGGAAACTATATGTGTTTGGTATTTTCTTTATTTTTATTTAAAGATCGCTTTTCATAAAGTATTTACAGATTTAGATTGAGTCAATATTGTCTGTAATAATGATGAGATCCTCCCGCTTTGAGCTCATTCTAGCGTTTTCTGGCGTATCATCTAAGATGCCGACAAAAAAGAACAATAACGCAGTGGCATAGCGGTAAATGCCATCTTGCAAACAGGGCGCTACACGACTCGACGAGCTTATATAAAACGCTCTATGATTTCTTGCACTATTCTTCTCATTTCAATAAGGTATAGGCTACCATTGTTTGAACAAACTGCGAGTTGAGATGTGTCTGGTGAGAACCGACAACAAAACAGTTGATCTTTAGATTCAATTTCATTGTCGAATTTCCTTATTTTTCGCAATTCTGATCCACGTTTTATATCCCAAAATCTAAATGAAAAATAGAAAGGAAGCTGTCGTACCCGGTAGTTTCGGGTCCTAATCCACTAAAACAAAATCTGCTGAATCTCATGTTTTTCATTAGGATGGTTTATATTGACATTTTACATGTAATTGACATCTTCACTCCAATTTGAAATTCTACCAAAAAAATATGCGATACTGCTTATATATAAAGCAAGGATTAGCCAAGGCCAAATTGATTATTTTCATTATGTCGAGTTTGTGGTAGTATGATAACTTAGGCTACCCCGGCTATTAGGATGTCGTGTTTGCCGTGACCCCAACTGATTCACTTCAGTAATTCACTCCACATCGTGGTGCGGTTAAAACGGAGGGTTGTGCAAGATTTCATGCGTTTGATTTATAGAGGCGGAAGATTGATCGGAAACAGGGATATTACCTGACGGTTTTATCGCTGGAACAAGATACTAAAACCATCTTTTCGCCCAGAGGTCGGGTATCACAACACCATACATTGTTAAGGTGGCCTACGAATGTGTTCGTATTGATCAGCGTTTTTCGGTCCCATAGTTTAATTGTTTGATCATCGGAACACGACAATACCAACTCATCATCAATTCCGAAAAAACAGCAATAATGCACTCGCTTTTTATGTTTCGTTAATATTTTCAATGCTCGTTTGGAGTTGTCTGAATAGTCTTCAAGTATTTGAACTGTTTTGTCACGGCCGCAAGTTACCAGGTTTTGCCCATTTTTGGAAAATGAAACATGATCTACATTATTCTGATGGTTTTCAATGTTCTTTTCGACGCTAAGAGTTTTCCAGTTCCAAACTTTTACTGTCCTGTCTGATGACGCAGACACAAGTTTCCATGACGACCAGCTAGGGTCAAATGCGCATGACCATACTGTTTTGCTGTGACCATTGAACTTCGCTATTTCACCTTGAACGCGTTGGTCCCAAATACGCACTGTTTTATCACTGGATGCTGAACAAATGTATATACCAAATGAACTAAAATCGCATGACCAGACCTCTGCCCCGTGTTTGCCGATTGTTTGCACTTTTTGACCCGTTTGTGCATCCCATAGCAGTACCGTTTGATCTCCACTACAAGATACGATTTTTGAACCATCTGCTGAATAGCTACAATCTTCTACAAAATTTGAATGGGCGTTTAATCGCAAAATGCCTGGAAACTCATTTCTCTGGAAACTTTCATTTTTTTCCATATGCGCGTTCGTTCTTGGAATGTTAAAGTATTGCGCAATTCTTTGCTAATTCGTGATGACGACGTGTTTCCATGGTGATTTATGGTGATTACGGAAGCTTAAACACACCGCTGACCGCTAATTCTGCTGAGGCGCGGAAAAATGCAAAATTGAGTTCAAATTTTCGAAGTTCATATATAATTTTTATAGTTTGTTTTGGTTTTGATTTTGTTTCAGATAAAAGTATGGTATCAGTAGAGTATATATATGTCTTATATAATAGCATTGTTACCGTCAGAATAATTTGAAATGGGCTCCAAAAAGTCCAAACCGAAGCGTGCGTCCAGATATGAAAGTGACACTACAGCAAATGAAATTTCGCAGGCTGCTCAAAATGAAGTCAAAGAGTTTCCGCCAGTTCATGGAGATAGAGTGACATGTTTAGCTGCGTATAAGCCTGGAATTTGTGTATCTGGAAGCACAGACATGGTGAGAAATATTATCTTAATGTGATTAGATCGATGTAATGTGCACGCCACTGAAAGGCAGGGTTGGCAAATCTTCTTTTATTATTTCTTCTTTTATTTTCTTTTATAATAAAAGAAGATTTTTGTTTTTGCCAAATTTCTTCTTTTATTTTCTTTTATTATTTTTGATACTTACATTATAATTTTGAAAATCAAGAAGTTTGAAATAAATATATTAATATTTTAAAAATGACAAAATTAGGTAATAACATATTTATACCATCACGGTCATCAAGGCCAGTCGCCTCGAGATTCAAGAGTAGGAATGATAAATGATTACATAAAAGCATAAAAGTGCTAAAACTGATCAATGTTAGTCTAAATATTTGACATCACAATGATAACATTGTATTCGCCATTTTGAATTTTTTTATTTTGAAACAATCTAAAAATCTTCTTTTATTAGCAAAAATCTTCTTTTATTAATAAAAGAAAAAAGAAGATTTCTTTTCTAGAAAAATCTTCTTTTATCCAACCCTGCTGAAAGGTAACTTGCAGGTGTATTTATTTTATAAACGTATGAAGTATAAATAATATGCACCTGTAACTACTGCTATTTATATCATGTAACGTTCTCGCGCATTTAATATTTTCCTATTAAAAAGTGTGAGAGGTGATAAAATTTTGTAAAATGTAAATGTTTTATTTAATTGTTACTGGCCAGTCCTGCAATGCTACCAGTTCAGAACATAAGAAAACTAGGCTAATAAGTAAACTTTCTACATAATGCTTCAACCACTTGTTATTAGTCTGGACTTCAACAACTTGCAATGATGTGTTGTGTGATTTGAGATGATTTGAGATGTGTTGACTATATATGCAGGTAAAAATGAACAAGTTGTTCTGACAGGTTGATAAAAACAGGACTGAACAATGTTGTGCTGCACCCCATGAACATTGTTGTCAACATGTTGCAACATGCTGACAACAATGTTCATGGGGTGCAGCACAACATTGTTCGATCCTGACATTATGCCTGGGTACACATGTAAAATATCATATCTTGTAGCAAGTCTGTTCACAAGCTTGCAACAAGATTCGTTCGCACTGCTTGTCCTAAGCTGTTGATGAGATGGGACAACTTGTTAACAAGTTGTAACAAACTTTTTGAATCGAAAGACTTGCTACAAGACTGTTCCAACAAGTCTGATACAAACATGTGACAATATTGCTACAATCTTTTGCTGTCAAGTTCGTAGCAATGTTGTTATATCATATCTCTATAAGACTTGTGAGAACATTGTTGTCAACACGTTGCAACAACTTAAAGCTTAACAAGTTGTTGCAACATGTTGACAACAATGTTCATGGAGTGCAGCACAACATTGTTTGGTCCTGTTTTCATCAACCTGGAACAACTTGTCCATTTTTATTTGTGTACCCACTACCCATGCAGGCATAATATCAGCACCACATATAGGAGTAATATTTTATTCTTATTATCTCAGAGTGTAGGAGTGTTTAACTATAAACAAGAAAAGTTGTGGACAAGATGGAAAGCTCACGACAAGGATATTACTAAGGTTTGAACAGACAAGTAATATGTGTATATTAAAGTCAGGGCTAAAACTAGAACAATAATTAGGGATAGTGTTTATTCTCATATTCAGTTTTGTCTGACATATTTCTCTTGTAAGCTATTGCACTTACAAAAGAGATTCGCTGGACAGAACTGAATATATAAATAACCCCCTCCCCCCATAATCATTCTAGCCATGCCAATGCCAATGGGGTTAATATTAGGGATCTCTCAGAAGAATTATAGCTGCCAACAGCTTAATTCAACAAGTAGTTAAAATTGGCTAGGTTCAAATTGATTTAAATGCTATTAGTTACTATAACTCTAATTCTCTCACACTTAATAAAAATTGAATAGTCTATAATCAGCTTTTATGTGATTTAGGTTTGCTGTGGTGATCCTCAAGGTCAATCAATAGTATTCAGCTCTTCGAGAGATAAAACAATCAAATCTTGGTTGATTAATGATAACAATGCTATCCAACTCCAGTGTGTTTATGACAGTCATGAACTGGTAGTTACTGCTATTGATAAAAATCCAGGTAATTTCTATTGATCCACCTCCCTCAAGCCTCAGAACAAAAAGTAATTTAACTTGCAAAATCGTTGTTGGGAAATATGGAAAAGTGCATATCAGCAGATATAACTCATGAAGTTTGGAAATTTTGTATGTAGCTAATTATTGTATTACCTGCGAAAAAAACATCCCAATTTTATTCAAAAAAGGGTACTGACAGGGCGTGTAATTTAAATATGTACAAAATTTACTAACTAATTACAAAATTTTGCACTTACCTGCACTTATTATTAATCAACATTTAATCTATACGAGAAGTCATTCACCAGCTGGCACTGAGAGATTAATTTGCTTGAATTGTGTTAATAGATTGTTCGATATTGTGCTCTGGCTCGCGAGATAATGCTATCAAACTTTGGGATGTCGAAAGAGCGCAGTGCTTGAGAACTAACGTTGTAACAAGGAATTTGGTGAGAAATTTTTTGAGAAATTTTCAAACCTTCAATCGACTTTTTTCTAAAAGGAATGTTTTCATTGCTTTCTTTTATTTTTAAAAGATAACATGTGTAAAATGGTTTTCTGAAGACAATCTCATTGCACAAGTTGGCGAGGATAAAATGTTAAGGTATAATATTGCAAAAATTCTTCTGTGCTCATTTGAGAGAAAAGCTCGGGCATTATACATTTATCAAAAAAGTGGATTTTTGTGTCAACAGGATTTGGGACAGTCGTTCATTAGAGGTTTCTTTCACCTTTCCACCAAAGCAATATTTTGCGGTAAACAATTTAAATATGACGCTGTTTTTTATCCCCCCTTTCCGCCTTTCGTAATTTTGCAAACGAAACCAACGATTTCTGTCATAATCAACTTTTCAGACATGCTGTGATGTCTCTCCGGATGGACGTTTTGTATTGACGTCTTCAAATGGTTTTAATGGCAGTGGTTGTGAAGTAAATGTAAGTACCAAAGAGTTTTGTATGTACTACGTATATAATTTTGTATGTCTAGTAGCCAACCAATGAAATTGCAGCATACCTTATATCTGGCGCTTGTGTATATAATAAATAGATTTATCTTTACCTATACCTGCCTTTTACTATATACCTATTCTTTCCAACAAAAGTCTACGATGTGAACTAGCTACTTTCTATTTAGTCGCCGCAGGCGAGGTGATTACAAGCCTGTAATCACCGAGCCTGAGGCGACTAATTGCTGGTTTTAGTGTAAATTTCACATACATCATAGTCACTGACGAGTGACTATCACTTCAGAGACAGTGAATCTGACCAATCAGAATGCAGGAAAATCAATAGTCACCTCAAAATTTATACATAAGGTAAAATAGACGAAGTTTCGGGCGCATTGAATGAGTACTGATATGTTTATCTCTAGTTATGGGACGTGAGAGGAAGGAAACAGATTTACACGTATCTTGGTCATGAACAGACAGTATCAAGTTGCTGCTTTTTACCAAGACTTACGGATATCACGTCTTGGCCAATGTATGTAGTGATTAGTATAAAAATGTATCTTCGTTGTATAATCCTCGTTCGAGGTATCTTTTTTAAGAAGTTTATATTTATTTTTTAGGATCATGAGCGCTTCCCACGATTCTAATGTAAAAATTTGGAATCAAGAAAACCAAAGTAAGTTCAGCAAAGTTATAGTTGTGGCGTCAACTGAGGCTATGTGCACACGATAACGTTCGAGCGTTTTCACATTCGTTTTCATGCCACAATTTACATACCTTAAGACAAATAATGAATGGATCCTTAAGGATTAAGAATAATAATCAACGCTGGACCGATATTGTCGCGGTTGCATGGGACGATTGACTTGATGTTGCTCCTTTTGCTACCTAATGCGCGCGCAATACGACATACAACCAGGGCCCCACTGCCACTCCATACTGTAGTCTAACCCAATTCCATTTCAACCGTAGCATTTTCATTCATCATTGTTTTCTCGGTTCCTGGCTAGAACTAATGAGTTTGAAACCAGGAACGACTGGTCTCAACCAGCCTTACCAACAATCAACCATCACTCCAGTATTGCCACGAATTTCTGGGTTTTTCAATGAAAATTACATTTGTATAGAATGTGTGGCCACTGAGTGCTTTTTTGGTTCGGGGCCTTTAACTGGTATTGCTGTATGGGAGGATGGAAAGTTCTGTGTTTCAAGTTTCAATAGCGGAATCTACCAGCTCAGTCTATCCAGTGATGGCGAAGGTGGAATAATAATAGCATGCCAGACTCACTTCTAAATCCCGAGGATCCGAAACCGAGGATCCAAGTCCTGAAGCGTATTTGTCACGTGTTTTTGGATAGCAAGGTTATACTCGCAGAGTATTCTGGTCTTTGTAGGTACATGATGTCGCGAAACGTCATAATGGGTAAAAAATCTGTTATTCAATACCGAATACGAACTTGGGCAAAGGGAAATAGCGACAGAAAGATTGTCTTTGGCTAAACGTCTTTAATCTATGATAATGATTAGGTAGTCATTTTTCGCAAAATGAGAAAATGACCTGAGCTAAATTGTATGAAACGTACACGTTAATTTCAAATTAGCAGTATGAAATTGTAAAAAAAATAATGTAATAATTCCCCGTTCAGTAAATCCTTAATATACGAATTTAATCTTCGAGATTAGAGAACTGAGAACTTGGGTTAGATTTGGGATTAGGGTCTATTCCTTATGTTAATTCTAACCAAATCTAAAGGATTAAATTCGTGTATTTGGGGTCCTCTGAACATGGTTTTATTCATAGATGGAATTAAATATTAAGAAAAATAATATATATTAAAGCGATTATTTAAAGCACCGTGTTTAATTAAAGGCAATTGCCATACATAACCCTATAAAAATCACAGTCAATAGAACTGTGATAAAATATGCATATGCTGGTATCTCCATATAAATTAATTAAATCACTTCATTAACCTTGATTAAATGAAGTATTGTCGACTACACAAAAACAAAATGGCGGACGAAAATGACAAAGTTTTAACCAATGGTACAAATCATTCGAACGCGGAAGAGGAATTAGAAGGTTTGGTAAAATTTTTATATACTGAATTAATTCTGTGAGTATTTATTATGACGTATCTGTTCATGCCTGATACCCTATTTATTGACTATTATCTGACAGAATTTCAAGAGTTAGACAGTGAATTGGACAGGTTAGATTCATGTCTCAGTGTCCTTGAAGGATGGAATGAGAATCTACATTCGGAATGTGTTAAAGTTTTAGAAAGAATGAAAGAAATGCGACAGCAAAATACGAATGAAGGGGGAAAGTAAACATTCGAAAATCAAATGAAAAATGTGTGGGTAGAAATCAATAGAATGCCAAAACTTTGGTTCAACAGCTGCAAAAACGCGAACTTCACTGTCTGGATTCTCTTGTCAAGCACAAAACAAATAATTAAAAAACATTGCCATTGAGAACAAGAATAATAAATATACAGTCATAAATTGTACAGTGATAAATTATTAATGATAGTCAACAGAAGAGGTCTTAAGCCTTTATCCTATGGTAATAGAAAATAAATAGGCATTATACTTAGGTTTAGCGTTTATTTACTTATAGAATAAAGTACAGTAGTAACTGCTTTCGCTTCATTAAACCTGCAGAATAAAGATACAATGCAGTAACTAGCTGGCCTAAACATTGTTATGTTATGAAACCACTTTGTTTCAATCACCAGGGGAAAAATAATCAATCTTTTATGCTCAACAAATGCTTATCAGTGTTTTATAGTTGTGGCCCTAAGCATGTATCCCTCCTAAAATAAATACCTATTATTAAAGACTGATATATAATTCAGGCACATCATCCTCTGATATTGAATCAGGACCTGAGTTAACTACAATTTAACTAGGAAAATGTAGTGACAACAACAGAGAGAAAGTGCAACAAGGTTTTTGCATATAGAAATGTTATAATTCATCCTTAGGAGAGTTTGTTTTTGGAGACTTCTTGGTGTCAAAGCTCCAGAAAACAGATGGTCTCCCCTTTACATCTCGAGTTCTCTTGACAAAGGCTGAAAATGAGGAAACACAGTTCCCAATAAAAACTTTAGACTTTTCTAAAATAGCCAGATCTATTATAGGTGCCTCTTGGCTGTATGGGTCACTCCTTTGATGAATAGTCACCTGTTGAAAAAAGTTCAAAGATAAACTATATATTTGTTTTTTAAATAAATTTTGTTGCTGTCTATGGTTCTATTGTATCAAGAACCTAAAATATGTTGTACTCACTGTGTTTTTTAATGTCTCAAGCTCTTTTTGAATGATTGATGTATATGGATCATTATCAGTGGCAATAAACACAGAATTTGCCTTGTATTGTTTTACAATCGCTCTTGTTTTCTTTGCAATTTCTTCCTTGGAAGGCCAGCACATATCTTTACTCAATTGGTATTCATTATTGTAGCCAGTACATTGAGGTGATGAAAACAATTGGTGTAAATCTTTTCCTATGTGATTGCAGGCACTTTTCTAAATGCAAGATCACATTAGTTGTTAAACATTATCTGGTAATTTAAGTGAACATATTAGCTCAACAGTATGTATATTTGATAACATTCTATTTATCTATTACCCAGTCTGAACCTGTTCTTAAGTGAATGCCAATAAAAGGTCCTTCAGGAAGATGATTCTTGATAAATTCATTAGATATCTTGTCAATTTCATCTGACCACTGTAAATATTTTTGCAGTCTTCTGTTCCTTTCCACAACAGGAAAATCTCCTGGTGCTCCCATCAATGCAATGACGGGATATTTTGAGCTTGGGAATCTAAAGATTGTGTCATTGTACACTAATATGTTTTCAAATTGGTAGCTAGAGTTTGGCAGTTTTGTCTAGCAAAAGCATTTATTACTATATATGTAGGAAATGGGGGAAGGGGGTTGCATAATAAAACTCAAGCACTTCAGTTTCTTATTATGTGGAGAATTAAATGTAAATTCAGGGAAAAACCTTAATTTATTTCTTTTTACTAATTTTGACTTGTTTTGATGTAACTGCATGTATATCAACACAATTTTCTTACTTTTTGAATGTCAATTACACTAGTGTACATCTACCTGGAGTTCCAATCATTCATAACAGGTACAAAGTCTGTGTTATAGAGTAGACCTTTATGTTCAACATAACTATCAAAATCCACTTCAAAATGATCCCAAAATGGACCAAATGGATTCCCCTCTTTCATTTTACATGTTTTGTCATTTCCTCTAAACATGTAGCAGAAACCTAAAAAGTTAAGGAAGTGGAACAGATGAAAAAGAGGATGGGGAAAACTACATATTTATTCTCTGAAAAACATTTAAGTGGTGCAGAAATTAATAAATTGTATCCCCATCACAATTGCTGCACTGCACAATACCTATTATAATTTAATAATTTTTTATTATAACACTATAATTTTAATGTGGTTGGTAACTAGGATAAATTGTGATGCCTATTTACTTGCAAGTTTTACCTATCCGTGTTCCTTTAGGCCAAATTGATGGGGCAATGTTTGCCATAAATTTCTCCATTGTAATAACACGATGATAAGCTTTAAGTGGTTCAACTTTGAACCATTTATCGAATGGGATTCTTTGCTTGATAAAGGACAGGAAGGTATAAGTGATAAGTCGCTAAGAACTATCTAGCTAGGAAATCAACCGATGCAAATAAAACGTAACTCACAGATCCAGGCACTGCATATTGGTATGTTATCCATGGTGGGAGCACAAGTGTTCGGTTAAGACCTTTGGCAAAAGCTAAGGCACCCAAAAATTGATCAGCTTGATTCCCAAAACGACCTATTGATTGACAGTGAAATGGTCAATATTCACATGGTAGTCTGTGGCATGCAATGCAGTTAAATTGCAGAGTTTAATCAGCCTCTACCTCTTGCATTGCTGAGGCATGTTTCAGCAGTATATCTAAGTAGCATAACAGCATCTTAATGTAAAATGCCTCTCAGTACTATAACAATGTACCTCATTGGACAGGTGTAAATCTGTAAATGGCAAGTAATAATGAAAGAAAAGCATAACCAGCCTCACAAACACAACCACCCACCACTGACACCACACAGCACCACTGATGCCACACAGCACTCCCCCCCCAACAAACACACTCTAGGGAAGAATTTTGTGGCAGCTCCCCCCCCCCCCCCCCCCCCCAACACATGCACACACACTCTAGGGAAGAATTTTGTGGCAGCTCAAATATAATAATCATCTTTGTTTGCAATATCTTTATCAGTCATCAGTGGACTCACTGAATCAGTCAAGAGAAAGGCCCTCGACTTTTGCGTGTGTTCGGTGGCTTTGGCCTTTGGTAATCAAGTAAAAAATATAAAAAGGCATTGAACACTTAAAACTCCATTATTTTGGTTTTGTTGACTTAAATCAGAGCTTAAATATCTGTCATATCATAATTTCAATGTGTCATTGTAAATAACTAATGTATAAAATTCAATTCGTATTTCTAAAGGTCGGGGGTAATATTACGCCAATTTTTCAAAACTATTATGTTCGAAAGAACACTTTATATACAAGAACGCAATGATACTTTCACGTGGAACTATTGAAGTGGAATGCTAATTAGCAACTTACCCATACACGGACAGTAAAGTATAAAGCCATTTTTATCCCATTTATTTTTTGTTTCAATAGGATCAACGGGTTCCTCTTGTTTCTCTCCCCTACAAATAAAATATGTGAGGCAAATAGCCAATGAAATTGCATTTGCTAAAAGGTTCATTTTGATGAAAGATGAGCGAGCGTATCGAAGACGCTACACCGACAATTAATAATTATTCATAAGGTAATAAATAATTAATTTGACCTGTACAGGGGACATTTATAAAAAAGACGTCAATAAAAAGTATTACTTCTTTATGGAGTTTTGAGATCGACAACGAGGTGGAAATTAATGTAGGAAGCTCATATTTGAGTCACTAATGATTTACAATCTTTCGATTTAAAGCTCTAATCTTGTGTCGATGGTTCCAATGCTACCCAAGACTACTCTACGGTTACCGATTACCGAGTTCTATGGTGGCCGATCGCTATCATTCATATTTTTGTTAATAATAGAAACAAAATAATATCTATACGTATTTTAAATGTAAACAGATTACAAATTGCATTTCAAATGATAAACGATTTGAAAATAATAATCAAAATCAAATCAAAATGAGAATCAAAATCAAAACAAGAATCAAAATTAAATCAAAATCAAAACGAAAATCAAAATGATTTTACAATTGCAAATAGAAGTGAATATGAAGTGAAATTTTATCGGCCTAGCGCTATCAAAATTCATTTGAAATTTCATATGACTTTAAAAGATAAATCACAATAAAATGCAAAAAAAATGAAATTGAAATTTTATCGGCCTAGCGCTATCACAGTATACCATAAAGCATTGCGCGCTATTCAAATCAAATTATGTGGTCGCGCATGTGTTTAAAATTTGCATGTGCTCCGTCCTGCTGTCGAACATGGCGGATCGAGCGGCTTGGAAGAATTTTAAAAAGCAAATGACAGCGAAACGAGGAAATAAAAAGAATACATCTGGTGTTAAAATACTAGAGGAAGAGTCAATGACGGTCCAACGTTTGAGTGCGGATGTGTCGGGTAAGGCACAGAAGTACACGAGAGTTGGCGCAAGGGAATTCGTTCCTTTCGAATACGAGGAAGTGACGGTAGAAAATATCAAACTGGCATGCTTAAACCATTTCGACATCAGTGAAACTGCCGTTTGTGATGTTTTAGCAGGTGAGCAGGGCCCGTCCTGTTCTTCTGTTAAACAAATACCAAACTTGAGCGTCATCCATGTGCGCTTTATTGATGGCGAAGACGTAGCGAATAAGCCAGCTATTAAAGAAAACCCCGTTCCAATAAAGAAACGAAAGACTGCAGTCGAATCAGTCCAGTTGTTTCTGCCGGCGCTACAGCAACAACCTCAGTATCGTCAACGGCCGTTTAAAACAAAGTTTATACCCCGAAGTATGTCCGCAGTCGAAATGTTGAGGCTCGGTAAAGAAATAAATCAACGCATGACATAACGGAGATTCGCATTTACGGGTTCGACCTTGGCAATATGTCTTGGGCACCAACACCTAACAAGGTGGACTTTGTCATTGCCAAAGACCCAATTGGCACCGGAGGATTTCGGCAAGCCTTTAAAGCCACAAGTCAAACGAAAGGCTTCGACAAAGCGCCATGGGTCGTAAAAAAGAACCTAAAGCAAACGGTAGATGATATCGAGTATTTGGGACAAACTGTTGAGCAACACACAAAAAAGACAGTTCAGATGCACAACCTCGCCAGGAATTTTACGGTCAGATTACAGCAGGAAGTCGTTAAAAAAGGGAAAGCTGGCGAGTTTGGTGAAGTGTTGCAATACAACAAAGTTTTCTTTGGAAAATGTGGGGATGAATGCGTAACAGTTGAAGATTTCATTCCCGGTACTTTCGATAAACATGTAAACAACACTGGACATGTTTGCGGTAATACCGAAACTGATCTCTGCCAGAAAGCGGAATGCTTTGCGCATTACTCTTTTGAAAGATCCGACAAGCAATTGATAGTGTTGGACATTCAAGGGTGTGATTACATGCTGTGTGATCCTGAAGTGGCTACCAAAGAAACAAGTTCAGATGGGGAATTCTTGTTTTGCACCGGAAATTTATCCAGCACGGCAATTGAGCAGTTTACCAGTTCACATGTGTGCAACAAATTTTGCAAAATACTGGACCTGCCAATGCTAAAAGAGTAACTTCAACGATTTGACTAAGTTTATGAAGATTTTTGAAAATCATAAAGTTCTGTTGGGTATAATTACTTGCAATTTGACTACATTTGTGGAAACTTTTACACATAATTGAAAATCTATTAATAGTTTTGTTGTTGTTGTTTATGCATAATGATCTTTTCTTATACAGTGCATGACCTCCACTACCATAAAGCTTTGCAAATATTTGCCGACTTTTTCAAATTGATAAACCTCAAAAAGTATTCTGGCAGACTCGGCAGTAGGGGTCACAAACTGTAAGAAAACGTCATTATGCATATCAGTAGGTCTAATATTTGTATTAACTATTGCACCATGCACTAAATCATGCACTGTGTATTGTATATTCGGATAAACATATTATATAAACAGTAAATATTTTTCTGCCTTGCTGTGTGGTCATTACCATCTAAAAATTACTGTCACAGACAATTCCCTATTTGATATAACTATATAATATATCTGTAAGCCATGAATTGGGCTATGATCCCAAACCAAAAAAATATCTGATGACCGCAAATTACAAGACAAAAAGGCAAAGCACATATTGATAGTTATAACTTTCTGGGGGTTGCCCGATTTCAGAACAACCCATGATCAAAGGGAATAATGTTCTCGGACATATAAATAAGCATCTGTCCAATCATCTGAATGAATATCGTCAATATTAGGGACTAAACGTTCACACTCTTCTCTGATTGGTGCCTCTAAAAAGTCTGCACCATATGCCAAGACACCGGAATAGCTAGCTGCCTTCTCCAACTCATCTTCAGAAACAGCCCAACCTAGGTATTTGTTTATACAAAACTGGTGTTAGTAACAGCAAACTGACAAAATTAATTAATTATGATTTAAGTAAAACATGTTTCAGGTGATTTATGGATGATTTACTTGATGCCCTTATGCTACCAAGCCTGTAAAATGCAAGATGCAAAATAATTTGAGATGCAAAATGCACAGGTTTGGCACCCAGTCATAGCCAGGTTCAACTTGTTTCAAAGTAAATGTGACATTTGTGAAATTTTACATACCACACTCCTCTAAACTATATTCCTCTGGAAATGAATATATATGATTAGGGACACCACTTGGTAGCTCAGTATCTTTCTGTTGGCGGATTCTGTGTGTGTTCCAGATACTATCTTTAAAAGTATTTAGCTCTTTTGTAGCAATGGAATGAGTATAAATGCCAGTATCATTCTTAAAATATGAAAATATCATTAAATATGATATATTCCGAGGGATATTCCTATTTACAAAGCACACAATTATTAAAGGCAATTATATAATTATGTCAATTGACAAATTGACAGGATACGGAAATATTGAGTTTGAGTTTTGGTCGTGTGTCGTGCGTAAAAAACTAGACCAATTTTTCGACCCACAATTAAATCACTTACATCATGAGAGGTATTAACATGATGCGGTATATTCGGTATAAAAAACTCACCTGTCCTTTTCACTGTGTGGATCGTAAAGATTTTCACCCTTCAGTTGAGAGAGTTGTGCTTTGAAGTATTTCTCAAGTCTCTCATGTACTTCCTTCCACCACCTTTCAATCTGGACATAAGTAACAATAACAACAGTTAATATTATTTATAATAATAATTATATTAAAGCAGCATATAAATATTTATGCACCCTGACCTGATTGGACGTAGATGGTCCATAAAGAACAGTGTCGCAAGCATTTGTAGTGTCGTCGTGGTTGCGCCTCAGAAAAGCATGCATCGTGGCCATGTCGCCAGTCTCTGTGCCTTTGTCCACTCTTAAGTAGGAAGCTATCACTCTGGTTTCGTAAAGGTACTCAAGATACCAGCGTCCAATCAGCTTAGGGTCGGAGTTGCTCGTCCAAACACGAAGCCAAAGCAATTTCCTGCTACAAGTGTCCATGCACCCATAAACAGCCAAAGGAAAAGTACTGTTCTGGTACCCCATTAGTTTATCATGTCCGTCTAATGAATGAACCCAGTTTGGTCCTTTGCTCGAGAAACATCCTTTGGGTTTTCTCCGCTTTGCTCCAACAGCACGCGCTTCGAGACCTTCAGGGTCGAGGTCATACATCACGGCATGGACGAGATCTCTTGGCACATTCAGTCCATGCTCCTGTCTAATCTTCTTGTGCATCGCACGATAGCCAAGGAGTTTACCGGGGCCACGGAGTTCGCTCGATACAGCATCATGCACATTTTCAATAGATATATTTGTGTCTATGTATCTGATATTAAAATGTCGAAGGCGTCTATCAAGGGTTGCTATACTCCAGGCATATTGCGGGAAATCACGTTTCAAAAAGTCTAACATCTCCTTGCGTTGAATACCTTGACGTACGAAGTCTTTCATACCTTCTTCTAATTTCGTATCGTTTCGCCAAGAATCATTTCTAAAATATGAACCAGTTGCCATATTGTATACCTAATGTATAAAATGCAAAAAATGCTAATATGCCGGTCTTTCCGCACAGGAAATAGCGCGCAATGCTTTATGGTATACTGTGATAGCGCTAGGCCGATAAAATTTCACTTCATATTCACTTCTATTTGCAATTGTAAAATCATTTTGATTTTCGTTTTGATTTTGATTTAATTTTGATTCTTGTTTTGATTTTGATTCTCATTTTGATTTGATTTTGATTATTATTTTCAAATCGTTTATCATTTGAAATGCAATTTGTAATCTGTTTACATTTAAAATACGTATAGATATTATTTTGTTTCTATTATTAACAAAAATATGAATGATAGCGATCGGCCACCATAGAGTTCGACCACTTTAAGAAATTTTAAAATAATCCGCGTAATTTAATCTACATCGCAAAGGTGGGGCAAAGTAATCCCGCTTAATTTACATCGATTAAAAAAATTAAAGATCAAGTTAAACCAGAATACCAGATTAACTGTTAACAACTGTTAACTGTGAAGGCAGGCGGGTGGTAGCGATGGGTCTAGAATGCGCATGCGCATACTACATAGAAGTCTTTTAGAAGATGTATCACATATTCACATTTGTATAGAAGAGTACTAGTGGCAACAAGGTAGGAATATAGCGTGTTTTGGGAAGGTATTTCATTTACAATATTGTATTTTAGGCATTTTTATTTGGATTTTTATAAGATTCGCCTCATAAAGAGGATGGATTGTACAAGATTGAAGACTGATGGTTTACTTTGAACCATTTTTTCAGTCAGTTGTATTCTGTACTTTGTGACCACTGTTTGTGAGTAAGAGTCGGGGAGATTTGCCAAATTTTAACCCCGAAAATTATGTATAATATTGAAATCTTCTATGTTCTTTTTGTAGATGGGAAAAGTTTGCAGTTTCATAAATTGCGGAAAATATTTTCTGATATAATTTGTAGTACCCGACTACCCTGTCTACCCACACCATGTGCTCATATATAGGCTGAAAACCACGTTTTTTCGGAGAACCGAAAGGTATACTTTTACAACTTAGTATTCCTAGTACCTAATGCCTGATTTAAAGTCGTATTTTTTGGGGCTTCTCAGCTTCTCATTATTGTCACTAAGTAAGAAAGATGGCCTTAAAACTTGTGGAAATTTTATCAATGAAATAGGAGATCTGGCATAGGCCGCATGGCTGGTAAACCTTGATTGGCTTGGCATGTATTTGGTTCAGAAATATTATGTTTACATGAAAGGGGACAAAAATCTAGTGTTTCACATCAAGTGACAATAAGTTAGAATCTTTACATAAGTCTTTGGCAAAGGAAAAGAAAATTCCACTATAAGTTGTGATCTTTCATACTCTTACATACGTTACCCTTCCAGCATTTCTAAACATCTCTCAATATGAAGCAATCCTCTTTCCTATATCCTCTTTCCTATATCCTCTTTCCTATATCCTCTTTCCTATGCAATTGCAGGAGTTTGTGTTTTGCTTTTTTTCACCTAGTGAGTGCACACAACCATTTCAGGGCATTTTTGTGTGACATGCATTTCATATCTGCCAATGATGTCAACCAATATTTGCTATTTGATTTTCAAAGATGAAAAAAAAGTACCACCAAGATCTGAGGCAGTTTACTTCTTAGATGTGAAAGTTGAATTGATATGTATTTTTTTGTATGCTTATCTTTCTTATGATTGACAGGTCTCCAATATAATTGGACAACATGCCATAAGATATCAATGTATGTGACTAAAGTACCAACAGAGTGAAGTAGGTTTAAATTATTTTTTTTTACATGCTAGCGATATAGTGTTATGTTATGTCCCAATTAGTGTTAGCCAATAATTATTAGATTACATATATTGCAAATATATATTGCAATTTATAAGCATATGATGACATACATTAACAAGACAGGTATAAACCTGGGTGAATGTGATCGATAGGTCTGATGCTTCAAGAGAGATATTAAAAATTCTCATGGATTCATGCCTAATAATTATATCATAGAATTATTTTCTATTTTGATAACAGTGTTTGGAAGAATTATCATTGATGATTGGAGATGGTTTATGTAAGTATATATAGTATACTCGCCATTATGCTCTGTTTATATGTCTTCATGTCATCTTCATGTCTTCTGGATTGTCTATGGTCTATGTATGGTGCTATAGCACTTGTACTTTTAATTCTTAGAATTCTTTTTTGCCTTTTCGATGGATAAGTTTTTCTAAGTACTTAAACACTTTAAGTACTTGTGTAGTTTTTGAAATATTTATTATTTTTGATCAACAATGTTTAATTTTGCATGTGTAAATATGCAGAACTGGAAAGTGATGACGAAAGTGCATAGTTCACCTGAAATGTGTTTCACTTGTGACGACTAATTAGCTCTATCTGATTCCAGTTATAAAGAATTAATGTGTAATTTTAATGAGCAGAAATAACACTGGCTAAGCATTGTATTGTTGCTAAATGTTTAGGTTGCCAAAGACATTCTTGGATAGATAATGGTATGTATATGTGGTTGCTTAATTAATTTGAGTGTCTTTGCAAATGATGACCTCAGAATAGGGACATATGATAAATCCCATGATTAAAAAAATTCAGATTAATAATCATTCTGATGCAAATGCACTTGTACTTTGTTTATATCTGTTGTCTCATAAAAAGTATCTTCCTATGGTGTTCTTAGTATATTTTTCCTCCTATCTATTAGAATGTATCCTGAAAATATAGAACAATTACTAATCAAGAAGTTCCCAAGGTAATCTGAGTAGGTTTTGATTTGATGCACATTCAATTTGTTTGTTTGCCAATGATGTAATTTATATTTGCTACTCTTGATGTTACAATGTGATGAGTAACCACCAAGATCTCTGAGGCATAACAAGTCTTACAATGACAAGCATCTGCCATTTTGGGGGCACATTTCCAAGTCTTGTTGGATTAGAATAGCAGTGCCCTTAAAGTAGTGGATTTCCACCATTGTAAAAAAGGCTAATTGATACAATTATATAAATATGGTGACCTCTATATCAGTATCACAAGTAATTTCCTTAATTTTTCTTGATAGAAATATTGTTTTTGTCTTTTGAATTGCAAACCAGCCTTGGACTGAAGAAGATTCTGGGAAATTAGTTCTTGTGTGTATTTATATAATGTGATACCAATTGTAAAACAAATTAAAACTTGTTTCTGTCATTGAATTCAATCCTTGACTAAATGACTAAAGCACAGTATATATTTTAGCCTGTATCAAAGGGGAAGGGGGGGTGTGTAAAACCCAAAACTCTCAAGTGTTTACACTTACCTATATTTGTTCTAATATTTCAATTCATACATGGATACCAACTTGCTATTAATCCCTTGAAAATAATGAGTTCAGGGTACCCACTACTAGTATTTACTGGTACCAGGGCTTACATAATTTTTTGCATATAGCTTTACTTGAACTGGGATGGGATTGGTGAGTAGAGAGAAACAAAGAACTTTTGAAAAGGATGTATAATTTATGCAATTAATAATGATTCCTCCCCCCCCCCCATAGTGGAGCTCTTCTAGGGAAATTTCCTTACAAATGGAATACCTGTTTACTGCAATGCAAGTGTTCCTAGGCACAGAAATAATAAACATGTCCATTATGTGGCCTAGGGAAAGTTCGTCTCTAACCATAGTGGATACCCTGGAACAAACTACTACCCAGTGTTTTAATTTAGGGTTGTGCACAGGCTATAAAACCCCCTGAGAAGGCTAAAATCAGTGCTAAAGCATAGAGATTATAAATAACATATAATGTTATAACATATAATGTTATTTATAATCTCCGTTCTAAAACCTAACATTCCCTTCTAACCATGACCGTATAATGTTCACTGGATAGATCTTTACTTTCATTTGCGCGTGCACGGGTAAAGTCTACTTTTACACTAGCTTTTGTGAGCAGTGATTGATTTAAACTGTGTATGTGCCGGCGAAAGTCGCACGGGTGAAAATTGGTAGGTAAGCGTCCACCCACGGACCGAGCCGGACATGCGGTCATTGCCAAAGAGGTCATTGACGATGGTGCTGTGGAAGCCATAGAGAAGGCCACGACAGTTTGGGTAAATTTGCGTATTCATTCGTCAGCAATCCTTGCTTGCGCAATCATCAAGCACCGACCAATCAGGGCTAGCCACGGGAATGATTTTGGCCAATGAGAAATTCACACGCCATTTGAGTGCCGTATAAACTCGAAGCACATTGTCGCTAGTACATGAATTTAGAGACTTTATTCTTTGTGTTATTTTGTGTGATTTTAAGACAAAAAGTTCGGGTATAGATCTTGTCTTTTTTGATGAAGATGAAAACATTTGTTGGAGTAGTAGTTCTGGCTTTTGCCGGCAACCTTTTATTTGTAAATTGTGAAGAGAAAAAAGAAGATACGAAAAAAGAAGTAGGAACTGTAATTGGAATTGACTTGGGAACAACTTATTCATGGTGAGATTTCTTCCTTCATTGCTTTTTCTTTATACTATGATAGTTAAACTTCGAAATAAAAAGTATTAAATTGTGTAATACAATATCGTAAAATCGCGTTCAGGTTCTATTGATACAATAACATTTAGTGCTTTCTATTGTATTGATTTCTGGGCCATTTGAAGTATACAGCAGCTGTCAAAATCAATTCAATACACTGTTTAAGGTCTGTTTGTGCCATCTTAAAGATTTTAACTTCAATAAACTAATTAAAATATGTTTGTCCTTAGTGTTGGTGTTTTCAAAAATGGACGGGTAGAAATCATTGCCAATGATCAGGGTAACCGAATCACCCCTTCATATGTGGCATTCACACCAGAAGGAGAGAGGTTAATTGGTGATGGTGCTAAGAACCAACTGACCTCAAATCCAGAAAATACTGTGTTCGATGCAAAACGTCTCATTGGTCGCACCTGGGATGACCCTACTGTTCAAAGTGATATGAAGTTCTTCCCTTTCAAGTTAGTGAAGAAAAATGATAAGCCCCATGTTCAACTTAATGTCAAAGGTGACTCAAAAGAATTTGCTGCTGAAGAAATCAGTGCTATGGTCCTGTCAAAAATGAAGGTAAATATGACCGAATTCAGCTTATCCAGTTGGCTCACTGTTTAGAGAATTAGACTCTACTAGCTCTGAGGATGATGTTGCAGCATACTATGAAGAGATTTTCTGGAATACATTTAGGAAACCTCATTTTGAGAACCTATTTCATCATTGTCTAAAAATTTAGATTCTGCAACTGCAAATCAAAATAGAATATAATTATTATTCATCAAACTTTGAGTAGCAAACACACTCTTCATTTGCAAATTCCTGATTGATCTGTAATACAATATAGTCTTCCAAAATTGGTTGAATAATTAACTTCTAATGTGCCTTCTAGCAGAACCCTTGTACATTAATTCAGATTAGAGTATTAAATAAGTAAATTTCACATTACACTTGACTTCAGCTTAAGTAGTTTTAAACTTCCTGTTCCATGATCAATTGGTTTCATATTGGTTTTTTGAATAGGAAACTGCTGAAGCGTACTTAGGAAAGAAAGTAACCCATGCTGTTGTGACAGTACCTGCATACTTCAACGATGCCCAGAGACAGGCAACCAAAGATGCTGGTGCCATTGCTGGATTGACTGTAATGAGAATCATCAATGAACCAACTGCTGCTGCCATTGCATATGGTTTGGAGAAGAAAGAGGGTGAAAAGAACATTCTTGTTTTCGATCTTGGTGGTGGCACATTCGATGTTTCTTTGTTGACTATTGATAATGGTGTTTTCGAAGTGGTATCTACAAATGGCGATACTCATCTTGGTATGTGAAATTTGCTTCTTTTAACATTTAAGTTGGCATCCATCCCAGTAATAATTATGTTTGATCTATTCAAATGTTTTGGAAATATAATCACTTACTTTATATTTTCCGAAAGTCATTTTTTAGTTTTAATATTTATCCTGTGTAATAATGATTTGATTTATTTTCAGGTGGTGAAGATTTCGATCAAAACGTCATGGACTACTTCATCAAACTTTATAAAAAGAAGAAGGGCAAGGATATTCGCAAAGACAACCGAGCTTTGCAGAAACTCCGTCGTGAAGTAGAGAAGGCCAAGCGGTCATTGAGTGCCCAACATCAAGCAAGAATTGAAATAGAATCATTCTTTGAAGGCGAAGACTTCTCTGAAACACTCACAAGAGCCAAATTTGAAGAAATTAACATGGTAGGTTAATCATTTTTTCATAATTGAAAAAATATGATTGAAAGAAAAATTTAAAACAAAAAATGTTCCGTTTTTAGAAACTTTTCAAATCTACACTTGAGCCTGTGAAAAAAGTTCTTGAAGATGCGGACTTGAAGAAGAGTGACATTCATGAGATTGTCCTTGTTGGTGGTTCTACAAGAATCCCTAAGATTCAAGATCTGGTGAAGAAATTCTTTGATGGCAAAGAGCCCAGCCGTGGTATTAACCCGGACGAAGCCGTTGCCTATGGAGCTGCCGTTCAGGCTGGTGTTCTCAGTGGGGAAGAGGATGTTGGAGAGGTTGTACTACTTGATGTGAACCCTCTTACATTGGGTATCGAAACCGTTGGTGGTGTCATGACCAAACTTATTGCAAGAAACTCTGTTATCCCCACAAAGAAATCACAGATTTTCTCAACCGCTGCTGATAACCAAAACACCGTTACGATTCAAGTCTTCGAAGGTGAACGACCGATGACAAAAGATAACCATCTTTTGGGAAAATTCGATTTAACCGGAATCCCACCTGCTCCACGCGGTACGCCCCAAATCGAAGTCACATTTGAAATCGATGTGAACGGCATCCTCCGAGTATCTGCCGAAGATAAAGGTACCGGCAACAAAGAGAAGATCACGATTACCAACGATCAGAACCGACTCACGCCTGAGGATATCGAGAAAATGATCAACGATGCTGAGAAATATGCGGACGAGGATAAGAAAGTGAAAGATAAGGTTGAATCACGAAATGAACTTGAGAGTTATGCCTACTCGCTAAAGAACCAAATCGGCGATAAGGAGAAGCTTGGTGGCAAACTATCTGAAGAAGACAAAGGAACAGTTTCGAAGGCCGTCGAAGAAGCTATCAGTTGGTTGGATAGTAATAAAGACGCCGATGCCGAGGAATGCAAGGCCGAAAAGAAGAAGCTTGAAGATATTGTTCAACCTATTGTCAGTAAGCTATATCAAGGTGCTGGTGGACAAGGTGGAGCTCCGCCCCCTGGTGGAGAGGGAGCAGAAGGAGATGAGAAACCCGAAGATAAAGATGAGCTATAGACAATGTATCCTCGAAATCTCGGTGCTAAAATTACAATTAAACAATGGTTGTGCACCATACAGTTAGCCGGAAGTTGTTTAAATATTTTCTTGTTTTACGAGGTTTCCCTTGCATTACGGTGCAAAAAGATAGTGTTGAATTTTAGACGCGGGACATCAGAGTGTTGTGATCAGATGTGTGCAAGATTATGCAAACTATATCGCTCTCCTATTTATTTCTATCGTATAATAGTAGTCATTGTAACGAAAAGTGAAGATTATTACTGTTTTATTGTGATTTAACACCATCTGTCTTATGATAGCGCTTAGTGGCACGCACCTAGATAGGCTTAATTTATATTTGACATCTTCTGTTTGAACTGTGTGTATATTTGTGTGTTTTGTCTAAAGTTTACCTTCTCTCGGTTGGAGAAAAGTAACTCAAAGAATGGTCTTTGATATTTAAATATGCTTTTTAGCGCAAATTTCTTATAAATAAAAAATTTAAAGTATTTTTTACTGTCTGATTTCTTTTCTGAATGCGGTTTAAAATTTTGAGGGCTCGAAAATGGGGGGGGGGGTACGGCAAGCTGTAGATACACGTACAATACGCGTGACATCTTCAGTTGATGCAGAAACATGAACATTTTCATCACTGATCAGTTTTAATTTGTTATCATTTTTTCAGTATTTTTTCAGACGTTGTTCAACTGAGTATTGTAAATATTCAGAAGTATTTCAGTATGGGCTTAATATTTGATCAATTCACTCGTCTTTGAAATTGGTGTAATAATATCGAATTTGATCCCAAAATATTTGACCAACTTTCAAACATTGGGGCACTTACAATGGGGTTTACAACCCCTTACTCTCCCCACACCCTCCCGTCGCAACGCTGGTGAAAACACTACAAAAGTCGTTTCAAGAACGTTAGATACCCTCCCAATTCCCAGACGTTTTATTGTTGAGCCCGGAGCCCTTGGTCAAACCCATATGGTCAAACCATAGTTGGTCAAACCAGGGCGGTTATAAGATATCTTATAACCGCCCTGGTTAAACAAAACAGTTCACCGCCTCTATATAGCTCAGTGGCGCAAGGTCGCAAGGGTTACTGGGAGATGTTTTCTTGACTCATTGTTTAAAAAAATATTGTAGTTTCCTGAAGAGAAATATGTGAAACGTTGTATTTTTGCTGGCAGTTTGTTTCTTCTAATGTTTTTGGAAGCAAGGAGGATGCAGCTGCCTTTCATTTGTATTAATGGAGTGATGTAGGTTCGAAAGTCTTTATAACATCTCTTCCTGAACGACCTTGTTTCAAAATATTGCAAAACGCACATGTCGACGTCGGCGGGTGACAGAGCTGGCAGCCGGCGGCGCAAACGACCTCATCCACCTATTCACGATGGAATTGTGAACTCGTTCAGCGATAAAGACAGCGACTTCGTTTGGTAAGCTTTGCAAATTTTGCATCTACGTTGGCAGGTTCCGCTTTGACGTAAAGAAAGAGAAAAAAGCTGTGATATAAAGTAGCGCTGAGAAGGCTTTCCACGACATTTTTGTTTCTATTATCCACATTTTACTAACATTTTGTCTTTCTTTTGCAACTTTAGCCCAATTTGCTTTGACACGATTGATGAAGCTCACATGACGAAATGTGGACACAGCTTTTGGTAAGTGAGATGTGGTGACCTGTTTATTTAATTGAACTCTATATAATTTCCGTGTCCGTAGTCTGTACTGTGTATAAATACAATTGTAGTAAAATTTGCCAAATCGCTTTCTTTTTATATATGGCTGTTTTACTATTAAACCAATAGTAATCTAATTTTAGCATTTTTGCAACAATTGTATTAAATGTGTACAAATAATCATGAAATAAAATTAAAGCAAATTTTAGCGTGCGGACAAGTGCGTGAAATACTTGCGGAAATCGTCACTTGCATCTCAATATTCTGTAGCACATTTCAGCTTTTTTTCGTATTCTATATTTTAAACAAACTACACTGAGAATACTTAGAATGCATGCATGGCTGCCCAGTCTGTGCGTTTTTGCAAGGTCATGGCATTAATCTATCCGTGTGGTAGACTGCCTAAAGATTTTCGGTAAAATCCTCAAAGAAAAATAAGCTAATCTCATCGAGCAGACAGTGAATACTGATTGATTGATGTGTAGAAAATATTTGGCAGGAGTACAGCTTGTGCAAATGCTCAAATGCTTCACTTGACTGTTGCAACACACAAGTCCTTCCTGTTTTGAATTTTATAAAATTGTTTGAATCTCAGATCTAAGCTGTGCAGTTGATGATGTTTTTACATGCTCGTTTGCTGGGGTAAAAAAACAGCCAGCTGAATGACCTGAAGGAACAGAAATAGGGTTACTTACCAGTTTCATGTTTCAAGGTTTTTCTAGACAATAGTTATTAAGACCCTTGGTATGCATGGTATGCAATTGGAATGGCTGGTTGCCCAAAAATTAATATTACTGAGTTGTTTGTGTTGTCATAGACAATAAAAATGTGTATAAGTGCAGTGAGAAGTTTGTCTTTTGCATGTTTTCAATATGTATTTTGAAAAATGATTAAACCTTGAAACATAATAAAACTATAGGCTATTGAACATGCAGTGTTTATCTGGAGATTAGAGAGATTGTTTTGCTGAATTAAATGGTCTAAAATAGTTAAAAACATGTGCATTCTATCTCATTCCCAGTCAATGGGTCAACAGTACACTTTCTGCTAGTTTAAAGAGGTCAGACAAATTTAAAGGGTTTGGAAATTGTCAGTCTAATCTCATTCAAGCTTATCTTTTTGGCATTAACATTATTGCACTTTAAACCTTTTTAGCCTGTAATATGTGTGGTCTCCACTGATATCATTGCTGTACATCTTTTTCTCTGAATGAAATGATCTAATATTGTCCAAATAGTTCATCAGTTCTAAACTGGGTAGCTTTGTTTACAGCATGGAAACATTCCCACGTTGTCTTAAATTTTTGATATTAATCCCTCAATCTCCCAGCCAACTCTAATCCCTCAACCTTCTAGTCCACATTAAATACCTGTTTATGCCAGAGGTGTGCATTGATAATAACAGTGGGGAATAAAAAATGGTCTGTAAACTTAAATGATATTAGTTCACTTAGTTGATTAGCCTATTAAGGTATGATAAGCCTCTTTTCATTTCCTTTAAAAAATAGGAGCATATGCAACCTAATTCAAAATATTCATAGAATATTATAATAGCCTGGTTAAAAGCACATAGTGCAATAGATACTTGGAAACTTGGTTGCAGAGGTGGTATGTATGTGTACCTTAACATTTTGTATTTCTATGTTTTTAGCTACCGATGCATTCATAGAAGTCTCCAGGATAGCAATAAATGTCCAAAGTGTAATTTTGTTATTGATAAACAAGATCAAATTTTTCCAAATTTTTTATGTAAGTATGTGTTGCAGTTTTATATGGTATGAATAGTAGAATATTGGGGTAAAGCACATAAAATCATCATGCATTATGTAATAGCAGACTAATGTTGAGAAGAAGACATTGTAAGGTTCTAATTTGTTTGCATTTTGCAGTAAATGATCTCATCCTTAAAAGGAAACAACTGACAATTGACAAGAATATACAGATTAATCAACCATTAAGTGAAGTAAGTTGGATTTTCATATTATATACACTCACTCATTACAGATAATTCTGGTATAGAGATATAGTTACAAGAATTTTTAATACCTCTTTTCCATGCAAATACATGTGTCTGTTGTGAAAATAAAGAACATAATTTATATGCTCCATTTAATTTTTTATTATTTTTAGTATAATTTTTCAGAGCTACAAGAAATTATATGTGGTGATTCTAATCTTAAAGTGTCAGGTAACTGTGCAACCTTTTTATGACTTATACCAAGGTCAACCAAGAACTATCCCCAGCCATGCCTTCCACCAGCCATGCCTTCTACCTTGAAAAAATGCTCCAGGGGAGCTGTTATATCACTGTGGGTATATCCCATATTAAAAGTCTTAGTTTTAATGCTCAGTTCATTCTATTTTGTCATGAAGGCCTTGATATCATTGTGCTTTAAAATTGCCATGTTCATAGGGTGGATTTTTTTCATCTGACAAGTGACAACTATCTTGAACAATAATTAATAAGAGTACTTAGAGTAATATCATAATTAATTAATTACAAAACAGTAGATATTATATGGATGTTCGCTTATTAACTAGCAAAGCTTGTGTATAACCATAACTGCACCGTTTATATTTCAAGTACGTACCATTAACACATTTTGAAATGAATTCTATCTAGATATAGATTCATTATTAGAAATATTATCAGTGCGGAAATATCAACTTGAAGCAGTAAGTTATTGTTTGGGCTTTAAATTATTAAGTATAAAGAGACCATATAACTTGTTCACTCTATACTTTACAGACCAATATTGCTCACTTTATGTAGGATTGCACCGCAACACAAAATGAAATTCTAAAAGATTTTTTAAAGCAAGTTAAAAGACATAAACAAGAGGTTAGCAGAATATTTGGTAGTTTAACATGAGTATAATGTCATTTATTGTTACTAAATTGGATTATTATATGATGTTTTAGCAATTAGATCAATTAACACAAGAGGTGAAACTTATTGATAATGACCTGAGAAAAGTGGAGGTAACTGAGCTTTTAACTTGGCATACTTGCATGAAAGAAAGATTTTTTTTCCTTTGAGTTGAAGGATTTTATGCTCCTTTGCCCCTCTTGACCTTCTCTAAGAGATAAAAATTATGTTCTATTATTATGCACATAGATACAGCATGTATTTTTAAATGTTTTATTTGTTGTGAAATGAAAATGTATAATCTATGTTGTACTAAGATAGACATTTTTGTGATAGGACATTATAGCTATTCATCAGAGTCAACACCAAGTGTCATTTTTGGTAAGTTCTGTAAATGACAATAATAATCAATATTTGGCAGTATTCGACTCATTAACCTCATCATAGAAGCATCGGAAAATGGAATTCCTGAAAAGATCTCCACAACATATTTTATGTCTTATGTGCATGTTAATTGTTTTTTTAGGATCAGTTTCAAGCTGTTCCAACTACACCAACTGTAAAATCATTTCCAACCAATCTTGAGGAAGCAACTGCAAGGTAAATATGAATAGTGTGACCTATAAACTGATAAATGTTGAACCATTTCTGCTACGTTTGTCGTCATCACACCATAATCTAGGCAGATTATACATTTAGTTATAATACACAGCGTTTTTGGAACGCCAATGAAACAACGTGCATCATTACTTTCTGTTTAGCGGTTGTGGTGCAGAATTAAGTAATTCTGTACAGAAGAATGAGTTACCTCAAGATGGCTTTAATGGAAGTCAGCATGTACGTGTTCACGTTGTGTATATAATGCATTTCTTAATTGGTCAATTCGTGCACTTTGTCTTGTGCTTGTGGTTAATTAACACAATTAAAATCTTGGCAGGGTGCAAAACGTCTGTGGTCGAGCACAACACTAGCTGCACGAAGGAAACGTGTGCATCAGCATTTTGATGACTTGGAGAAATGCTACTTTGCAATTCGTCAGGGTGAAATTCCTGGTAAGTTAGGAATGATGTCAGTTGATATTGTTGTTTAAATCTATTTAAATGTGATTGCTAGACAATTTCGCATGATTGATGACATGGATGACCATAGAATCTTTTAAAATTTTACGTGCGTACTTATAAAAGCAGCCGTAATGAAAATAACCCTTAAGATCTGATACAGCGGGGTTTTTTATTATCGTTAACTTGCTGTGTTTCAAAAAATTCCCAGGCAACTCTGATACAGATGGTTTAGAATATTTCACAGAATGCTTATCAAAATTTACGAGATTCAGCGGATTTCGTCCACTGGCAACGTTAAGTTATGCCAGTGAAGTGCATAACGGATCCAGTATTGTCTCCAGGTAAACATACATGTATAACAATATATCACCAAACCGGCATAAGTTGTAATTTTGAGGAGGAAATTGTATATCTGACACATACTAACTAAAAAAACTTCTCACCCTTTTATTGCATTATCGTATGGAACAATAATAACATCATAGTCTTGATTGGTTACCATGCTGTACTGTCATTGCAATTTTCAATCCATGCCGTAATTGATTTTTTTGTTTGTTTTAAGTATTGAATTTGATCGCGACAACGATTATTTTGCAATTGCTGGAGTAACGAAAAAGATCAAGGTATCTACTAGTGTGCCTCTCATTCTTCGTACTGATACATTGACTTGAAGTTATCTTTCCACGGAAATTTATACTTTATCTTAAACCTCCCAAATGCAGGTGTTTGAATATGGCGTTGTCATTCGAGACGTCGTAGATGTGCACTACCCAGTTATTGAAATGGTGTGCAACTCAAAAATTAGGTACGTAATATCCAATGAAAGCTCGTGTGTGCTGCTTGCTCGAAAACATTTCGTTTGATATTGTATTTTTCAGTGGTACTTGCTGGAGCTCATATCATAAAGGTCTACTGGCAAGCAGTGATTATGAGGGTACTGTGACATTATGGGATGCTTTTACTGGAGTTAAGAACAGGTCATTTCAGGTGAGTTTGAGGATAACAAGTGATATATTGTGTAATGTAATGTGGTACTGGGGTATGGTATAGGTGTGGTACCAGGTACCATAACCGTGGTGTAGTATTGTGGTGTGGTGATTATGGTATGGTATGGTATAGTGTGGCACTGTCGTGTTGTGGTTTGGCTAGGTATGGTGTAGTACTGTGGTGTGGCTACTATGGTACAGTATAGTGTGGCACCGTTGTGTACTGTCACTTAGTATTATAGGGTACTACCTCGACGTCTGCCTCACGTCTTCCAGAACACGTTGCCTATTGTAAACGTTTCTGTTTTTAGGAGCACGAAAAGCGTTGTTGGAGTGTGGATTTCAATCACGTTGATCCAAAATTACTTGCGTCCGGTTCAGATGATGCTAAAGGTCGGTTCTCATCCTGTAATATCGGTTACAGGACTAAAAATGTAAATTGATTGTATTATATTCCCAACAGTGAAGCTATGGTCTACTGGTACAGAACACTCCGTGTCGTGCATTGAAGCTAAAGCTAACGTTTGCTGTGTCAAATTCAATCCTGAGAGTCGATATCATCTTGCGTTTGGATCAGCAGGTAAATTTACGTTCTACCTTAACGGTGATAATTTTGACTGGGCTTCTATGTTTGTAGAAAAAATTCTGCATTACCAGGTCCAGCATGGATTATTTTCCAACATATAAGATAAATATGAAAGTTAAAAAGTATCCATCATCAGTATTAACTTCTTACACGATCAAAATGGGTTGCATTCATCACTATAGCATGCACATATATATTTGTATAAATTCCCCTCCCTATTATGGGGAAGTCAGAAGTTACAGGAAATAAAATCAAAGAAGTGGCGGTATCAGATATACAGGCCAATGTAGCAACAATGTGGAGAATAACTTTTGAACAGATAGGAGGGGAATAAATCGAAGATCACTGAAAATGTACACTAATCTCTACCACACTCAGGAAGTCGGGAAATAGTTGATTGTCGCTTGTGTGACCGAAGATTAGAAGGAACCAGATGTGAGGCATAGTAGGAACACTGTCTGTTAACGTTATATTTTATTTCTAGATCACTGTGTCCACTATTATGATCTCCGCAACAGCAGTAAGCCATTAACTGTGTTTAAAGGTCATCGCAAAGCTGTTTCCTATGCAAAATTTGTAAATGCTGAAGAGATTGTGTCAGCGTAAGTAACCATTTGCTTTGAACTTTGTTCACATGGGTTTGAAAACAGGTAGAAATACTTTCAGAGAAACCACTCCTGCTCTTTCATACATTCTAACAATATCTGTCTGTCTGTTTTCACTGTCATATTTTAAGATGAAGGGTTAGGAGTTAAAATTAAGACCACATTTTGGTTATGTAATTGTGGTTAAGATATATGAACCCCCCCCCCAGACAGACATATATTCTCCACGTTGTCGGAGGCATGTAGTTCGAATGAATGTATCTGTAGTTCGACGTTTATTAATTGCAACATGGAATTTCTTTTAGCTCGACTGACAGTCAGTTAAAATTGTGGAATATTAATAAACCTCATTGTTTGAGAACGTTCAAGGGACATTCAAACGAAAAGAACTTCGTTGGCCTTTCAACCAACGGAGATTATATTGCCTGTGGTATGTATACACATTTTAAATTTATGTTGATATGATATATCTAGAAAAATTTAGGATAAAGGTTAATGGACGTTACCAGATCAGATATCACTATTACTCGATTTACTGGAGGCGTGCAAATTTGGGTATTAATTCAAATGTGTATTTGCAGTGGTGCCTCTTATCATTTTATTGTTATACTTTTTCTAACAAACCTACGTTCTAATATCCCTGACAGCTGGCACTTTTACCCCATCCCATCTTCGGCAACTATTTGTCTGTGCCTCCTGCCTCCCCTTCATGTGTACAAAACTGCCCAGGATCTATCTCTGCACTATTCACCTGTTCGCACCGGTACAAGGAAAGAAAAACGAGAAGGAATTGCACGTCGCCCAAAAAATTACTTTAATGAAACTGCTCTAGCCTTCGTCTTACTTTCCTTTTGAATCATACATCATGTAATATCAATTCGTTTGCTTTTTTCCCACAGGCAGTGAAAATAACTCACTTTACTTGTACTATAAGGGACTCTCGAAGCAGTTGTTGACGTTTAAGTTCGATACTGTGCGGAGTGTTTTGGTAAGTTTCTCAAAACTATTCAAATTTTGCTCCCAGCTAATTATTACGATCGTTTTCTTTTCCGCAAATTAATATTCACAAAAAGTCAAAAGTTTCATTTTGCTTGAGCCGATGGCTTAAATACTGCGCCCAGTCAGTATTTCAAGGGTGAATGAAATTGTGATTCTTTAACGGAACGTAATCCTGAGCTGTCGATAAAAACAGGGTATCACGAGACACTGGCAGTTCTATCTAGGCGACTGGACGGGCTTTTCTTTCTTTTTAGGAAAGAGAAAAAAAAGACGAAGAAGCTAACGAATTTGTAAGCGCTGTTTCATGGAGAACTGTAAGTATTACACAGATGAAATATTGAAGAATTAAATTTACAGCAATTTCTTAATCTCCTCAAGAGGAAGGGTGTATATTTTTGGCAATTCGTTTATCGTAAATATAATAAGCCTGGTTTCATTATCGTACTTCTTCGTAAGATGCTATATAGCTATAGCTATATATACTTGACTACTGCATCGTACGATAAATTACGATAAAGAAAACTAGACATTTTATTGAAGAAGATGCTGGTAGTAACTATGCACTCCCTCTTTGTTTTATGATTGGTTATTTCCCCCTCCCCCCAGCTTTTTTTCGATGGTTTGTCTATACTTTCTATCTCGGTGTGACGGCGCCATCTCTGTCAGACAACTTCTTTTAAACGAGTCAACAGTTATGTCAATACTCATTAGGGGTGGGGAGGGGGGGTGTAACTGTTAAAGACACCTTAACCCTTGAGTTGTTTTTTAATAGGGATCAAATGTTGTAGTTGCAGCTAACAGTCAGGGAACGATAAAGGTGTGTTTTTTAGAACAACGTGATTGATTAATATGTACTTTACTTCCCTCAAGCTATTTCCAAATTTTCTTGGCAAGATGGCCGAATAGTTTTCAAGTCATGCAAGAAAGAATTAAAAATTATATTTGCGATTCGGTCAAAAAGCTGTTAGTCTCACCAGATATTCTCGCAGGCAGGGACCAAATTTTTTTTAAGGCCCGTTTACACATGCGATTTCTGCTGCGATTTTTTGTGCGACTTTTTATCTTCTGATAGATTTGAACGAGTGGATAAGGTATTGATGTGCAATTAATAGCACTTATAGTTATATAAAATCGCAGAAAAAATCGCAGAAAAAATCACACTAAACGGGCCTTTAAATGTTAATTCTTATGTTTCTTCATTTCCTTTCTATAGGTTTTGGAGCTGGTTTAGCTTCTTGCCGGAGTATAATCATCCCGTGCTTCTATTTCAGCAATTGATCAGTATTTTTGAAACCAACGAAGCATGGCTAACTTATTTTTTATTCTTGCGTGTGTATATAAAGCGATACGACGTGGAGGAAGATGATGCAATCGTCAAAAACTGCCTTTCATACTGTTGCGGGTTTGCTCCTTATATATATAAAGGGACCATAATGGTTCTTCAGGGAATTGCAAGCATACTCTATATGTTGTGATTTAGTTATCCCAAGGTTCAATTTTCCGATGGCTCAACCTTTCTTTAACGCATCATGACTTGGTTAGCTGAAGTATCAATTTTTGCTCGCAATTAGAACGAACCCGTGATCAGGCTGTGGAAGGGTCAAAGAATAGTAATTCCTCTAAAATTTCTCTGTGCATATGGTCGTGGGCAGAATGAATTGTATAAATATGTCAAAAGTACAAAACTATTAAAAAAAGGCGTTTTAATAAAAACACGTACGTGATTTACAATGAACGATAGCCAAGAACATGCAGGACTTAATTCGTGGACAACCTTGTCGTAATTCTCGTGAACAAGTCGATTTCATCTTTGTGAAATGGGCCGGGATGTTAATATTTTTCTGGATTGAAATCGGTCATCATTGTTTATTACCGCAGGCACATGGCAATATATTCTAAAATCGACTAAATGGAAACCAAATCGTCTTGACTTTTACCATCAACTATACTCGTGTTTCTATCTTCGAGCTGGCTAACTGCAGCCAATAACCAGTAATAAATACACAGCACCGGGTTGGTTGCATAGTGAAGTGGCCCTACTGTTCACTCTCTATCTCCCAGCGAGGCTAGGCTACTAGACATAAAGGCTAGTTTCCACGCAGGAAAATTCTCCTCTAGATCGGACAGGACAGGAAAGTTTCCTTTCTTTAAACGCCGCCTGAGAACTCACCGACAAAGGAAATTTTCCTGTCCGTTCCGATCCAAAAGAGATTTTTCCTGAGTGTAAACTAGCTTTAACTTCGATTTTACACTATACCGCGGATTTTCTAGTCACGACAGCAAATCGCTATTAGTTTGGCAGATCTGGTATATTTAATATTTTAGGCCTCTGACAAAAATCTTTTTCAAGTAAAGTTTGGAATTCAAATAATGAGAGTAAAAGTAAAAGTCGGGTACACCATTTTTAAGCATGTTTCCTTTGCGGTATCCGTGTTCTATGTCTATGATGTTAATTATTGTAAGCCACTGAAAAACCTGGCTTTTATCCATGGCCATGCGCGTGGGGGTTTGTGAGTCAGCATACAGTGTATTTTTATGGCATTCAAGTTCTAACAATTTTATTTCAATCGATCGATTCGTATTTTTAAAGAAATGATAAATTAGCATATTTTTACAGAATGCAAGTAGCTTTTGCAATGAAATCGGTCTAAAACTACTGCATTTGATGATGACAAAATCAGTACCAAATAGTAGTGTTTTTTATATTAATATGCATGGTGATATCACAATATAAAAAAATTAGTTTGTAGGCACACCTACAGGACAAAAAGTGATTTGCAACGCAGTAGAAATCTGGTGATATGCGGCTGTTGCAAATGTATAGTAAAGGTGGTGTAACTGGTGTTTGCCGTATTTTCACAAACAGTACAAACTACGAATTTGGAACTTGAATAATATTTTTTTACAATGTAAATCTTGTCATTATGAATATCTGAAATGAAACATGTATGAAATGCGGAATCTATCAAGTGGCGGACATTCCAGCACAGAAATGGTGGGATGGGAAAATTTTTTGGAAACATTTGCTCTTCAGCGACCAGCCATGTCATAAATAATGACATGTCTCTGAGAGACAAAATATTTTCATTTTTTTAAAGTGTTAGTTTCAATAGTTCGTTAGTTTCACTTTTTGGTAGGTTTTAAGTAGATTGACCAATATGTTAACCCAGTGAATAATCATGCAGTCTTTGGCTAAGAAGGCAAAACGTTAGAAAGTCAAACAAGGTGTTTTAATAAATGCATGAACACTAAAACTTAGTGGATGTTATTCGGTTCGCTTGGACAAAGAAACTTTCGACCCTTAGTACTTACGTAAAAGGAAGTTCCATGGTCTGGGTAACTAAGCAACTTCGATATTACTTAATAACTTAAGTAAGTCTTTGTATTATGGTGACGGTTCATAAGTATTCGAGACTACGAACAATTAAACCGCGTCCTTCATTGCCATCAATAAAGTAAAGCTGTTTATATAATTATATAAGCTATTATACTTTTAAAACTTGTGTTTACGTCGAATGGTTTAAACTGGTTGAAGTTATCATTGAAAATTATCAAGTCATTGTCAGTTAAAATACCCGTGTGATCCGTAAGTTATATCTTGTTTAATCTGAACTCTCATACATTATTGTCATATTGTTATAACGTCAACATTTTCATACCTTATACTAGTTATACTTATAGTAGTTCCAAAAATTGTATGTTATCAGACAGAGTCGCTTTAAGCGTTTATTATATACTGCCGCTGTGCACTTCGGCCCTAAATCATGGTTTGCTATAGCCTATAACCTCGCGAGGCCGTATTTACATGGAGTATAAAGCAAAAGGAACGTACTAAAAACGTAGGCTACTATTAATACCCTTTACGAAAACCATTAGTTTTGTTATAATAAGAACTTAATATCCAAATCTTTCATCAGTCCAAGAAATGACCTAAACTGACAAAAATACGTTTTAAAAATGGACAGTTTTGGTCACACATGTATTCTTGTCTTCCCTCTTGGCTGGAGTCGGTTTATCAAATCATAATCCACAAGTCTAAGGCATCTTGGAATTCGAAAAACCTTTTCCGTATGTGCGCTATATCTATGAAACCTATCTCTATGTGACTATGTCGATTTGTGGGGTCTAATGATGTGCGTCTGTGATCATGCAGGCTAAATTTGTACTGCAGGCATGATATTAATTCTTCACCGATTTCCCTCTGTGTTTCATTATGGGCAAGCTTGCTATCGTGTCGAAGGATTAAAATATATACTTACAATCTATATCATTCACTTAGTGCGGATTCGTCACTCAAAAATGGCACATATTGATGCGGAAACAAAAGATTTGTCTGTGGCTTTGATTGTACTGGTGAGTGTGCTCGTGTTCATTGGTGCTCTATTCTTGATAACTCTGCGATATTATGTCAGTAAAGGACAAGGGTACAGGGTCAACTCTATTGATAAAGATTTGCCTCAACGAAATGACCCCAGATCAAGCAATGGAGAAAGCACGAACACCTTTGTGAATGAAGCGTATTCCATGGAGAAATTTAAAAAATGAAAATGACACTTTTTGAACGTTGCATCGTCATTTATTCGGACGAAACATTAAATAACTTTGTCCACGCATGAATAATTATTAGTCGAGTTACATTATCGAAAATCAGCAAATGAACACTGGATGACAATGACTTTATTTTTTTATTATGAAATCAAATAATCGAGCACCGTTCCCGATAGCAAATCTTGATAGGCGTTCTAGTCGGTTCCAAAGTTGAATACACAAGCTGATGGATATTATTCAACTTTATAAAGTAAAGAATAGAAAAAGGCAATATCTTTCAAACCAAATTTTTAAAGTTTTTAATTTTGACTTTGAGTCTTCTCTGAGAACGCGTGAGCGTTCTAAAAAGAATTGTATTATCCCCCTGTTCCGGACTTTTCAAATATTTTCAAAGCCGCAATCTTTGGGATAGTTTGTCGTTATTATAACGATGATCTACACAAATTTGTTGAATCAATGCATTAAATTGATACAGAGCACGTAATATTAATGCTTCAGTTCATTTTTAATACAAATCAATAAAAAATCACATGGTAGCTGTCTCGCTTACAGAACTTAAAAGATTAACATGTTGATTAATACAAACGAAAATCATGCAAATATTTAAACCAAAGACCATAGTCATTCTTTTAATATGGAATTTTCACTTGCTTGTAAGTTTCACTTGTGGGGTATTCGGAGCAGGCCTTATCCAGAAACGTCTCTTTTTCGTCATCCAATTTACCATGAAATTTTAGACTAAAAAGAATTAACCAACGTGAATCTGAGAGATGGGATAACATATATCACGACAAGATATGGGGTAATATGTGACGTCATAAATTCCAATGGGCTGTTTTTGAGCTAAGATTATAACCACTGTTATTTAAAAAACATTAATAGTTCATAAAAAAAATTCCAAAGAAAATACACATTTGATCCCTGTGATCGCCGAGAAAAATTTTTCTGACCTTCATAAACTCTCGGCGGCAAAATTTGATAATATTGCAAAACTAACTAAATACATCCATTCGTTTCATAAACACAATATTCGCATCCGTGTTATACTTTGTCTCATATATTTTTGCTTGTTCTATTTGATGTGGTCCATGGCCGTCAGTGATATTGGAAACAAATGAATTGATTCTTACCAATCTTTAATATCAAGACAATCTTGTTTTGAATACTTGAAGAGTAATTCTTTTTTGTCTGGGGAACAGAAAGCGTAGGAACAAGCGAAAATATCAAAAGCTTTTTTGTAACACTCGACAGGGATATTATCATCCTCTTCCATTTCTTTGCTTATGTTTCGAATTTTCTCGTAGTACTCCTCTTTTTGGCTCCTCATCATCTAAAATAAAACCCAGTTCAATCCATTTTTGAAAATGTAAAAGTAATTTTCTAAAATATATATATGGCCTCAGCCTTTTCGTTGAGCATATTTTGGTATGGGTCATCTTTTAGCTGTTGCTAGCGCTAGTAAATTGAGTGTAGTCTAAATGGGACTACAAACGCGGGACAGCTATAGTGTTATCATAGTTTAAAAAAACATATTGCCCAAGTAATGTTAAGGATGAGTTCATCACGGATTGAACAAATTTTTTTAATCCGTAGTACCGCATGGATTTATTGCACTCAGCTGTGTTTCCTAACAACCTGGGGCCGGGTGTATAAAACTCTTTAACTCTTAGCATAGTTAAATCCTAGAAATACGACGCTGATTGTCTGAATTCTGTCTGAATTCTGTCTACAACTAGCTCGAGAGCTTCATACTGGCAAAAGGATTAGATCCCAGTCTCTCAGTCATCTAAACTGGTTTACGTACTGGATATTCTGGTTTTGGACATTTCTGCTCATCGTCTTGTTCTGCTTGGACACAGTCGAGGCCGGTGAAGAAGTGCGCCAGAGGATCCTTGTGTTCTCCTGACATGAAGTTTTGTGCCCTAAGACTTTTAGCGATAGACTCACCGGCAACCCCCGCACACTTTTGAATTTCGTCAATGAGGCCATCTTGGTCACCGTAGTTCAGCTTATCTTCGGGCAAGCATTCGGGAAACGCATTTCGGCATAGCAGCGTAAAGACACGTCTGACGCACTCGTCAGAAAAGCCTATACTTTTATAAACCTCTTCGATTTTGTCAAAAGCAAAAGCTGACAAAGTGTTACGAAAATCTCGATCGCTCATGTATCGAATTTTATACCCGAGATCACAAACGTCGTTACTCGGAGCATCGACGCAACGCTGTGTCTGATCAACATGGTACAATACGAATGCTTTGCCGGAATCACTTGACTCGCTTCGTCTTGCGTTTGGAAATGCACTGATCGCTATCGCACAAAACGCGAGAAGAAACACGCTCAAAAAATTGGCCATTTTGTTTGCGAAGTTTATCTGTGCAACACCAACAGTTGAATAATGGCAGTTTACGTCCTAACGGCCCTTTAAGTACGCTCGGAATCTGGCCGTTTTTGATTGAGGCAAATATTTGTTCTGCAGAGATGCAGAAAATTAACTTTTTTGAGTTTTTTCTGCCAAGCTAAGCCTAAATTATGTTTGCATAACCCTGACGCTAAAGGCCGACACGCTGTCACACACACCGGTGCGGCGGTCCCGATCCACCAAAGCGACAGGATTTTTACAAATTTTTACTTTTTAAAAGCAACTATAAGTTTGATCATGTTACGATGTCCTTGATAATTACTGAAGCCTGAAGGATAACACGTTTGCGGCTCTGGGGCTCATAGCTGTCAAAATTTTCATCCAGAATTTAATTTAATTGCTTCTGAAAACTGAAAATTCGCGTTGCGTTGAAAAAACACTTTCCCAATATTTGTTGCGGCAAATTGATAAGAACAATATTTGTTTGTTAAAAGGTTTAAGATTACCCAGCTATCGGCGATTAAATTAATCTCAAATAACTTTCAGTTTGACAGAAAACAGTCTTACTTATGTTAGCTAATTTTTTTCTTAAACGAAATATTTTCGTTTGCTAAATGCTAGCTAGGGCTGGTTCAGTGGTTGTATAAACTTTTCTCTACATTTCGGGTATATAGTTGAATCATATAGTTAACTCCAAAATACACGGAAGACTGGCCAATAACTTCTCCAGTTCAGCGGTGGTAACCATCTGATTCTATATATTTTTAAATATCGAAGTTAATGGAAAGCCGTGGTCAAACCAGGGGCAGTAACCAGTACTGCCATAGGCATCATCCAGTTCCAGTTATAGATAAGGCTAATACAAGGCATATTGTATTTTAAAATTAAATGACATTCATATGAAAACAACCCCCTTTATGAATGATTATATAAAGCATATAGATTATTGTTAAGCCCACCATATATCTGCTGATCAAAAACTATTCGACGTTCCTGCACTGTTATTTTCAGGGTGTTATTTTAACACCACTTTTAAGGGATTCTAGGGGTGTAATAGGGGAGTTACAAAATTCCAGCTTAATAACTCCATAGTTGGACTTAAAATAACACCACGTAAGGGGGTTACGCGCAATGTAACACCATTTTGGGGGTTAAAATAAGTTCATTATACCACGTGATCAAGCTGATGCAATCATGCAAAACGAGCTATTTTTCAAAACCTTCGCAAGCACTACTGGTTCCACGGGAGAATTGCCTGTATTTTTAAAGATAAATTACGACTAAAACCGAATTGAACGAGGAAAAGTGAAAGAAAGGTTGGCGGATTTGCTGTATGCAGTTAAAAACGGCAATGTACGTACTTGAATATCATTTTCATGCCTCTCGGAGTGCGACTGTTTACCTGCCGATTGTGGATATAAATTAAACTGCAGTTCGTGAGCTAAATTGTCTGTAATTCTCTGTTGGAAGAAAGTGTACAGTTGCTCAGCCATCCAGGATACAAACACAATTGCGCTGGTGTGTAATATATTTTCAATATTTCAACAGAAAACCTTCAGCAAGTGTCGACAAAATAATTCAATACAAAACTATTAATGTAGGTCGCTAAAAATATCTTGATATGGAACAGTAGACATGAAAAACATTTTTCATATTCTCATAGTCTAAAGGAAAATAAGGACTTATATATGAATTAAATATATTTAATAATAGGATGAAAAGGTATTATATATAGTATAATATATCCTATATATAGTATGATATATCCTAACGTAGGCAACTTCAATCACAATATCGAGATGTACACATGAAAACAATCCGAAAATACGTCAATTAATACCTAAAACTAATCTAAAATAACAGGTGAAATGAAATCTACAATATTTTACTATATACTGCCTACGTTTTAACTTTGAAAACAAGTTATAGAAGCGAGGAAAATGCGAAGTTTTTGATATTTTACTCATTTTTTAAATGGGCCGTTGCTGGACCCGCGCTGCATGTTGACGTTTGAAAATGACGAATTCGTAATCTCATGGGCTGTCACAACAGCAAGAATAAAAAACAGCCAATGAGGTTACGAATTCGTCATTTTCAAACGTTCTTAAAAGTCTACAGCGCGGGTCCAGCATCGGCCTATTCCAAAAATAAGTAAAATATCAAAAACTTTTCGCATTTTTCTCGCTTCTATAACTTGTTTTCAAAGTTAAAACATAGGAAGTATAAAGTAAAAATATTGTAGATTTCATTTCACTTGTTATTTTAGATTAGTTTTAGGTATTAATTGACGTATTTTCGGATTGTTTTCATGTGTACATCTCGATATTGTGATTGAAGTTGCCTACCTTAGGATATAATTTGTAAAGTTTTTACAATGCATTTGTTTGTTCTTTAAAAGAAAAAAGTTTAGATTTCTGATGATTTATCAGGAAACTTTAATATGAAGTTGTATTTATGTTGTAAATATTGTAGATTGGATATAAAGTAATAAAATTTTGCTCAAATTTTTGTATGATTCTTTATTTCTTTCCGGGTATTATAGCGGGATCCTGAAAACGGGGTTATTTTAACCCCAAAATGGGAGTTAAATGTAACCCCAAAATGGGGATTAAAATTTAACTCCAGAAACGGTGTTATTTGTAACCCCAAAAAAAGGATTATTTTCGATTAAATCTCGTAACCCCTGTTTTTGGTGTTAAAATAACACCCTGAAAATAACAGTGTGTAGAGCCCCCATAATTTTTATTGTCCTGGCAAAGGCGTAACCTTGTAACCGGTCTCTATACATACGTGCACTGGGAATATATTTCTTCTCATTCACTCAGTGTTAAATTTAACCTGCGCAGCTGTGTAATTTCTTTGGTTGATACCAATTTCGGTGCCGCTTCTTCAAACATTATATTGTTGGCTCAAGGTATCAAATATTGCACAATACTGTTGACAAATTAGAAAACTTGTAATACTCTCCTAGTTTGAATGTTTATAAAACGATTAAATTGGAATGTTCATTTGTTTGCAATCATTACAATTTATCACAATGGTTATTGATAACCGATTGCGAAAAGTTTATTCTTCCAAATATTGTGGTTTGAGAAAGATCGATCAAAATGTATTAACTGTTAAAAAACGGGTGTAACAACGCGTTTGGAAGCACTGTATCTTGATTGTTTAGCAGGGGTATTACATATAGATTTCTTCGTTCTACAGTGGTCTTAGAGTGCCTTCATTCATTCAGCACCTGTAATGCCTTAACATTTTTCCAACTTAGCCACTTTTTTAAACGAATATATCTATATATGCGCGGTCTAAAGGTTGTTGAGTAAACTTAGAGCATGAAATATCAAACCATTTTGTCGGGGTTATCATGTTTATGCAAAATTAACATTTAAATTACAAAAAGCAGGTTGGCTTTTAGTTTAATTTCGACATTTGGAATGAAACCCCGTTGTTTTGGATATTTTTTCTTTGTTTTCTCTAGTGTCGTCCCCAGTCTCGTCTGTCATTCTCCTTATTTCGCTGCTGACGCTGCACTGGTCAAAGCCACTCTGATGTCAGTTTTCTTTCCACCAAACAAAATTTAACGAAATCACGAGTCAATAGAGGGGACGCTTAACAGAGAGTTATTAAATTACCATCACAGACTTAGATTTTCTTCTTTCACAGTGGTATTAGAGTGCATTAATTTCCCAAACATGAAAGGTTCGAAACTTAATGAAAATTTTTAGACCACCTTAAACATTGCTAAATGAAAGTCTACGTGTCAAAACATGTTCTACTCGAACATTGTCAAGTAAACTTAGTGTATAAACAATAATAATTTTTTTCCGGGGAAATTCCAGTGTTAATATGACTTAAGTAATTGTTTCACGAAATGTTTGCTTAATAAATAATCGCGAAATAATTGATTATTCAAAATTAACATTTAGATTGACAAAAAGCAGGCGGGATCAGAATTAAGACTTCACTTTTGCACACACTCATTTTCTGGGCATGCTCTTCTTGACGTCAACAATGCCATATCTTTACTGAGTAAGCGCAGTTTAGGCGTGTATTTTTTAAATTAGATCTATAAAAATATTTCCTCTTTTCAAACTCTGGTCATAAATGTGTTTAGTTCCTAAACCTAAAGTAACCCTAAGTTCCTAACTCTACCCAATTAAGGAACAACAAAATGACCGTTCGAACTTATGTTGTGCGAACTTGTGTCCAAATTTCAACCTGTAGAGGTGAATGTCGAAGAATATCTCGTTTCGATCTCTAAATACTACAAATTGGGTAAAATTAATATCAATACGAGTTTCGTGTATGTGTATCTAAGTTCTAAAAGGATATCTTCTTCGTAATGGCGGTGCTTCAGCGTACAAAGAAATCGTTGTCTCGTTAACAAATTTTACTTCTATATTTTGAGTCGTAATCTGCATGTTGACAGTTATTTTGCTTTTTTCGTTGGAAGACATGTTCAGTTGATCGATATCCAATTCGTCCATGACCTCATCGCATCGTAAATTAATCTCACAATCACCATCTTCTGTTAAACCGTTGTTCCTAGACAGCAGCTGGGTGGACTTAGGTGAAGATATCAATGTTGCCACGACAGCGCTATGTTGTACTTCCGGTATGGTCGCTTGATGTGCCTGAGACGACTGGAGGTCAACTACGTCACGAGTATCGGTCACTTGGCCAGTCGTAATTTCGTTATTCGGTGGGACTGATACCTCGTGTGGGACTGATACCTCGTGTGGGACTGACACCTCGTGTGGGACTGACACCTCGTGTGGGACTGATACCTCGCGTTGGACTGATACCTCGTGTGGGACTGATACCTTGTGTGGGACTGATATCTTGTGTGGGACTGATACCTCGTGTGGGACTGATACCTCGCGTTGGACTGATACCTCGTGTGGGACTGATACCTCGTGTGGGACTGATACCTCGCGTGGGACTGATACCTCGCGTGGGACTGATACCTTGTGTGGGACTGATATCTTGTGTGGGACTGATACCTCGCGTGGGACTGATACCTCGTGTGGGACTGATACCTTGGGTGGGACTGATACCTCGCGTGGGACTGAACCTCGTGGGACTGATACCTCGTGTGGGACTGATACCTC